CACGGTACCATGCAAACAGGCCTTTGATGTGGTGCATGTTTATATACCACAGTGCTCTGCACCAGTGCAATTCTGAAGCACTAATACAACAAATACAAGAAACACGTCCATCTTACAGATCATTACATTACACATAGATTCCTCCTTATGTTTGTCTTAGTCTTTTTGGACTTGTCAGTATCTCGCATACAGCAGGTGGTTGAAAACAAGCCAGTTATGGGATAAGTAAGATGATTGCCTTTGAACTTCTGTGTCTCATACACCATGCAAAGAACGAACAATCTAGCCCTTCTAGATCAAAACACTTGCTAAAGATTTGCGGCAATGTTTGGAATATACCGTAATATTCGTTTCATACTATCGGAACGTCCTGTTACCCACTGTACTGACCATGGAAAAGCTTCATTTTTAACCTTAATGTGTTAAAATGAAACCAAGTCTCAATTGTAATGTCTCTCACAACCCCCCTTAAAGTTCAAAATCTCCCACTGAGCAAAAATGGTTTCTGTGTTTGAACTATGCATTTGGGGAATAGGTGTTTTACATTTTAAAACTATCATGCTTGCATGTTTTTAATTTTAGCAAATGTAGACAAACCACCCACCCTGAACTGCAAATCCATTTAACTGGTCTTTTTGGGAGATCTTAATCACTACCAGACAAACCCATGCAAATTGATCTTATTTACCCTCAGCATTTCCTTTCGTTTCAGTGGTGTCGGGTTTTGTTATATCCTCTCATAACATGCAGACCCCAATCTCAGATTACACAAATGCCATCATTCCTTCTGTCTGCACTAAAAGACAGAGTGTAATCTACACAAATCGCAAAGAACATGTCACTGCCTAAATAAACATCTTAGTAATGAGCTCAGACAGGGATTCCAAGGCTAAACATTTAACACTATCCTGTAACTTATTTCTCCATAATTTAAATTTGAAATTAAAAGCGATCAATTCCCATAACGTCTCCAGCTGCATTCAATTGGAATTCTTTTTTATTTTGCTAACAAGCATAGCCTTGAAACTACTGGCAAACAAAGTAAACATATTTGTTCAGAAATTTTAATTTTTTATAAGTAACAAACTAGTCGGCTGAGTCTAGACTTAAATCTAGTCAAACCTACATGTATTTGCTGTTCCACACAATAATAACTATGGATGTAAACAGACCTTTTACAATTTACAGCAGTGAGGTTTGTATAAGTATATGTATGGGCAAGTATTGTAGGTAAGCATATGTATGGGTATTGATATATATATTTATTATGTAAAAGGAGTATGCAATGATGGCGCATTGAAGAAGGAGTGACCTTATTAAAGCCTTCGATTTGAAGAAGTAGTTGAGGCAGTAAAGACTTTAAAAGTTCTTTTTCAAATTGTCTTAATAGATCACTTAATGGAACCCAGCAAGGGCTCAGCTCTATCCATAACTGTGATGCATATGGAAATTAAATCATAGCAGGAATGAAGAGTCCCGTGGCAGTCATGAAATACTCTAAAAGAAAAAAGAGACATTTCTGCAGGGCCTTGGCATGTCAGCACCCTCCAAGGAGCACTTTATAGGACAAGGAAATAAACAACTATAAAAAAGTGACCACACGAAGAAACAATAAAACTGTCTGCAATTGGGCTTTCATAAACAGACACAGGGATCGCTAGGGCTTTAGTCACAGCAAAGACATCTATATATCCCTAAGCAAGCATTTCCTTCAGAGCTAAAGGTTAAGAAAACATGTTAAACAAGGTGCAAAGGGATTCAAAATTCAGACATGTCTTTGGTATATTTCAAATTCACAATTAATACTCAGAATGTCACCAAAATGGACTAAATAAGGAATAAATCATCCTTAGCCTTATCAAAAGAAAACAGTATACAAACATGCTTGCACCTCTAGGAAATAATTCAGAAAATTAGGTTCTAACTATTCCTTGCATAAGTTACTGAACTACACTTACTGATTCACTATTCAGAGCTTGTAATATGCCTGTAGAATATGTTACAGCTCATATTTTACTCATCATTTCCTGATGATCATTAAATGACATACTGTACTGTATGACACATACACAAAACACGTTTATGAGATACCACATGCAACGTTTAAAAACATCGTTTTTGGTTTAATCACAGTATAAAAATGCAAGACAATCAACACTTCTTAAGAACTGCCTGTCAGACAGATTGACTACCATGAATTGGTCCACTGAATCTCTAGATCTTATCTCAGTCAGGATGAACTAAATAAAAACTGGCAATTAAATCAACTAATTCCTAATACTAAATTGAACTAGCACATGCCTTATGAATGAAATAAAAGAATTTCCTTGTGCACTATATTATCCTTGCTACTCTATGATGTTTGCATTTCTTCGGTTCCTGCTAAACATTCCACTTATCACACAGGGCTACCAGTTGCCCCTGTGACCAATATAACCATATTTACAAATAATAATGTGACATCTAACACTTAAAGAATAACCTGACTTTATAATATATAACTACACAGCCATCATGAGGGACATACCCAAATCAGTTGAATGTTTTAGTGGTCTGCCTGTAGAACTCTTACTTTACAATTCTGTGTTCTTTCAAAAAAGCCCTGTTCTATGCACCTGTCAGAGCCACTGCTGTTTCACTCTATTGCCCAGTTCTGCACAGTCCATCCCAGTCACAGAGCGATTTCTGATGTTAATTAAATACTGAAGCCCTGAGAGCCAGCCCCTTTTCACTTTTGGAGCAAAAACATTAAAATAGCTACAATCACCACTGTTCCAAAGTTTCATAAAGCATCAACTTTTAATTTAAAATTGAAAAGGTCCTTATTCTTTGCAAGATGTGCTCTAATGTGTAGCCATTTAGCTGTGAGGCTGTAAATCCTTTGGCAGCTACAGTAGGTTGTGTGAGTTTTACAACATGACTGTATTTATTCTCAATGATTAAGTTAGTACTTTTATAACAAAGCAGTGCACAGCCTTTGGATTTAAGTTGTCATGAAATGACTTCATTAAGCTACCCATGCAGAACTAGGCCTAGACTAGTGTATTTACTGTCAACTGCACTGTCAAGCTTCAATGAACTGTAGACAAACTGTTGAAATGCACGTACTGTAGTTTAAATGATTAGCTTGAGCCACAGCCAGAGCCAATATGAATAAAAGTGTATGTAGTCTTCACAACGTAATAACTGACGGATCTGAACTGCTGAGTGCCTAGTCCCAACGTAAATTAAACAATTAAGGTTAATTGCTTGATGCAGATTCTTCAGTATCAGAAAGGTTGCAACTTGACATGATTACCGCACCATGTAACTGCAACAACCCTTTACTTTTATAAAGTTATACATTTAAAAGCCTAATGATGCAAGGTCCATCTGACCTGCATAACGCATAACAAAATGCCTTGAGTTTTGTTCAGTAGAGCCTGAAGTAAAGAATCAAGGATTATTTTCCAATCATAGGCAAGTTCAAACTGTGGTGTCAGATGTGAAAAATTATTTGTAACACGTAATACACCACTATCTAAAGACGAGACCGTAATTGTTCAGTGCAAAGAATTAGTCAGGTAATATTATTTAATGTAGAGCTTTTAAGGTGAACATGCAGTTTAAGAATCATCCTTTCACACAGGACAATACAATTGCTTTTAAATCCATTCCCTTGTGATGCAGTTATTTCCCTGCAGGTCTTATTTTGTGCATATTATTAAAAACAAAACATAAGGCCATTCAGGTCAAAGTCAGGTGGGGCACTCATTGTTACGACAGAATGTTTTACATGGGTTTAAGATCTTAATAACCATTCTATAATGATGTGGACGTGCCAGTCCAAAGGCTTCAATCCATCATCAAACAGTTCCAACAAGAAACTCTCAGGAGTCTTTTATCTTTTATACTGTAAAACCACTCTTGAGTCCGTGAAGCGTCATCGGCATAAATGTGTCATTCATTTTTTGTAACGCTTGTAACACATCATTCAGCTACCGTAAGTTCAATCACACCACCTGATTCGTGTATAGAATCAAGGAGGTTCTAATATTAATGTGCTATTTTAGCAGATCTCACACACTCTCTGGCTGAAATATTAGAAACCCCCAGAGAATAAAGTGATGGGCCTTTGCAAGCAGCAAGACTAGCTTGAACAGGACATGACATGTACTGTATACCACAAGGTTCTGAAATGCTATCCCTTCCCTTTCATCCAGCAGGATCCTCTTCAGGGGAAGTTGTGAGAAGGGAAATAGTGTGTGAGGCCATAATGCACTTTCCACTGATTCCACCAGTGTTCCCAGATGGTGATCTGTGGACGTCTCTGGACCACAAGGTTTTTCAAACCGTGCCCTGCCACTGAGGGAGTCTATTTGAATGCTAAGATCCTGACCAGTTGGTGTATTAGACAAGTATTTACTGTCTCTAAAAGCAATTTGAAATCTGACAATGTAGATGTGCAGTATTGAGACTTCTAATATGTAGCAGTAAAGCAGCTGTGATCTCACCATTGTGAGCCTGGCACAGAGGAAGTATTTGAGGAGTCCATATGTGCAGCTCTTGGAGCCACAGCTCCACTTAAACTTAAAGAAATTAAATTAAACAGAATATGGTACTCTATTTCCTCGTTTGAATAAGAGGGGGAAGTGTACCAAAGTCACAGTTTGCACTGTTTTAAACTGTCTGGCCTACAGTATGTCACTCTGTTTAGTGAATTAACATGTACTATAGTTCCATCATTCTGTATTTTTAGTATGATGGTCAATCAATTGAAATATACAGTTGTAGAACTCAGTTAGTATCAGTAAACTGCTACAATAACTTTGTTCACTTTGTATAACTTTGTATCATTTGTGTTGTATGAGAAATTGTGAAAGTTTTAGAATCATAAAAATTAAGTGAAGGGGAATAAAATTAAAATATTGACCTACTGTATAAGTCTTATACAAACCTCAAATGCTGAGACCAGAGTATTTAGGGAAAAAAACACAATTTTCCCTCTCACAATCCACAGAGAGCTGAGTGTCATTGATGTAACAGTTTTGTTCCTGAATATAAAGCTGTCCAGTCGCACTACTGTAATAATGTCCAGCTTTGGAAAAGAACAGAATGCTCAATTTTTCTGTCAACAGCATGCAAAAGGTATGTCCTGGACAATAAATGCCAAAGCCAGGAATTAAAAATGAGTTATCTGTTACAGTAATTGTAAAGCAACAGAAATTCAAACACAGTAATGTGGCCCAGACTGTGTTGAGTTTGCTAAAATTGATGGGTTTTGTAAACCTCATCCAAAAGAGGGGAGTCATAAGATGTGCAGAGTACTGCTTTCATTTGAACCTGCAGACACGGAGAAAACTATAAAAACTATAGAAAGAGGAAATAAATCTCAGAGAACTTCAATCACAGAGGCACTGGTGTGAATACCAACACATTACAAGCAATGGCTGTAAGGCTGAAGTGTTGCTGTGTTTGGATTTTTTCAAAGACTTGTTTTCCTTGACACTTTTATTTTGCACAGATGTACATTCCAAACCAGAAACTAGTTTAGAGCCCAGCTTGCCTGTGCAGGCAGTATAATTGCTTGTTGCTCTGTTTTGTAGCAATAATCTCTTTACAAAACACTATTCTTCACATGAAACCAATTAAAAGATATCTGCAAGCCAGTTGTCTGACTTGCCAGAGGTAATATCTTGTTTATTAAGTGGCAAGCAGCCAAAAATATGAAAATGCAACCTATTTTGCAAGGTTATAGAGATTTGTCCACTATTTTCTGTAATTGCCTCCAGCAACAGCATGACTCTTTGATGTTATAGCAGATCACCCAGGAACTTGTCGAGCCTGTCACTGTCCTAAATGAAGAAATTTTCATCCCACATAAAAGTCATGTAATCATAATCAAGTATGTTCATTGAAAGACTTTTTAGCTATCTGTTTAATGCCTATGAAGTTTGCAACAATGAAGCAAATCTATAGGGGGGACAGTTTTAACCCCCAACCTCAAGGTTCACAGTCATAAAACACACTACCTGTAGCTCTTCACTTTACATTAGTACAGATTCAAATTAAAGATGCATTAAAGTACAGAGAAATAATCTATATTATGTCACAACTAGGAGCATGTTGGTGCATTGGTTAACTGCTGCCTTGGAACCCTGGGGCCCTGGCTTCTATCCTGGATCTGGGGTGGTGTTTGTACGTTCTCCATGTATTGGCATGGGTTTTCTCCAGGGGCCATTTTCCTCCCATAATCCAAAAACATACAGTACCAGTGAGTTAATTGGCTCTGGGGAAAATGGCCCTGGCATGAGTGTGTGCATCTTTCTGCCTGTGTATCTGCCCTCAGGCTCTGGCTCACCCACAATCCTGAATTGCATGAAATGGTTAGAAAATTGGTGGATGAATAGAAATTGTCAAAATTATCTACTTTGATAAATAGATGTTATTATTGCACATATACTGTACATAGGACTATTCGTGCACTTAAAAAATGCAATAGTCTAGGTTTAGCATCAAGAGAAGATTTAGAGAAACTATACAGTTCAGCAACGCATGGGCATTGAAGTCCTTGAGCCAACTGTTTTTGTTTTCTGAAATCCAGAAGCAGGATAATGCCACATCTGTGGTACTAACTCAAGAATACAGGAAACAACCGCCACCAGCCCACTTTCACCAGCTGACTGCAGCTGCACAGGAAGAGCAGCAGAAATTCCCACAGTGGTCTGTCTGTCCAGGGGCTGATCAGGTCTATGCATCATCCTGCCAGGAGTTTAGCTACCTTCAGCTAAGTCATACATGATCATAATAATAATAATTGCTTACACTTATATAGCGCTTTTCTGGACACTCCACTCAAAGTGCTTTACAGGTAATGGGGACTCCCCTCCACCACCACCAATGTGCAGCTGAATGATGCGACGGCAGCCATAGTGCACCAGTACACTCACCACACATCAGCTATCAGTGGGGAGGAGAGCAGAGTAATGTAGCCAATTCATAGATGGGGATTGTTAGGAGGCCATGATTGGGAAGGGCCAATTGGAAATTTAGCCAGGACACTTCTTTTCGAGAAGCACCCTGGGATTTTTAATGACCACAGAGAGTCAGGACCTCAGTTTTACGTCTCATCCGATGGACGGCTCCCGTTTACAGTATAGTGTCCCCATCACTAAACTGAGGCATTAGGACCCACATGGACCGCAGGGTGAGCGCCCCCTGCTGGCCCCACTAACACCTCTTCCAGCAGCAACCTTAGTTTTTCCCAAGAGGTCTCCCATCCAGGTACTGACCAGGCTCACACCTGCTTAGCTTCAGTGGGTTGCCAGTTGTGAGTTGATATGGCTGCTGTGCCTCTTCCTGCAGCAGAGAACCTGAAGTTTGTGTTGTCTTTCAGAATAACAGAAAACACAAGATTTAACTGCATGACGTTTAACCATTTCCTTGTCAGATTTTGTGAATAAAAAAAACTATATATCTTCAGGCACATCTTCAGTTTTCCACACCAAATGCCCACACCTTTTTTTGTTTCAGAGCTAGTATAAGACGGTTTAGTGTGCAGGCTTTGAACAAACATGATATATTGTCCAAATATCCCTTATTTCATAAAAGCAGAAAAAAAACATATTGAAACAATGTGCAGAAAGGTGAACAAACAGAATGCCTGCTGGTTGCTTACCAGATCACAGATTAAAAGAAGACTGGAAGTGTAACTGAGAGCAATAAATCAAATCAGAATGCGATAAAGGTAAAGAGAAAGCAATCCGACCCTTCTAGCTTGTTTGGATCTGAGTAGGCGATGGACCTAAACGTTTCTTTTAAAGAGTCATAAGCTCAGCCCAGGACGAGGCTTTATAAGCTTTGGTCAGGAGGATTCACAGGAGGAAGAATTTATGGGACACAGATTGTACCACCGGACACAGGAGAGAACTCCGACTCCAGAGAGGAACGTAGGCGTTGTCTTTCTCTGGAGCATAATATTGTTCAGAATGGCCATGCCTGGGGAAAATGCAATGATAGAAGCTAAGGACTAGACAGAATTTTGTTTCTTTGTTGTGGCAGAAAAAGGCACCCCAGGTTACCAACCAGAGCTGTTATCACAGAATAATGCTGCTGGATTTTTATTTATGTAGGATTTCTGTATTGAGCTAGTCTGTGGGTGCACTGATGGTTCTGAAAGACAAAAGAACTTTTTACTGGGGAAAAGGGCCCTAGCATTCTTACCATTGCTAGGTGGTGTCGTCAACTACAGTACATAATTCCTGCTTATTGTGTCACTATCTACATGTCCATGACATCTGCAATGACTTCGTATTTCATGCACAACAGAAGAGCAACTGTGTAAAATAAGCACATCGAATCTGGTACATTCATATCAAGAACTAATCCCCCTTGACTCAAATGAGGAGCAAAGCATGATAAAGCTCTTGATCCGCAAGTCTTGCGTGAAATTACTGAAAAAGTACTTTTAGCTGAACTCTGCTCTACAATGATTGATGAAACACAGGGATTCTGCCAACATGGAAGACGTTGTGGTTTGTGTAGGACAATAATAATAATTGCAAGGGTTGATTGTGATATTTGCTTCCACACTTCAGTTTTTCCAGCTGTCTTCAATTTTTGAAGAGGGTGTGGACTTTCTGGATTTCATTTTTTTCCCTTTTTTTTTACTTTTTAAATAATATTTAGCAACACTGTTCATTGGACCTCATGAATGAAATGCATGGTATGCAAAGGTGTTGCCACAGGAATGCTTACACTATTTTCTTTGAAGGTGTTTGTAGGCGGGGGTGGAGATGAGGAGGGGTTGGTGTGCCAAGGAACACTTTTATTAAAGTAGTAAGTATGCCTTAGGCCCTTCCCAACTGTAAGCTGGAAAACACCACAGTATCTAAACGACCGACATACTGCTTAAATGCAGTAAATCCTGTCATAAATGAAAATAAAACTGTTCAAAACAGTGACATGTTAAATATAAACTGACTTTGATTCAGCCATCCATCCATTTTCTCATTGCTTCTTCGAATTCAGGGTCATGGGAGAGCTGGAGTCTCTCCTAGCAAGCACAGGGTGCAAGGCAGAGCACACCCTTGGCAGAAAGCCAGTGCACCGCAGGGCAGACACACAGACACAATCGCACATATGAGGGCCAATTTTCCCAGGAGCCAATTAACTTCGCAGCATGTTTTTGGACTGTGGGAGGAAACCCTCACGATCATGGAGAGAACATACAAACTCCACACAGATCCAGGGCCTAGTGCTGCATGGCAGAAATGCTAACCACTGCGCCATAGCATCTCTGCCATTTTAAATCATTTAAAACAAATGCTGTGCTTGAAATAATCAAATTATCTTTTGCAGAGATAGTGAAATAATACACACCATGTGTGGAAGGCTCTGTAATATTCTTTTCTCATTTTGAAATGATACGAAATGAAAACCTTATTTTTAATAATGAATTAAGAAAGTGTAGAAATGGATTGATGTTTATTATCCACATAGAAATAAAACCATTGTAGATAATTTTTAAGTCCAAGGTATGTCCACTGCATCTTTTTGTTTCTGCTATGATTAATAAGGCACCAAACAAAAATGCACAAATTAAATGTTGCTTCAAGATCTGACTGCTTTCCCCACATTGAGATCATGCTGCTACGGTATGTGCAGTCAAATTCAAAGAGATTTTTATAAGAGATTCTATATGATTGTTTAATCCCGGTGGACATGCTAAACAGGTTGAACAATGACTAATTCTGTATTGCTTTTTTCATTCGGCATTCATTTTTTTTCCCAAAAGGATTTATCTGACTCCCAGGTGTACATTTATAATTTATTATTTTATTGTGTAAGGTAATAGGGGAGGAACTGATGCTGTAGAACAAGATTAACCCATGATCTCAAGAATGGAAACAAGACTCCATTTGCTTTGGTACATACTGTATATACAAATAGTATTGCTGCAAAACAGAATGACTGATAGACAATACAATGAATATATCCTGATATGACACCAAATAACACCACTCCTGGCAGTGTGGAACCCTGTATCTGCTCATTTTCACTGCAGCCGAGATCTTTATATAGATCCCTGAATTGATCCACCAAGTTGCTTGTTCAGAAGCTTTGCAAGTTTTTTTTTTTTCCAGTTGAAAAGCTGGAGATTTTTAGTGACTCAAGAAACACATCTCAAAAACTACCTCCTTTTAAGGAAGGTCATCCAGGAAGGGAAAAACAACTAAAGAACTCAACTTAAACCTTTAACTAGTTTTTAAGTTTTCTGATGGATCAAAATCTACCCGTTATCTGAATCCTCGGGCCCAGGACATTTGTCATAAACAAATTGGGAGCAATTCAAGTCATACATCTGTGATGCATGCTTTGAACCAGATTGCAGATGTCTTTTGGGGTTTTGTCCTGTGTTAAAGGGCTGTTACACACCTTTGCTGCACCTCTGAAGAGGTGTCTCATATTTATCACTTACCTGTTTCTTATTTGTCATCATTACAGGAATTAAATAAAGATATTTAATATTTGTATCTCCACTCTTAGTGTAAATATTGACATCTATATTTGAGTGTTGGTTGCAGTTTGTATTGATCTTACCTGTTGTTGATCCACAGTGTTGTCCTCAATTCCTGTCTGTTCCACCATTTTGTGTCAGGTTACAGAGCCCTGCCTCACCCCTGGTTTAAATGGAAGCTTACCTGTCCATCAAGAGGAGACAGGGGGTGGAGCTTCTGAATATTAAACCTGGCCCTCAGTCACTGTGGTGAGTAGATCTTTGTCTGTGTGCTGTCAAACACCTTGGTTTATAGCAGGCCGGTACCTATACAAGTAGGGGGAAATTCCCTGGAGAAACTGCAGTTTATTATTATTTCTTGAATATTTGTCTTTCTCTTATATAAATATTTGTCTTGTAACACAGTACTTTGAGTAAACATGCACTGGTTGTGCACTTTATTTTTCTGTTTGGCCTATTTTCAGCTGTGACTGCCCCCGGACAGACTCCCCAGAGGTCTGGTCCCACGGCCCTTTGCTCTTGCCCAGCCTTGATGATCATGTGCTGGCCCACTGGTCTCCGAGCCCTAGACGCCGCTCCTCATCCTAGATCTGTGCATAGGCATTCAGTGTTTCAAACGTTCAGCCTGGCAAGTGGGGCATCCGTGTCCATGACATGACTCCTGTTCACATCTCAATAGAAAGTCGCTGTATTAAAGTTGATCACAAAACAAAATGAAAGTCACTGTTAAACAAAGAGCACAAGCAAGTGCATTGTCCTAAGAGAGGGCCAGCAAGTAAGGCTGATGGACCTGATCTATGAAGTTCTGTGCATTTAGATTGACATCAGTCGCTACACATGTGGTGTCCTATAGTTACTAGACAATTCTTCGCAAACCTTCACACTTGGATGATGATTTGTCGAGCTTGGAGATGTGTCATAACTAGTGATCTCCCAGTACGCGGTCTGTCGTTCACAGACTGTGGTTTGGCAATAACATCTTGCCAGGTTAAACATTGCTGGATGTGAACATCCCAGACAGGGCGACATCCAAGATAGTGATGATGCCATTGACAAATTGGTTTTTTGAGCTGCAGGGCGTATTGCTTCTTTTTTGTATTTATTTTTCACTTTCACCACTCTACACATTCAACAGGTTAAATGTGCCCAATCACCTTTCACACTAATGAGGTGATTTAGCACTGATGCGACAAAGACACTTAAGAGTATCACAGTCACTCATGAATGATCAGTCAAAATGTCACTAAAATGATTTAATCAATATTCAAAATCCATATACTTTAATATTCTAAAAACACACATGGATGAATCAGTAATAAATTCCTTCTGATGCTCATTATATACACATTGAAATATACTATCCATGCTTCTAACACGTATGCTTATAACACATGTGAGTATTTCGATTGTGTGTGAATATATATATTTTCCTATCAAATACTGTAGGAAATATTCATTTATTTGAACTACAGTGAAGAGTTGGAAGGCACAATACAATTTCTTTATCGTGCTTTCCAGTACAACACTGTTAATCCAAGGAACTGACAAAATCACAAACCAACAATTTGAACTGATAATTTGAAACTACAGAAGTAGTAGTTCTCAAAATCTCTGTCATAATAATTCTCTACTAACAATTCCAGCAATTTGTTCCAGCGATAGCTTGGCAGTTGTTCTGTATTAAAGAGGATTTACTATTAATTGGAGAACAGGCCATATGAAATATAATCTTCCGAGGATGACAACTCTGCAGTTTACCTGATTAATGTACAAAGCCTCTTTGGGCTTCTGTCATGTACTTCTATTAATTTATCCTGCTATACAAAGTTCAAACCCCCAAATTTGTCTCTTGTCTTCATAATAAATGCACTGTAAAGAGCACCAGAACCAGGAACATCAAAACCAGGTCCTGTGGTTCCCCCACATTTGAAAGTGGGGACTTCGGGCCCCCTCACATCCTGTGGCAGAAAAAAAAGGTGGTGGCAGTTTGCAGCTCTGTCAGACATAAATAGAAGCTTTTCTTTCCTTGGCTGCAGAAATAAAGTGAGGCCTGTCCAGTCTTGCCCGCCTTGTCAACTCGCTGTCCCTCTATTTCTGAAGAAAAGGCCCAAACACTTCCCATCAAAAGTGCGCCAGTTTATCAGCAGGGAGTGAAAGTGTAGGCAGATTGCACTGCGCGGACTGCTCAGCATTGGAGAGGGGTCAGGGAGCAGTACTCACAAAACTTTCAACACCTCTTCAAAGTCTGCTGCCCTACAGAGTTTTCTGAACAATTTACTTGGTGTTTAGAACAATTCACAAACCCCACCATTTAGGTGAGAATGGCAGGACCCTGCTTAGCTATTGTATCGTTGCTGAGACCCATTGTCTGATCGGTAATTTTTCTATTGCTACAGTTTGATCTGTAAAGGGATACTGATCTAGTACGGGATACTCTGCAAAACCTGACTGACAGTCCAAGCCATGGAAAAGTAAAAAACATCCCTGGCTCTGGTGCACAACACAATCAAAAACACAAAACTGCAGTTGTGCAGTTACAAAACAAATGCTTGACCGCACTAAAACGTGAGTAATTGCATGCAGCCAACCTAGTTGTGCATTCCACACAAGCCAGAAATGGTTGTTTCCAGCAAAACCTCAGAACAGTGAGTAGCCTACTACTCCTGTTTAATGGGGATATTATCATACAAAAGTACCGAATAAGACTTTCAGAAAACAGGATGTCAAAAACGAATGCTACATAAAAAGTCACAAAACATTCTTACTCCAAGAATTAGGAAAAAAAAATAGTTCCAAGACGTGCTGACTACTGAACTAGAGACTACATTTAACACTGTTTTAACTCTAATAACAACAACAAATGCCACAGTGTGCCAGAGAGTAATGAACCGGAAACGTGTCTCCACTGTGTCATGACAGCCCTCATGGGACAATGCTTGAGCGCACAAAAGGTGAACAGCTTTGAGAAAGGCCGCTATGAGTCAGACACAAATACACAACCGTCTGAAATCAGGTTACTTCATTGATGATGGTGGCTACACATGTTTAGCATTTAAGTCAAACTGTATTGTTGACTTTTTTTTTAATCTCTTATTGTGTACAGAAGTGTTCCGGCAACTTGGTTTTAAAAGCAGCTCAAACTCATACTAACATTCCGCTTATTGTATTTTGTCAAATCCCTCCCGTAGGCTACTGTAATAATAAGAGGAATGTGCTCCATCTAAGCACGTCCAGACACCTTAGGATCTGTGCACCAAAAGATATCGACTGCTTTGTGAAACTTGTCTTTCACCGACTTCTAGCAGTAACACAGTAATACAGTATATAAAAAAACAAAGGAAAGAAAAAACATGCATTCACATAACATTTATTAATATCAGGCTTGGATACATGGAAGGCTCCAGGAAAGGATTTTATACTTTCAAGGATGACACCTCAGGCCCTAGGATAATTTTGACACTCACACTAAGTCAGCAACCCCTTCGCACTGCTGGAAAACAAGGTGATAGTTTGCCAACGAGATGAACAAGCGCCAAAATGTGAGAATTGTTCTTTCTGTTCATTGTCCATAGGTGTATCATAACACAAATTTGGTAAATAGCACATTTACAGTCGAAGCATGCATTTAATATATGGACGCTGGCATTCCAGAGGCCAAATGTTGGCCTTATCACCATTTTGATCTCAAGATTTAAACTGCCTCCTTCTTGGAAACTGCTGTAAAGATTGCTAAGAATTTTAGCAGATTTCATCAACACACAAATTGGCTTCAAACTGACGCATCACAAATTGGCACATCACAAGTTACTGCAATCGTTTTTATGCACACAATGCATCATCATCTGCTGGTGAAGTGTGCCTATAACACCAACTGTTCTAGATTAAAAAGTGTGATTATCGATTATGTTAATATTTCCAAAGAAGGCCAATACCACACATGGAGAAATGGGCTTCATCACAACTACACTGCCTGTGAGATCACCAGTTTATTCACAAAATTAAAACTGCTTGTGACCTAGGAACTGCTTCACTGACTAAATTAATACATCAGCACTAATAGCAGGTTCAATTTTAACACTCACTGGATAGAGAGATAGTTTTTATAGTTTTTATTCCCACACCAAGTTGTTACCTGCTTGGTAAAACGTCCTACAAAGCAAACTGGTCCTATATAAAATATATTATAATAAATATATATTTTATTTAAATTTAAATTTAGTAATTTTCCATCTAGGGACAAGGTATTCGCAGGCAGGTAGGGTTTCTAAGCAAAGCCCATTTCTTCTGTTGCAGAAGCACAGCATAAACCACAGACTTCTACTGCTAGAAGTCTATTTAGCCCTTAAAGTCCAAACATGATAGGGATCCACCTGAGGAAAATGTGATTTAAATACAGTTAAACACTGCTCCCATGTACTCCAAGATGCACACCTGACCTGCACTGCTCAGTTGCACCACTGTGATCAATATATCAACAGTCTGAATACTGCTCTCATTGTAAATCATCAATTTGGGAAGGGCCCCATGACAATTCTCAGCCATTTAGTATACTAAATCATTTCAGTTAGGAATGGGAAACTGCAGCCCTACTGAATGATGGTACTCCAGAACCCCTGCTGGCCACCCCTGATCTGTAAGATGGAAGAGACTTCAGAGCTCAGAGATTCAAATGCAGACAAAACTGTATGAAAGATCAGGGGCTTCACAAAAGTCCAAAACTGAGTCCAACAGAAAGACAAAGCAAATGTCTGACTCCATGTAACCAGTAGATGTTTGACATCAGTGTTTCTTGAAATGTGTCCCCTAAGGAGAGGAAACTACGAACAAGGATTTCACGACAGGCGGGACAAGCACAAAATCCCTCGCGTATAAGCAATGTGATGTTTGAGATGTGGAGGTTCTAAGGCCATGAAAAACGGGACATAAAGCAGAGCGCAGAAATGAGGAGTCCTGCGACCAGCTGCTTGCTTTTGATGGGAGATTCTGGGTAGAGTAGCAGGCTGAAGAATGCTTTGATCAGGTCTTCCCTGTCTTTACCGCTCATTGTGGAGCTGGTGTCAGTCGACATCTCACAGCGTGGACCTCACAGCCTTTGATTTCTGTCATTGGCATCGCAAATGCAAGATTGAACTGACATTGGGTGCGTTTTCTGGAGAGGGCCCATTAATCTAACACACCACAAGGCAGGATGTCACAAATCTGCAAGTGACCTCAATCCCATAGAAAGAATAAACTGGACTGCCAGATTTGAAGGATACTGCTCAGAGCACTGTGTACTGGAACTGGAAACTGTGCTGCAGGATGACTGACAGTATCCCTCTGGCCATCTGTGAAAAGATACGAGACTTGACAAATACTCTTCTCTAAGTTCAAAGTTCATGTTTTTTTTGGAGTGAGGCAAGTGCCAAATACATCCGTTTAAAGTATTTTATTACTATGCATTTTACAGACATATTTCGAAACCTATGATAAAAGGAGATGGATATTGATGTTGTTCTAAACAACTTAAAAACCAGTGCCATAAAACTAACCTTTTTTCCCTCGTTCTTGATATGAAGCACTTCACGTTAACTTTAGTGGAATACTAATGCCACCTAGGGGCAGAATCACAAAATCAACAGTGAAAAATCTTCACCCTCATGCCCTGTGGCAGCCCCGAACTACCTCAACGTGACAAAGGGTCGTACTGTCGTACTGGAAATAGGAGTTACGACGAACTTTAAAAAAAATACATATTTACAAAAACAGATGTAGGACCATCACAAAACCGGTGTTTTACAACTTCTGTTGTGTGTTGTAAATCATTATAAAGATTATTATTATTGTCTACAAGTACGATCAACATTTAGATTAATATACCTATAATGATTTAATTGACATCAATCTATGGCATTTTACGGTAGATACCGATTATTGCGTTTCATCTGCATGGCTTTGAAGACGATTCAAAATTATACAGTGATACACAACTGAATACTACAGTCACGGAATCCGTGGCGGGTTTAGAACAGTTTGCAAGTGATACAAACAACTCGGAAGCGACAAATGTACCTCGACTTACTCATAGTTCACATGAGGAAAATCCTATACAATGCATGACAAAGTACAAATGCAAAACCTGACAACTGGGTGGTACAAAATCCCACCTTCGAAGCAAGTACGTGGGACATTTCAGTTTCAGATTGTAGGTATTTAATTCATTACAAGACCTTAACTTTGATTTAAAACGTTGCACTATCAACACAACCTCTGCTTCGTCCTCTGCTCCATTCCCTGAGGCTGGCCATATCAACATGTTTGCAAGACGGGATTTTTAAATAATGATTGAGACATTTCTGATTGAGGACCTTAGAAATGATCCAGTATATCAGCAATCCGTTTGCTTTACTGTTTTCATAATAATACCACAAATACGTATCATGCAATGGAGTACTTTCTTTATTGCACTTCTAAACGTACTCAATTAAACTTTTTTATTGTAAAAAAAAACATATCCTTCCTGAGACAAGTACTTCGACGTTTCCTCAAACTATGTAAGAAAATGAATGTACGGATAGCTCTGTTGGACATAAAGCCTGCGATACAACCAATGGAAATACTCTATCTGGAGCTGTAGTTATGTATTTTCGTCTTCGCCTTTTCGTCGCTATGGTTACGGATTTATACAGCATGGTGGCGTGAATAGAGGACTGAAGCACAAAAAGACTGCAATAAAAGAAATAAGAAATAAGTGTGCAATGTTCAAAAGTAAGGTATGCGAACATTTGTTTTATTTATTTATTTTCAGTATTTTCCCTTTGTGTGTTTTATCTAAAAAAATATTATACACGGAGTTAAGGGCAGTTTAAATATCACTATTGTTTCTCCAATGGGCTAACGACATGTAGTGTATGAAGTGTTAGCTTAGCATCTACAGTACTTCATTTGTGCACTAAATTGAGAATTGTATCTTTTGAAGTATTGATCTTGGTACGATTTGCTCCGTATATATATTGTAAAGAGAAGCAAATAATCTTCATCATTATTTACCCTAGACCTCTGGAAATAAAGGTCCTTACAGCTATCAGAAGAGAAGAGAGTGGTAAGTAACTTTAAAACTCTGTACAGGTCAGCCTACAACACAAACTCATCTGAGAGTGGGAAAGGATTGACCTCTGCTATGTTTGCAGCAGTAGGAGAGTGTACAAATTAAGACATCTTCCAGATAAAAACACACCCAATTTTGGTTGTCTATTCATGGTTACATTAGTGAATTGTAGTGAAATCACAATCACAACAGAGGATGTATTTTAAACATTTATAACATAACCTTATATTTATTAGTATTTATCATTTTCTTAAATGAGTGTTTCTCATATTAACCATGGCATTTTAGAATCAACAAAATACTTTGTTTAAAAATAATTATTTGATTCAAAATAGTAATTATGTATTACTCCCAACACTACAGGGAATTAGTAACTGCTGCTACTGGTACTGTATTTACACCAAATTTAAATGTGTACAATTTTGAGCACTTTAAGAAATCTGAACAGTTTTAAGAGTCAATGTTAATGAATAAGCACTTCCAGTAAGCACCATTTTTGTAATCTGAATGTTTTTCCTTATCTAAGGAAGTAACCCAGATTGAAGCAGAGATATTACAATAAGCTATTACAATAAATATCAACATGTTAAATGCAGTAAGTCACTTTAAATAAAACAAAACAAATAGCAATATGAGCTCAATCAATGTTAGAATTAAAGGATCGTATCAATAATTTTATCAAAACATTTTAAAAAAAGGGTTGGTAAAAAAATGCACTGATTACACTAATTGTATTATAATTGCATAACAGTGTCCCTCAAAAAATTAAAATTAAATTAAAAATGCTTTTCTTGTGCCCGGAATGCAAGTATGTAAAAATGCCTTAAGGGGAATTCTCTGTCCTCAGGGAAACTCGAAACTGTGTGCGGTACAAGTGCGCCCTGACCAACACCATTCTCGATGTTCTTCGGCAGAGGCCAGGCTGGGTGGACGTGAAGGAGTGAGTGTGATGCTATTCGGATGCACTGTCAGCAGGCCCTGCGAGAGGGCGGGCCAGCAGGACCATTTGGCCCAGGCCTCATATCACAGGGGGGTCTCACCTCAGCCAAGGGTCCGCCACATGAACCCTCTGGCTGTGTTTCTCGACTCGAGTCGGATTTGGAACTTTTACCATATACCATGATTCCTGGGTAAAGTCCACGGCAGTGAAAAACAGTTTCGCCCTTTCAGTGCTGAATCTACCCTTCTTTAGGAGTTTCAAAATGTCTGCCTTAATCTTCCCATCATGCCATTCTTTACATTACAATATTTTTTATCCCCTTGCCCAAACAATGAGGGGGGCCTCACCAATGTGAAATGGCCCGGGCCTCGTCTGAGCTCTCGGAGGGCCTGACTGGCAAAACATGGCAAAACTATTTTTTTCTCTTCTCTGTCTTGGTGAATACTCGGCAAGCCTGATGATGAACATGTGTGTTGTCGATGGCAGTGATGGAGAGTGGGATTTTTACTGGTGTGATGTCGGGTGGCTCAGGGAGAACTTTGACCACATCTACATGGAAGAACATGTACGGATATGTCACTTTCGTAACCACTATGAGGTAAGTGACGGCAAGCTAATGCTAACACAGTAGTGATAGCTACAGTATCCCGTGTGTACTGCAGATGTCACCAGAGGTCAATGAAAATTATTATCAATATTCAATATTTGTATATTATCTATATATATTTCTTTCCATTTGAATCCAGGAAGACTATAATTAAAAAATTACATTTTTCAGCAGTCCTTCCTGAAGTAGAGATTATGCACAGTAGTCATACTAAAGGTACAGAAAATTTAAAACTTTAAAACCTTCCATTCAAAACTACTATTTTCTGTATGAATGAGACAATTCTAATCGCTAATCGCATTGTTTTTAATGACTAATTACGACACTAGCAACGTGAAGGTAACACTTCACTGAATAAAACTTTGTAGTATAAAGTGTTATCCCGTAGAGAAAATGAAATTTAATTTAAAATATTTTTTTATTAAAATACATTTTTATTAATACCGTATATATTTGCTTCTATGTATTAGGGTAGCCTAGTGGAGCCTTCTTCAGGTGTCTGAAGAAGATATATATAGTATATACTGTATTTCTTTGGTATATTTTATACATTTATATGAACAGATACTGTATACAGCTCCAAAGGCTCAAAATCAAAATTCCTGAGAAACACAAGTCGTACATGAATTGAAAATGGGCTGGTTGAAGCTAATATTTTGTTCTTCTGTCATTTTGCTTTTTTCTTGTGGTGCAAAAACACTCCAGTGTACAGGAATAAATTTACTTAAATACTACCCTCTAGTGGTAAAAACCTTTCATAGTTAAAATTTGTCTCTTGGGCAACATTTTTAAATAGATACAGTATGTATTCCTGCTTACACATTTAATGCAAAACTAGAAACATTTTGGTTCTGGTTTATCAGTCTGTATGGTCTTAAAAATACATTTCTTACAAAAAATCATTCTAATATTCAAATAATATTCATCCTATATTTCATTACTTATGACTTACACAATTTAATTGGACGTTGGTGATTGCTACTAAAGACACAAATAATTATTATACATTCTTTCTAAAAAACATCCACTTTATAACAGCTTTATTATCACACTTCTTTAGTGTACTTTTCCATAATTGTGCTTCCTTGTGGCTCCCTTTAACTTAACCAGTGTGGAAAGGTGTTTCATTGGAATTATAATAATGGTGCCGTGTGTAGCGCATTAAGTAGAAATTATATCTGTTGGCTCTTTTTCTACAACTTGTTCTTAGCCTTTCATTCGCACTTCAAAGTGTCTCACTAATGTGCTCAGAGTTGTTTGATTGTACTGAAAAACTGAAGCCCTGCTGCAGTTTAACCTGTGGGTTTTTCTGAGCTGAGCTTGATTTTTGGGATTTTGTTCAACACTGCAATGGTCTCTTCAGTTCATCACATAGGTGGACGTGATGAACTGAAGACCTTTCGAAGGCCAATTTTCTGCAGATTTGTAGAACTGTTATAACTATAATAACTATAATAATTCTCAGAATTGTACTGCTTCTAAGAATAGTACATTCTGTATGTATAGCACTGTCAAACCATAAACTACAGTAACAGACATATAATTCAGGTCAATGAGCTGGTTTTAAGTTCTGAAACTTACATATGCGTATGCCATACATGATTCACGAAAAGTAACTCACTGAATACTAATATCCTGTATTGTTAGGAGTATATTCACTTGGAGCTCTCTTTTTATATATTCCTCAGAAACTGTCTGAAAGTAATAAAATGTTCTAAAACAATAATCCAATACTGGTTCCTTTGGTTACAAATACTGAAGTCCTTATTCCAGAGTTCTCCATCATTACAGACAAATCAAGCATACATTAAAAACTGCAATGACTAATTCCTGATGTGAATTTCATTGGGAGTTCTAAACCTGAGTGGCAGCGTCTGCAAGAAAGTTGAGATGAAGTGGTCTTATGAAGGGTACCTCAACATAATACAACAAAATTAAAGCTCAAGAGAAGTTATTTTCTTATTTGTAGATAACCTTTTGTTACATTAATATTCCAAACCAGCTACTGTATTTGATGTAGAAAATGGCAAGGTTTTACAAAACTGTGCATGGTATTGCATGTGGTATAGCATTTTATTTCAAATATGTTGGGGGGACAAAATCAGTGCAACTGTTGAAAAATAAAAAACGCCTACTTTGGGTAGTCTTTTAAGTTTTAAGCTCTGGAATGTGAAAAGACCCCTGGCGTGTCTCTGGAGGGATCTGTATCTGCTGTGGGGTTTTACCAGCTGTCTTCTTACCGGTGTGGCAGCTAACCCGGAAGAACCTGATGGTGAAGAACCTGAAGAGGTACCGCAAGACGCTGGAGCGAGAGGCTGGCAGGCTGGAGGCGGCCAAGTGTGACTTCTTCCCTCGCACCTTCGAGCTGCCCAGCGAGTACCACCTCTTCGTCGAGGAGTTCAAGCGAAACCCGGGCAGCACATGGATCATGAAGCCAGTGAGACTGGGGCTGAGACTCATGACAGCCATTCACAGTATCTTCCCAGATCAAGCCATATATACTGTATATGTGGCTTGTTAAACCAGTCACATTCAGTTACCAAGTGATATAAATTCACAGTGAACTTATAATCAGGATTAAATAGGCTTGCTGGTTTATTTCATCAGGGAATACTGTAGTCAATATTGGAGTACTGCAGTGGGTAGATGCTAGTTCATAAATACTGGCTTTACCGTTGCTGCATGTACCTTTATTGTGAAGTCAAAAATCCTTGCATATCCCTATGCTGCTCAAAGAGGGAACAAAGAGTATGGAGGAGTGAGGAAAAGCTATTATACATGTTAACTAGCAGTAAAGCAAAGAGCTATAGATGCTGGGATAAGCCCATGACTGGATAATAGCGTATAAGGATGCACTTGAATTTGTATAATCTTTGTGCTCTACACATTGCAGGTTGCCAGGTCACAGGGAAAAGGGATCTTTCTGTTCCGCAAACTCAAGGATATTATGGACTGGAAGAAGGTATTCCTAATCTACTGTATACAGAATTAATTAATCAAATGTTTTCTCTGTTTTTTTAATCACAATAATAATTAAATGATAAACTAATAATGAGGTCAATTAGATGTTAGCATACGTCCTTTACAACACAGGGCATGTTTAGGCACTATGTGATATTTTAAACTACACAGTCCCCAAAATAGCACGATAAGATGAACCTCATCCAGCTAATGTTATTGATGTACAAATTGTATGCACACTTTTCATATGAAAGCTGTGACAAAGAGAAGCATTTACATTACAACATCCATTATCACCCACCTGCCTATTGCATTTACACTCCACTCCAGGGAACACAGCTGAAACTAAATACTGCAGCCTGCTACTCTTTTTGCAGGATGGTAACCGGTCAGAGGAACAGAAGGATGAAGCACAGGTGGAGAACTATGTGGCCCAGCGGTACATCGAAAATCCCTACCTCATCAGTGGTGAGGCCTGCATTGTCATGGTTACATTTGTGTAGATTTAATAAATGATTGTTTATTATTCATATGCCGAATTAAAATTTAGATATATCTTCTTTAACGAATCAGACTTAGCATTAATTTTGTATTTTAGCTTTATTTATAGGGATGTTGTTGAAGTGATACTTAAGTGAATGTCACCTCAAATCAGTTGCATTGTGTGGTAGCTTACTATTTTGCAATCACACCTAGGTTTAAACATTATTTTACTTAATCTGTTTCAATATAAAGAGACTAGATCTAAAATATTATAACTTGAATCTTCAAGTTTGCTTTATTTTTGTCATTTACAGGTAGGAAGTTTGACTTGAGAGTTTATGTGCTGGTAACATCAGTAAGTATGTCCTATGATGGTACATTAAAAACTTTTCTATCCTGGCCAAATTAAGTGTTTCACCTTACAATCGCTACACATAATCTTGTGTTAACAGATGGACCAGGACCATTAATCACGCCATCTACCAATTGCTGAACTGAGACTTGCCTACTGCCTTTTCTTTTGGTGTTCTATATTAATTTAACAGTAGTTTGTCCCCGTTCTGCAATAATACATTTCCTTAGTGATAGATCTTATCTGTATTTCTAGGAGCACTGTGCATACTCAACAATCATCGTTCTTTGCCTCTCCTGAAAGTTTAATTATCTTTCTAAGCTGGCGTATGATACAAGATCATCCATGGTGTCTCTATATTGCTAAAAGGCCTTTTAAACACCAGAACACTGGGATTAATAATTTCAAAGGTCTGAAAGAGTATTTCTGTTTCTCTTTCAGTACGTCCCTCTAAAGGCCTGGCTCTACCGAGATGGCTTTGCTCGCTTCTCCAACACTCGCTTCTCTCTCAACAGTATCGATGATCAGTGTATCCTTTCTGTTAGTCACGAGATAGGACAATGCAATTAATTCTATCTGTGCCAAAAAATTGAATCCACTACTGTTGCTAGACTGCAAGGTTGGGATTACAAAGCTTTTACATTTACATTCACACCAGCATAGATTTTGCATTTCAGTTGCTTAATTTCTAATGGGACGTCCAGTTTTCTTTTATATCCTGCTCTCTACTTCTCAATGATATCCTTTCCTCACCTTAACCCTGTGCAGATGTCCATCTCACAAACGTTGCAGTACAGAAAACAGCTCCGGATTATGACCCTGAAAAGGTAAATACAGATTACCCACTTTGGGCAAACCCAGTTTCAGCCTTCAGCCTTTCATCTGCAATTCTATATGCAAAAACCCAAACGGAAAATATTGAGTTACGTATGACATAATATTTACATGTTGCCAACACCTCATTCCAGTGATTCAGTTAGGTGTGTCCAGTCTGTTTTAATAATTTAGTTGGCTCGGTGTTTGAGCAGCGCTACCCTGAAGCTGGTTGGAGTTAATATGAGTTAGTGCACAGAGATTCAGAGCAAGCTATGACTGCATATGCTGAAAGCACTGCAGTCAAAGTAAAAAAAAAAATGCTTTTGTTGAAATGGTTGGGGGAAACTCAGAGAGGAAAAAAAAGAAGTTCAAGTAGGTAGCTGTGTCAGCATGCCAAGGCTGCAAAGGAACAAGTAAAGGATTATTCCACGCTGACAAGAGAAGAAAAGAAACACATTTCAGCTGTGGAGCCTTCTTTGGGCGTATTAATGGCTTTGCCAATTGCAGCTGCGTGCCATGCTGACACTTTACCTCTCCTCCCCCTCCGCAGGGCTGCAAGTGGCAGATGCAGCAGCTGCGGCGCTACCTGACGGCCCGCCACGGCTCGGAGACAGTCGAGGCGCTGTTCAGGGACATCGACACCATCTTCGTGCGCAGTCTGCAGAGCGTGCAGAAGGTCATCATCAACGACAAGCACTGCTTCGAGCTGTATGGCTACGACATTTTGCTGGACCACAATCTTAAGCCGTAAGACCAGTTTCTTCAGCAGCTATAGATGTACTGTGGCTGTTATTTATTATAAAGAAAGGGAGCAGGACACTCATTTAAAGCTGCTGGATTTAAGTCTCTGCAGTTTTTGTTTAGGGCCCAATACCACTCCGGTTTGTGTGATGGTTTTCTTATTCCAATGGTCCAGTTAGCAGTGTCCAGTCTGTTTTATGATTTGGTTGGCTCCGTGTTTGAACAGCGCTATCTTAAGCTCGTTGGAGCTGATTCGAGTTAGTGCACAGATCCAATCCAGAGTACTCGGTAGTTTCCCTTAGTACTAAGTAGTTCCCCTTTATAAAACTGAGTATTTTATGGGAAAAAACTGCAAAAAGTACCTTGCTTAAGAATGCAAGCCCTACAGTACTTGCAATCATCCAGTTGCAAGTCCATGCAACACACTAACACCATTTAAATTGGGATAATGTCTTCACTGGTTTCCTACCCAGGTGGCTGATAGAAGTGAACGCCTCTCCATCCCTCACAGCCAGCAGTCAGGAGGACTATGACATGAAATGTCATCTCCTGAAAGACACGCTGCATGTTGTAGACATGGAGGGCAGGTGGGTCTGTGCTGTCTCTTTCGAAACCTGGTAACTCCACTTTTAGCCTGAGGCTAAAACAAGATACCAAAAGCAAGTTGGAAAAAAAAAAACAACTGCCCATAAACAAGTGGACATTTTAGCAAGATCAAAAATGAAGTGAATCACTGTATCATGGAAAACTTACGTCTTACTTACATAAGATATACATCTTGTGGTTAAATGTGTGGACCTTGAATACATTTACAATATGTTTTCTGGAAATAGTTCCTGTATATATACCCCTCTCAACAATAAAGGATATAATCATTTAGACAAAGAAAACCCTCTACAGAAGAATATAGAATTTATATGTATTTATATTGCAGTTTTGATGTTAGAAGTGTTCTTTTCATTGAAAAACACATATCCAGAGAGGCAAGCTTCCATCAAGGACTGACGAATCCATTCTCATTCGTTAACGGCAGATTGTCTGCTTACAACCCAGACATTATTTAGGTAATTAAATTGTTATTTATCTATAGAGGCTTCCTATTCTGTGATGGACAGTTTAAAAAAAACATGAAATGAAAAGTTCTCCCTTCCTGTGCACCTCTGCTCTCAGGCTCAGTGGGAAGGAGAAGCGGGTCGGAGGCTTTGACCTCATGTGGAATGATGGTCCTGTATACAGAGAGGATGTCAACCTGGAGGCCCTGGGCAGCTCCTGCTTCTCTGCCAACACTCACTTAGGTACGACCGGTATAACTGAACTGCACTTCTTAGCTTTGGTATCTCGTTTTAAAATCATTAGCATCATGTAACATTTTTGTTATGGTTATGGTAAAATACATATTTGTATTAAGCACTACAACTGGGCTTTCTCACTTTGAATAAAATTAGAACAGCAGTTCAAAAGCTGCTTTGGATATGATGCTTCCCTTTATGCACTGCGAGGTCATGGAACAAGATTTTTTAACCATATTTTGGGTTCCTGTTCCTCACATCTCATGTTTATCCTGGCTGGTGCATCTCTATCTCCATCTTTCTGGGGCAGCAGGCTGTGTCAATGACAGGAAACAGCAGCTCCGGAAGCTCCTGAAACCTCTTCCAGGACAGAAGTCAATATGAGAGATCACAGGCCAGCTACACAGACCTGACCTGCACAGATTCCAGGAACTTCCTCACACCTGACAGAACATCTGGGCTGAAAAAATCAAACCCATCTATATCCCCGTGAGCTACATGTATTTTAGTAGGGGAATGTAAAGTGTGAAGCAAGTATACAGTATTTCCTTCTTAAGACATTATTGATCTCCAGTGAAATACTATTTGTTCCTGCCCTTTTATTTGATCTGTGGTTAGCTATTTATAAACATTTTTAGTATTTGTTACTTCAACCCACAGTGTAAATGGTATAAACAGTTGTTAAGTAATTTCGTAAATAAACATTTTAAATTTTTCTTTTACACGAAAATAAACTTTATTTGTAAACTCACTTCTTGAAATACCCATAGTCACATGTTGCAGCATGTCAAAGTTAAAGTGACACTCCTTTTATTTTCGCTATGGATGGACCTAAGACTAACATTCACAGGCACCTAGGATTTAGATCAAGTCATCTTACAAAAAGTGAAAGATATTTCACCCACCACTCAGAGTGAATCCAGCTGTGAAAGCCCAGCGCTGTCAACTTTAAAACAAAACTGTTACTTTTCAGTCCAAGCCAGGCAACAGCCTTCTTCTGTAAATCTATAGTTTAATATGACAGCAAACCCTGGACAGAAAGCTCACTTTTCCAGGACCCTGCCTATAGCTCTCAGTTCCTCCTTGGATAAGGGAGAGAGGTTGTATCCAGTTAACTCTGGCTTTCCTAACAAAAAAGCAAGGAAAAAATAAGAGAAAGTCAGAAATGCACACATCAAACATAAAATAATGCCACCATGGGCTACATCATTGCGTGTTATTCTAAAACATAATAGGATCTTCTCTCAACTCATATCTAATGCCCAGCTAAAAAAATTCACTACTCAAGGGAAACAAAGCAATTAAAAGAATAAGCAGCACAAATGGGATTTCATACTTTTTTACAGCATTAGAAAAAAAATATTTTCCATTAGTCTTTGCTTAAAATGGGTTTTAAACTCAATTTATGTGGGAATTAATGCCCTCCGATATAAAAGCTCTGACATTGCTTGTTTAAATACTGTAGATGCATAATCATACTACCGCCAACCAGGCTCTGAGGTGTTACATAGTTAAATGTACTTCTAATGTAGTGCATGGTTTGAATTATCAACTATAAACGACTAAGAAAAGTTCCAAATGTATAACTATGACAGTTCAATAACTACCAAAGTTGGAACAAAACCCAAATGTCACTAGTTGCTCCAGGACGTGAAGACCTTGGATTCTTCAGCATCACATAAGTTTATAAACCAGTCAAACTCTACTTCACGTTATATTAAAATGCATCTATCTTTTTTCTTAATACTGGATCAAATATTAATAAAACCATTACATTAAAAAGACGCATAGCAGTAATGAACATCTTACCTTGTAATTCATTGAGGCGATTTACTCTTGCCTTCAAACGTTTTCTGAGTTCAGTTATTTCTTTGTCAAGCTGCTCCTGGTCTAAAAAGAAGAAACATATAAATACAAAGAAATCTGAAAAAGAAACAGGAGTTTGTAAAGAAGCAGTGTATTTTGAAATAAGGCGGTCTAATAAGCTTTACAGCATTGAGTTGGCATTTCAGATTCTGGGATTTAAAATAAAAACACTTGTTTCTCACCTTTTTGAATCATCTCCTGGGTCCTTGCTCTAGGTAACTTTATGAACATGTTCCCGAAACAAACTTTCACTTTATCTGTAACAACAGGAGTTATTTTAGAATAACTTTAATGAAACAATTTGGAATTCGGCTTCAGAAATCAAATGTACAGTACAGTACCTGCTTGCTCTCGGTCTCTGTGTAGGGCAGCGAGTGCCTCTCTATTCCTATTTCGTTTGATGTCAAGATCCACAATCTGCCAAATAAAATAACAATATTACATCCGCACAGGGTGTCTATATAGTAACAAATACTGCAGAGCTACTCTATTTTCCCCGATACCTTTTCCATTCAATAACATATATTTTGACGTTCCCACTGAACTGGAGAATTTACGAGTAATGAATTGGTCATTCGGATGTCATGTAATGATCCTTTTTTACTTTTTTTTAAATTTCTAACTATATACGAAAATATTTCTTAAAAGAAGGAACGCATGCTTGTTAAAACAAAGCGTTCATACCGACACAATTAAAACTGCATGTGATCACTAAATATAAACTAACTACATGCACACTGCTTATTGTTTCACCTGTTGTTTATCAGCTAAAACATCCTCTGCCGCCTCTTCTACTTCAGTCAAATACTGTAAAATCCTCTGAGTTTCATCCATGTTGCCATAATATTCCGGAAGTGATTGCTGTCACCCGGAAGTTTGATCATTGCCAGCCTCCCAAAGCTCTTTTTTCATTAGCGCTTTTAACTCGTTTTTTAATGCTACACGTATCAAATTATTCCGATTTAAACACAGGGAAGTTTGACTTGTATATGCTGATAGATGTTCCAATAACTACAAGACTTCACTTAAGAAAGCGGAAGAAGGGGAAAATGTTAAAATTACATAACTCACAAATGAAAATAAGTGCTGATGAGAAATACGTTAATTGGTTCTGCAAATGACACTAAACAAGCGTGGGTAAAGGAATACAATGATACTGACAGTATGCAAACTCTAAATAGGACCGCAGTTCAAGCAATCAAATCTGCCTAGATTTTATATGTACAGTTAACTAAATATTCCATATATTTAAATATTTTATAATCCACAGATGAGAGTGTAAAGACACTTGATTTGTCACAACTTCGATTTGTTCGTCTTTATGTTGTTTCATTGTCAGCGAATTCCTTAAGAAAGCATTATGTAATCAGTGTCAATTCCTTATTTATAAGAAAGCACAATAATTTTAGATTAAATGAATTTCCAAAATTCACACTGGGGCACCAGAGTGATCAATATTACAGTAGGATGACAGAGTCTAATACCTACTTACAGAGGTGTCTGCTCAGGTAAACAACTTAACAGACAGCATTCAAACAGCATTCTTACAACATACAGTTATTCACACAGCTTCTTGAGAACACTGTGCCCTCTAAACCAAATAAGCCAAGGAAGATAGCTGTCCTGTCACAGTGGGAGCAGGGGATTATGTGTTTAGACACTGAACAGAACTGAACAGTAATTATGAAATTTGTTGTAAGTTGTAAAATTGTGAAAACAATCTCTGAAAGTCACCTTGTATTGCCACTTGTTTTTGCACAGTTGAAACAAACCAGGAAGCAGTACAAATTATGCATTTCCTACACATCATCTACCTGTTCAGTCTCGCCCAGATATTTGGCACACAATCCACAGCACTTAATATAATCAAACTCACATTTATTTTCAATTTGATGCTATTCCCCCCAAATAAAAAAAAACAACAACGATACACTTCCAATGTTCTGCATTTTAATAATTGTCTTTAAAAATATCACGACTTATCTTTTCCAAAGCAGTGCAATACAAGTTAGGAAACAGAAATATTTATTTTTCATGCTTTACAAACTGTTGCATCTCATATGACCAAAGGGAAATGCATCATTTGGAAATATTATGCAATACAATCAACGTACGTTTGAGGTAAAACACAGATTTGATATTTCTGTTCATCCCTGATTCCTCTGTTCATACAGTACCTGAACAAATGCAAGTCTACAAATATAAGTTCTTGTACTAACTGTATTAACTGTTATCGTAATGTATTGCATACCTTACAATTGTATAAATTAGTACACTATTCCATGCTTTTTATTGTGGACTTTTCAAATGAACGAAAAAACATTTTCAGTGCAAAATAAAATTTCAGTGTTCCAATAAAAACAGACATGTTGACCATAAATGCAAATAAATGTACAGCCTTTTTTACCTACATGAATCAAAGTACATACATTTTTCACAATATTTTCGAGTATTGCATTGAAATGTTGTATTAACGATCTTCCTGATTTCTTCATATCAATAAAACATTTGATAATAGCTTAAGTGCATTTTTGATAACTGATATGAGTAACTGCCCTGTGTATTTTATAAACAGAACATCAACGCTACTAATACATGAATAGGGTATCCTTCTATTCTATCATTATTTTTAAATTAATACATTAAATAAAAAAGAGTATATACCATTTTGCTTAATATGACTGTCTAGAAATACTGTACTTCCGAAACATCTTTCACGGAACAAAAAATATATTTCATATAATTCTACGAAAACTGTAAATCTGGTAAACACTCAACAGAAAGGGAAGAGTCAGCCTTTCAGTAGTATACAAATAAAAATATATGGATTGGATTAATGAACACACAAAAATATATATTTTTAAGCATATCAAACCACAAACATCAATACCTATTTCCTTTCAACAAAAAGATCATACTCACTTCAAAAGTACTTGATTTGACCACATGAAAAGACAGCAAATACAATGATCAAGAGAAGTAGTGGACTGAATTGAATACAACACTGCATAACGTCACTAGGCTAAAAAAAAAAGAATTAACATAAATATCAAATTGTAAGTGGATACATTACTACAATAAGAATTAATTGTGAAAATAATACAAACACCAAGACCGAGCTAGACTTGCTCCAATATAGTCTGCTATTGATAAATACTGCAAAAACCTAATCTTGCCTTTCCTAGTGATCAGCAGACATTCTTCTTACAACCTTTCAGATTTTAGAACAAAGCAATTCAGCTTGCATTTTTAGCTTATTCTTTGACAATTTCCCTTCTTTAGAATCTTATCACTTCATGCAAGATGTGTATAGTAATTCTTCCTACAAATGTCTCATTAACATATGTAAAATACAACACTTTAGCTTAAATTCTGCGCTGGTTTACTAATGTTATCAATAGCAAGATATTGCAAACAGGTGCAGTACTGCATTGCACGTCATAAGACCTAAATCAATAATACTGTCTTCAAATTAGGGACAGGAAGGTGTGCTGTACAGGTGGGTGCAGTCACTTGGTCATGAACTGAACATGTTTTACTCTTCCATTAGACCTGGCAGCAGATGGGCCCTTGGAGACAGGAGAAGGGTCTTTTTCTGTCAAGACGGAATCTTGCTTTGTCTCTTGACTCAAAACCCCTGTCAGGGCCCGCTGCCTCTCATTCCCACCCCTCCTCAGCGGGCTGACCTCACGCAGGCTCCTACTGGAGGCGCCCCTCTCCGCCAGCAAACTCTTCCCCCCCACGGGACTTTTCTGACTGCTGCTCCGGGCTGCAGACGGGGCGCAGCCTCCCCTGGGTGCAGCCGGGGGCTTGATGCCCGAAGCTGGAACTGGCAGCGGATTGCGGATGTTACCGGCCGCCTGCATGCGCTTCAGGTGGCCGGCTCCGGGCGAGGGGCTCTCAGGCTTTTGGCCCTGAACCCCTGGTCGGGGGTCCGAGGAGGCCACCCGGCTCTCGCTGCTGCTCCTCCTCTGGGGCCCGCAGGCTCCGGCTCGCCGCTCCAGCAAGGGGCTGAGCCGGGAGTGGCGCTGGTAGGCGTAGGCGCGGCAGGCGCCGTTACAGAAAGGGTAGTGGACCCGGCAGTGAGGACAGGCCGGCCGGGAGAGCTGAGGGGCCGAGGGATTCCCCAGGCAGGACAGGAAGGCCAAGGGAAAGGCACGCTGGCACTGGCGGAGGCTCTTGGGGGAGCTGAGGTGCGCCGGAGGGGCTGTGTGAGGCCGGGGGCGGGCGGCCGACACGAGAGAGGGGGACTTGCTACCTTCCGCCTGCACGGTTTGGATCTGCAGCCACTCCAGCTGCAGCAGCCTCTCCAGGTACCTCTCCAGCTGCCCCACGGGCTTCGGGCGCGGGGCCCCCTTCCCCTCCGTGTTGAGAAACAGCGCCAGCTGGCGCAGGCTCCAGGAACTGAAGGGAGGAGGCAGGAAGTCTGGGTAGCTGTAACCAGGGGAGCCCCCTCCTCGGGCACCGGGGAAATAGGGGTGCAGGTCACTGGGATCGACGACCTCGGCCCGAAGGTGGAGCTGCGGGGGGGTGCAGGGGGAAGGAAGCACTGGGAGCCTCTCCGAGTCGGAGAGATCGCTGGCGTTGTCGCCGTCATCTTCCTCTCCCGCGTACAGCTTTAGCGTCTCCAGGCTGGGGGGCTGGCCTGTGCCCAGCTCGGGACACCGCTTCTCCTGAGGGGGCACGAGGGGCAGAGACAGCAGGGGCCTGCTCTTCCCCGAACCCAAGGAGCCTACATCGGTCTCACTCCCACTGCAGGACCCCGGCAGGACCTTCTCCCTCCAGCTCCCTTCTGCCAGCGGGGAGAGTAATGGTTTCCCGTCTTCTTTCCCCGATATCCTGAAAAAACAGTCCTCAGACCTATCATCTAACAAGTAACACCCCCATTCGCGCATGACAGGCAACATGGTAACAAATACCAAAGGCTCTGAAAGTATCACTAAGCTCTACAAGGTTTCAAAATATTTTCGGTTCATTTTAAATTAACATGGAATGTTTACCTACAGCGCCTTGGTGTGCTGTTCAGACTCTTACAGGAAAACTGCAGCAGTCCCAGTGTCTCAGACCTCGGTAACATCGTAAATTAATTGGCGGTACAGAGTTTTTTTTACAGATTTTGAATTGAGAATACTTTGTGAAAGTATTGTAGAGTCGCCATTGTTGTTACAAAATGCTAGTCTTGCCATGGGCGAGAGGGAGAGTCTGTGTGAATTGTGACGTGATGCGGCCCTTCCTGCTCACTAGTCACTGTAATGGCTAATGTAATGCGATCTAGGAGCAAATAAGTACAGGTTGTGCAGCACACATTTAACTTCAGAAATGTTCCAACATGCTTAAGGGTATTGTTGGCAAAACCGTCACGAGGCAGAGAGCAATATTTCTATTGGATTAAAAGAGGTATATTCACACAAGTCTGCTTCTTTAACATGTAATATGGCTGCTTCACGTACTCGAACCGTCATTTTGTTGCCTCGTTCTGAATCACTGACAATGTCATGGCTATGTTATGAGGTTGAATTTTAGGATTTGGAGCGGACGCTCACCGGGCTGTATCTGGAGAAGGAGACAGAGTTGTACTCTCAGTTACGGAGAGACTTCCAGATTTGGTCCTGCACCCTTTTCGCTGAGATCCCTAGAAAAAAAAACAAGTCATTTCTTCCATTCTGACAATAATCACAAATAAAAGCTTTTTTTGTCTGCGCTGCCCGATTGTGCAGCCCATGATCTAAGATAAAAAACATACATTTTCAGACATCTAGATCCAAACGAATGTACATGTGTGCACAAAGGGGTTTCAAATACGAGGCACATATTAGCATACATAAGAAAGGTTACAAATGAGAAGAAGCCATCAGGTCCATCTTTGCCTCCGATACTTTTTTGGATACTTTGCTTTATATCTTGACGGCCTTATAAAAGACCGAACTGCCCCAAAACAACCAACTACCCAGAATTACAAGTTCAAGCATCTGACAGATACACCACTGCCTTATTACAGAAGTGAGATGCTTTGGCTGAAGAATATAGAGTGTTGATGCTTTAAAGTGCCCTCTAACATTAAAACCCCACGTCACCTTGGGGTCAGTTTCCTGTCCAGGAGGGATACGATCTGCCCCTGACTTACTCGCTCTGCGGCCTGGGGAAGTTCCTTGCCCTGGCGAGGGGATCCGTGCTTGGGCTGTGCGCCGGACTTCTTCTGGGCTCTGAGGCTCAGAATGGCCTTCCCTTTCTTGGAGCTGTCAAACAAACAAGACCAGATTTGGGTTTGGGGGCTACAAAGGCACAAGTGCTACATCAACAAAATTCTGGTAAAACAGTGAGCTTGCCATTGAAAGCGAGGAAATTAGTCATCGCTGATGATAAAAAAAAGGGGGAACTGAGCTCCTTCAGCTGCAAATAACAGTGCATTTCGGAACTGACCTGGTCACTTGTCCAATATTTCCGGACGCTTTAGTCCTTATTCTGTCTTTGGAAGATCCCTTCTTGAGGGCGGTTGTGCCTGGTCGTTCTTGCAAGACGGGGCTCATCGCTGACCCAGGACTGCGTCAGTACCATACAGTCACAATTCACCAGAGGACTAGTGATGGGCTTCGCCATAGAAGCTCGCTTATAGTCCCAGGCGAACATAATCCAGGCCCTATGCTACGAAAGAAATTAAGCATGGTTTTTGATGATGGGGTACGCGCTGTAAGAAAACGCGATATATTATAAATTGCGGCAGTGTTTACCCTATAAAGCGTGCAACTGGGTCAGTTTGTTTTTCTCCACGCTATCATTTAGTGTCAGCCTAAATCCAATTTCAAATCGGATCTCTTCGTTCCGAAATTAGCTTTCCGACGGCTCCTCCGCGTCCACATTCAACTGTTTCAAAGCACACATCCAAAACAATTACCCCGCGAAAACTGTTTATTCAACAAGCCTAACCTAGAACAAAAAATGCGTTTAACGATATTGGAAAAAAAATCCCGTATTTTCGGAAGAATGGTTTACTTTTTTTTCGTCAATTAGCAGACGAGATAAAGATGAAGAAGTGCTTCGTCAGTTTTAGTCCATAACACTTGTGATCCATTGATGTGGGTTTTGTTTACCACGGCTGTCTCTACACACAGCTGTTTAATACAGTGTGCTTCCTGGGAAATGATGTCCTTACGAAATACTCGAGATGATGACCGGCCATCCATAACACTTTCTTAGCATTTCTTAGGATCGCCCATTTACATTGCCAATGATCAAAATAACGACGACAGCCAACAATGAGTACCTGGGCATCAACAAAACCTCTAAATAATCTTTCATTACCTGCAACGGTCAGAACTACACTTCCCATCGTGCACCTCGCAATCTTGAATGTCAGGGGTGACAGTTACGATTAGCAGAAATCACACCCACCTTCTGCCTGTGGTTAACAGCTGGGGCTCTAGGAAATTGCGATGAAGAGTTTAAAAATGCGATTTTAAAGAACGCCGACGCTGTTGTTTTTCTTTCTAGTATACGGCTTTCGTTTTGATAGTAATAATTCCTCCCCAGTAAATCGCCCTCCACTTTTAGTTTTTCATATCCGTGGGTTGTCTCCCTTACGGCTGCACCGAGGAAGACCAATCTCAGAAATGATCCTGATCGCCCCCGTGTGAATTTGAGGAGTATTTCTGAATTTGTGTTGTGCGTACGTGACCTACAGCTGGTGTACAGGAGAGGGAGCCGAAGTCTGCCTTCGAGAGTCAGTGTATGTAAAGGAATATCAAATGAGGTGTTTATTTCACATTAACAACGTTGAGCCTGTGTCTGAACAGCCATAATGCAAACATTGTTTAGTCTAAGTGAGAGTGGTCGTTTGTGTGGAGGAAGATATAATCAGAACTACCATGTCGTCAGATCTGAAGAACTGTGAGCGAAGGCATACGCTAAATGCACCGTAGCGGTGTTGTTGTTTTTAGGGACAATGCATATTTAAAGAGCAAGAATTCTGTAGTAATATTAACGTCTACAGTAATACCATTTTATCTGCTTTGTTAAAAATCTTATTTTGTTGTCAGGGGGACAGTTTGTTTTTAGAGGCGTCGGGGCTTTCACGCATTAGGGGGTTAAAAATGATCTTGTGCGTTTTAATCCTGTTGCTCCACTCCGGGTGTCGGCGACCAACAGCTGCGGATAAACTGTGACATATTCTGTTGATGTAGGAAGTGTAATTAATGAATAAAACTCGCGCCCAACAATAAAAAGAAATGTAAACATCTCCAAAAACGTGATTTTTCTTTACTGCATTTATTACCTACGGTATTAAAGTATATTCAGCACAAACACCCCAGAAACTATAATGCACAATATGTTACGGTAAATCCAGTAAGAGTGAGGTTGTAAATAAAATAATCTCGTGCAACAGCAAATCCTTACCACAAACAGTTTCTCTGGAAAAGTCTTATTTTGCGGTGAGCTCTGTGTATTTTGTTCACTTGTAGCGGCGCCCGGGCCCTCTCTCCGGGGGATGGAGATGGCCAGGCCGGTGTACTGCTGGCAGCAGCCCCTGCGAGGGGGTTCCCCGACGGAGCTGGCCCTCCCCAGGAACCTCAGCAACGTCTCCAGGCGGTACTTCTCCGTTCAGCTGGCTGACGGATTCGGGGAGGAAGCGGCTGGCAAGAGGAAGCCTGTGAGCATCCGCCCGCCAGCCCCCCGAGAGCCCCCGTGCAGTAAGACCCCGAACGACTCGTCCCCCCACTGCGAGCCCAAGCCGAAACCCATCATCCGGAGGAGAGCTCGGTCGCTGCCCAGCTCTCCTCACAGGCGCCGGGGCTCTCTAAAGGACAGTGGCAGTCAGCGGGTGCGCTTTGTGGACTCTCTGGGGTTGGACCTGGCAGAAGTCAAGGTCTTCCGAGCTGGGGACGACCCCTCGGTGCCCCTGCACGTTCTCTCCCGGCTTCTGCTCAGCTCCGAGCTGGCCTCCGGGAGGCAGTTGGAGATCCCCTTGCACTACCTGCAAGCGGACTACCCCGCCCAGCCCGGGGACCGCGTGGATTTCCATCAGCGCCTCCGTCACCAGAGGGTGTGCCTGGAGAGGGCTCTGTGCTCCGAGCTGGGGATCACGGGCTCCGTGTGGGTCCTCAACCTGGCCTTTGAGAAGGAAGTCGGCCTACGCTATTCCTTCACGGGGTGGAAGAGCAGCGCCGACACCAAGGCATGCTGGGAGTCCAGTGTGCGTGAGGACAGGGCGGATGGTGGCCCGGGCTCGGACCAGTTCAGGTTCCACCTGCCAGTGCCGCCCTTCATCCTGCACCCCGGGGCCACCTTGGAGTTTGCGATCTGCTACCGTGTTGCAGGAGCTGAATTCTGGGACAACAACGATGGGCGCAACTACAGCTTTACGTGCCACAGCTACAAACTGACGGTGCCCAAGGAGTGCGAAGACAGCTTGGTGCACTTCATCTAAAGGTGAAACGGCGATATGGATGTAACGCGCAGCGACGCATCAGGCTCGTTAGGTTTGACATCGATTTCTTCACACATACTGTAGTTCTTACTGTTTTTTTATTAAACAATTCAGAGATGAGTGCTGCTGTTCCTGGAAATCCACAATCTAGAAGCTTGACGTGTATCTTTAAATCACCAATTGTTAAATACTAAGACCCAAATTAGGCAAACCAGGTCTCTCACAGAGAATTAAAAGGGCAGGCACATTGAAATATGCACTTTCTTTATCTGTCAAGCAGCCTGCACTGAGTATTATGTCTCTCACCTAATGATATAGAGTTCCTATTCAGATCACAATAACCTTTTGTAAAAAAAACAACAGGAAATACATTTTTAATTAAGTACACTTAAAACATCTTGCCTGTCCTGACAATAAAGTTCTTATGTTATCAAGCCTAATTATACATGACATGGTTTTAGTTTGCTCTGGTCCTCTAGCCTGTTTGTTTTCTACCAGTAATGCAATAACAAAGGTCTTAGTAAATCCGCTATTTTTGAATGGTTCTCTGTACTGCATTAAATGAGATCTCCCCTGCTGTCCAGCAGAGTCTTCCCATCACCTGGCCTATCTCTGTTCCTTTGGCTCTGCTGTTCACTCCTTCTCCTCTTTTAGTAAGGAATTTGGGTGCTACTTTGGAGCTACTCTCTTATAAAACCTCTCTCCCCTTCTCCTTAGTATTTACTTGCTTCTTATTCCTCCAAAGACTCAGTCAAAACCTTAATTTTTAAAGTGAGATTCATCCAGAGGCCTTGTGGAACAAAAAAAACACAAGACAAGAAATCATACTGTGCGCTATTAAAACTTATGTTTATTAAATTCTATTCACAATACCATACAGAACATTACTGGTGAAAAGGCAAAATAATCTTTTACAAGTTCTAAAAATAGTGATAGACTCAGAAAAAGTATATGGACTGAGCGATGGAGTTCCATGACTTTGGCACACGAAGTGAGAAGACCCATAGTTAACATCCAGGTCTTAGAAATAGGCAGGAATCCAGCATCTACTGAATGCAAAGCATGGATCATGTGAGTGTAGAATGGCAGCCCATCTCAACAGGCTAAAGCAAAAGATATCGAGAGGATCCATCTTTAACTCCTGATGTAGTATACTGTATATAAGAATGTCTCTTGTCTGAAACATTTTATACCTTCAATAGGGAGGATTATGAAAGAACTTGATTAAATGATCTGTTCTTCTGCATAGTACCAAGTCGTCTTCGCAAGAAAAGTCACAGGAGACTGGAACAAAATTTCTTACCATGTTGTTCAGTCTAACACTAGAGAATCCTTCACGGATTCTTGGGATTTGAAAGAAGTTATTAGCAAAAACATGAACAAGATGGTCTGAATAATACCTGCTGTAATCTTTACGTTCTTAATACAGTAGGGTGGTCCTTGTAAAATCTAAGATAGATGACTGTAAAGTAGTCCTTGCAAGATCTCCTGCCTCAGCTCCTCAAACTGCAGATCATCCAGACCTCTGCTGCTTGTTTTGTTCTTTCCCAACTTAATTGCATCTGTGCTGTTCCCTTATTTCCCACTGGGCACCTGTGTCTCCCTGTAAAGCGGACTGTAAAACAGGAACTGCAGTCCCCATTTTTCAGATGGGTTGTAAAATCTTGGTATCAAAATAAATTCATTGAGGGTACAGAAAACTTTTACAAATTTCAGATTAAGCACAAAATCCTAAACTTTGTGAAAGTACTGTACGGTCGCCGTTGTTGTCGCAAACCCACGGTATCGCCACAGGCGAGGGTTTGCGCCAATTGTGACGTGATGGGGCTCTTCCTGGTCACTAGTCACCGTGATGACATTCGCAGAAAGTTTCCAACGTGATCTGCATGCAGAGTTAACAAGCTTAATATTTCGGCAAAACCATCTCAAAGTCAAGAGCAATATTTCTATTGGATTAAAAGAGATGTATTCGGAAGAGACTTCACCGGAAGTTTTGTTGCCTCATTCTGAATCGCAGACAATGACGGCAACATGGCGCTGCGCATACCTGGAAACGTAATCTATTTTCTATTGTATATTGGAGTTTTTTACAAGTGACCGTGTCCATTTTACTTTTACTGTGGTTTGAAACGCACTCATCAATGCTGATTCTTTTTTAACCCCGAAAAATACAAATAGAGACGCAGTTCCCCCTTAAGTCCCTCCTCAGTAGTTGGGTTAGATCATAATGAAAGCAAGGTTGGAAGTGTACAGTAAAACGTGGCTCACCAAGCTGAGAGAATGGCCGCCTATCCAAAAGCACAAGTTGCCCCAACCCCCCCCCCCCCTGCCTATTGTGAGGAGTGAGGTAGGGGGTTTGCTGTTGATGGGGAGACAGGGAGGGAGAATTCGAGAGAGAGCTGTAAAGGGAAGTCCTGGGTGCGAGAGCTACAGTATATACGTAAGAGAGAGAAAGTGTATGTGCTTAGAGTCCCGCCTTCCTCCCAAACATCTTTGGGAAAACGTCATGAAGCCCATGGAGTGTTTGTACTCCTCAGACTTCAGCATTCTTCCAGTTGCCAAGACAAAGTCCCAACCCCTGGGGGACTTCAGCTGTTTTGTTGCTCCAAGGCTGCTGACTGATTTCCCAGCTCACATTAGATGGACTCTAGTCTCATGTCGGCAGCCCTTTCAGATCTTATCTATAACGTCACAACAGCTTTTATATACAACATCCTTTCATTCTTTTTACTGTAATTCATTTTGTGGACACATCACATTGACTTGCCTTTGCCGTAAGTGTAAGGTGCTTTGAGATCATGTATCATTAAATTTTGTATTTGAAATAAAATTATTGTGATGAGAGTGGTTATTTTTGCATGGTGTGTGACAGGTGTTATGTAAATACAATTTCCCCCCCTTTTCTTATTCATAGATTAAAGTAATCCCTTACAGAAGCAACTTGAAACTGTAATGTACTTTTTTTCTGAGTAGGTTTCTTCAACACAGTTGCATGCCTGTTGAAGAAAATGAGGGAAAGAGGCATCTGGTCAGAATTCCTGTTTATCTTTTATAGCTACATTATCACCTAGTAAATAGAAACAACCTAATAAACTTGCAGTGTTATCTAAACATTCGACTCAAAAAGACCAATTAACACCATACCTTTCTTGGTACAGTATATCACATGAACAGCTGAGGTTCACCTACTGGGTTTATTAACCTGCATTTTATTGTGTGCTACTGTACTTGTTCACTCCTGGAAAAACGGACACTTTGTGAAGAGGTTCGAGTGTTTGTTTTAAGTTCAATCTTTCAGCTTCTAGAGTGGCTGTAATAACCACGATGATGATGATAGGGTTTGAACATTACTTGGTTTTCAGAACTAAATAATCCCAAGGATAACGTCGGTCGACCCTGGCTTACGTTTTGGTAAGGTGTTTTTTTTTTAAAATAGGTAAGAAAACGTTAGAAAAATATATAGCAACTCCTGGGAAAGACCATTCTTTGGAAGTTATCGTGACCTTTGAAAGTTATGTAAAACGGTAGAAGGAATAAGTACATGGATATAGAAATCTAACCAGTTGGACCGGTTAAGGGGAGGTGCCGGTGCTCGAGCCTCACCGCTGTCTCAGCTCTTAGCGTTTCCCGCGCCCGGCTGGCCTGTCGCGTGCCGCTCCGGTGACTGGAAACCGCAGAAGAGCGGTTGGCTTTCACGGTCTAACTTATTGATTCTCGCACCTGTCACTAATGGATGTTTCATTTTTACCGTCGAAATCCGTCAAATATAGTCATGTCTTTTTAATGACATTCATGTTGTAATTTCTTGAAGAACATTCCATCGAGATTAAAACGTATTAAAGGTTTGTTTGACTGTTTTGTATTGAATTATGAATTTGGCCTGTATGTGTTATTAATGTGATGCCGATGATCATCTAATCAAAACAGATCCGATCGCCTGAAGCTTCAATGAACTGTAAGTTTTCCATTTCTTTTGTCTTTTAAAAGTCCGTTCCGGTCTCTCGTTATTGTACTGTATACCACAGCCTCGCATTTTTCTCAGTGGACTCTGCAATTTTGGGTTAATTAATGACGTTATTTATTTCTGTGGTACGTGTCATTAATGATGGGATCTTAGACCAGCTCTAATGTTTAAAAGCTGCTTCACAGAATGGCCCATGGCAAAATGAGAACGAGTTACTGTTCATAGAATTAAGGAATGAAATAGCCCACAGATTTTAGAGTGCATAGTACGGTAGACGTGAGAAAAACGTTCGTAGCCCTCATCAACAGACATTTAACAGGAAACACAATAAATTGAGGAGCATCTTCGTTTGTACCAGGTTATTTCGATTAGCACCGTTGTAGGCGTTTTGCATCACAGAAACAATGTAGCTACCTTCATTGATTGCCACTTGCAAAAATGAATTCATTTTATATGACTATTTTGTTTTAGTTCCCAGTTTCTACTGTTGTAGGGAACATGTTAGTAAAAACAATCACTGGTGGAAACGCTCCATGTCATATACCAGATAACCAGATTTCAGCCTCAGTGTAATAAATCTAATTAGTGTCCATTCATATACTTTTATTATGAATGTACTTATATTAATATAAAAAACTTGAGATCTATTGGGGTTGACTGGCTTTAAGTCCAGAGTGTGGACCTGCAACGTGTTACCGCCAAAGACTACTGTTGGATGATTGGATCACATCTCACAGATCATGGATCCTCTGCTTCATTAGAATAATAATTGATTTACAATAGACTGACAGAAAATGCTAGGACTTTATTGGGTATTAAAAAAGCAGTATACAGTACATAAAGGCTATTCCTAGGTATTTAGTTATAAATAGGCATACTCATAGGCACATTATTCTGTTCATTGTACTTACTGCAGTGTTTGCCATTCCTGTAATTATAACTAGCAAGCATGCCATATTAACGCATTTGTTTCTGAAGGCATTTTGGTGTAAAGAAATGGTGTATAATTGAAAATCTTTTTTTTTTTAATTTTGAATTTTGTAGGGAGTTTTTGCTGTTGACCTATTCTCAAAAAAGACAAGTTTCTTTCCTTAGTCAAAATGCCACCTCATCAGGACCAGCAGGTAAAACGTCAGAACTTATAAAAACATAGGAATAAGCAGGCTCACTAAGTTTCCTTTGATAGAATCCTCCTGCTGGAGTGAAAACTGTACTACTGTGGGGTTACAGCAGAAAGTCACATGACCTAGAACTGTCTACTAGCACACCGAAGATTCTGCCAAGATTGAGGTGACATGTCATGTCAGTAAGGATGAGGGTAAAGTGGAAGGTGATTGTGGCATCAGTGCACATCACTGGCTTCTGTGAATGTCTGGCAGACTGTAGAATATTGCATTGTTGGTGGAAGCTGATCTGTCCTTCAAATGCAACCTTTTGCTCTTGGATCCAACATACTTAACTGTTTAATTTACCAGTGCATTGTATTTATCCTTTTACACACACTTTGTCCCGTAGTTTGAGAAATGCATAGATGAAGCACTGAAGAAGAATGAGTTCCATGGTTTGGGAAAGTTTCTGCAGGACAAAAGCAATGAAGGCACTAGTCAGAAATGTTCGAAGCAGCTCATAAATAAACTGGACCAACTCATGAACAGGGTAGGAGTGGAAATATGTTCATCATCTGGTGGCATAGTATCCATAGTGTGAAATTTTAAAGTAAAAATTGTAAAAGTACAGATATTATTGTCAAATAATGCCAGATCGCAGCTTCACAGCTAGCTGGGCCTTTTTAAATTTAGCATAAGCATGGAGAAACACAAGTGATGTGGTACTTTATTTGCAAACATTCATTCAATACTAACTAAAATTTCACAAACTTAAAGAGATAAGTCACAAAACTACAAAAGGCAAAAATATGTAGCACATGTTTTGGAATCCTCACTTCATAATTTTAATTCTCAGACTTATCTGAAAGGTTGGGTTGCAAAACCACTTGCCAATCATTAAATAGCTACAAATCAGAACTTCTTAGATCCTTTTCATCTTTACCATTCCTCAGATTTTTCACAAGTCTTTTCCCTCAAGAGTCAACCTTCCAAGCAAAACACCAAAACAAAGTCAGGTCTTAAGTAAAACTAGCAAAAAAAGCTGTGTTTCTCAACAGCTGTGTCTCATGCTCCAGGGTTTCAGCCACTGAGTATTTGCTTTCCTTTTGTGTATTTGTAGGAAATTGATAAAAGAAGGCTAAAAAATGCCTCTCAGCTGCTATGTTGCTTGCAGAAGCTTGGAAAGTCTCTAAGGATTCAGGGAAGTGAAGGAATAGCTGTGATGTTAAAACAAGGCCTTGTGAACAAGATAAGTATTTTAATAGGAGTTTTTTTTATCATTTATACATGCATAAACTAAGAACATACTTAGATTTGAATCAAAGAAAAAATGCCTAATGTTTATACATATATCACAGGACAATAACAAAAACATAAAACTCATCCGTTCCACACAATTTACGTATAGGTAAATTATTATAGGTAATACTGTATTGTATATTACTTAGTATCTCTACAGTTCCTACACTATACTGGCAGCCTACCCAAATGGTAGTACTGCAGTGTGCCCTGTGCTTCTTGGATAGCCAGGTTACAGTGAGTCTTACAAAGAAGAAGCTACTTTATGATCATGGATGTATTTTGCAGTTTCCATGTGTGACTATCCAGGAATTACAACATCCAACAAGCAGTCTACATGTTATCAATCCAGTTAAAGTACATGTCCTCATATAATCACCACAAAATGGATACTCATTTTACACAGAAAAGGGTCCCATTTGAAATAGTTTGTTTTAATCGGAGTGAATGCTAACAGTCTGCATCATTGTTTCAGATGGTGCAGTGGTTCGATAAAGCCAGAGAGATATGGGCAGAAGGAGGACATATAAAAAATGAAAACTTGCTGAATTTTGCAGAAGATTTTTTTGATTTTGTGATGGTGAGAATTGCCTTTCTGTATGAAAAATCTTTTTTATTGCACAAACCCTAGTAAAATACTTTAATTTGACCTATATCTATAATGTCTATGTAAAATTTTAATTAGTACATTGGAATTGTTGTGACAATTTTGTCTGACAGATGCTTCTTCTGCCTTTTAATTTCCTTCCTTTTTTTAAAAAATCATTTTTTTGTTAGAGCCTTCTTGTGAATGCACCCAACTACCACAACTCCTTGTCCCAGGCCTTTTGTAATTCCCAGTGACTACATTAAAAGCATGACTAACCAATAGCTTTGTTTCAATTCCCCCATTGTGATCTGTGAGTTTTGTATTGCACTCAATGTAATTTATTTCTGTTTTTTTTCTTCACCTCTTGTGTCATTTTTGTTTTATTATAATTCTGCTGGTAAGAATTATTGTACAAATGTTGTACAGTACAATGACTTATGGTAGTTGCCATGAAAATCCCTTCAGAAATTGAAGGCTTGAGTGGGTGAGTAAAGGATTAAAATCAAATGATATAAATGCAGATACTACTAGGTAAACTACTTGTCTGAGTAGTATTAGTAAAAGTAAGATTTAATATAATATACATTGTATTTACATTTTCACAGGCTGTGCATGAAAACAGCAATGAAGGTATGTAAAATAGCTTCCATACCTGTATATCTATGGCAAAATTATTGAAATTGTCACAGTATTTTCTGTAGTTCATTTATTTGTGTTTCAGTGTTACAGCACAGTTATGCCAGTCAGTGTCATTGTGTAAAGCTTTCTTAATTGATCATTTCTTAGGAAAAAGCCAAGTCACCAAAACCTTCCTGCATCGTGCAGGACAGCTGACCGCAGATGCTGGTGTGCATATCTCTATCCAACAGGAGGTACTGTAACCCTGACTCTTATGATCAGTCAGTAATGTTCAAAGCTATTTTATATGTTCAAAAATCAACAAAATAACACACTTCTTTTCTTTCAAGGCTGTAAGAAAACTGAACCAAATTCTTGATGAAAGCCCACATGAATTAAAAAGACAAGTTTTATCATCTGCAGAGATCTTAAGTGTCATGTAAGTAAAAGTAGAAAACTTAAAATACTGATTTCTTACATATTCATAGCGTTTTTTCATCCTTAAGAAACCCAAAGCACTTTGCAGATAGGAGAGAATCCTGTTAATTCACAACCGAAGTACAACAACCACTTGGTCAAAATACTGTACAATAACCGTTCTGTACTAAAAGTAACCGCAGTACATCAGGTGCAGACCGAGAAATTATTTTTCTGGTTGTGCATTCTGAGATAAAATGGCAAGTTGACACTGTAGTTAACAGAATTAACTCGGAATAACACCACCCAAGAATGAAGTGTACTGAAAGAATTCTGGAGTGTTTAGTGAAAATTTGGATAAACCCGCTTGGCTGAGGGTAAACCTCCTGGTCACAGGACGAGGAGAATGGGACCCCCATCCAGAGTGAGGAGTGACAAGGGGCAGCTCCAGAGGTGGAGATGGGGTGGAGGTGGGATGCATAAAGGCGCATGTGAGGAAGAGAAGGGGTTCACGTACAGTACACAGTCTTTATAGTGTTCAGGAGAGGAAGTGACATCAGGAGTGTTTGCGAATTACAGACGGCCAGGTCTGATTGAACATGGCTGTTGTCATTCCTTCCGAACTTTCATTACAAACGCCATTAAAACAGAAAAAAGTTGAGTTTCATGGATTTCTTCTATTATTCCTTCCAATTTGTACTTAAAATAAGCAGAGGACATGGGCTTGATAGTTTGTCACACAGAAATGTGCACTTCACCAGTAAAGCACAGCAAAATTAACTTGTATTATTTGGTTCCTTATTTGTTTTGCCCCAGGAAACTTTTGGGTAAACGAATAATGGAAGGTGGAGGTAGGTGTTTTTTTAGTTTTGTTTTACACTATCTGCAAAAAAATCGATTCACTTAAATTTCCTTCAAAGAGAGTGTGCAATCTCTTGCAAAGTCCGTAGTCCCTAGTGTCTTCTCTGTACAAGCACTATGTGCACTTGTTTACATGTGGCTCTGTGGCTAAGAATCTGCGCCTGTGGCTGGAAGGTTGCCGGTTCAAATCCTGCAGCTGGCAGAGGAATCCTACTCCGTTGGGCCCCTGAGCAAGACCCTAAACCCAAACTGCTCCAGGGGTGCTGTACAATGGCTGACCCTGTGCTCTGACCCCAAGCTTCTCTCCCTGTCTGTGTGTCTCATGGAGAGCAAGCTGGGGTAGCAAAAAGACAAATTCCTAATGCAAGAAATTGTATGTGGCTAATAAAGTGATCTTATCTTAATGAGGGGTTTGACTGTGTAACTGAGGGCTGGAACAAAACCCAGCAGGTGTGTGGGAAACCACTGACATAGACCTTTCTACTTCTTGGATTAATTGAGCCAGGGATGAGAGGACTATAGTAAAAGTAGAATGTCACATCTTAATTACACTGTAATTCTACTATTTGTGTGATTTTATTTCTAGAAACTTTTGGCAGGAAATGTGGAGGGGGATACCACCTATCTGATTTAGGATTCTGTGGGGTAGTGGATATGATTTTGTTTGGGGGAACTGTTATATTGTTATGTCTGTCATCTTCTGGTTTGAAAGATTACAGTTAATCAAAATTTGTGCAAAAAATGTTAGAATGTAAGCACTTGAAAGAGCTCTACTGTCCTCTGCCTGTTTCAGACTATGACTTGCAGGTAGCTCTTACAGAGGCCCTGTGTAGGATGACTACAGAGAAGCAGAGGCATGAGCTAGCAGATGGGTGGTTTAGTGTGGAGTTCGTAGCCAAAGCCTTCAAAAGGATCAAGGATTCTGAATTTGAAACGGTAAATATTCCTTTCTCTGAATATGTGACTCCATAATTCTGCACCAAAAATAATTGACATTTCTTATTTCTTTTTGTTTTACACTAGGATTGCAGAAAGTTTCTTAACCTGATAAATGGCATGCAGGGAGACAGAAGGAGGTACTTAAGATTATTCATGTATTTATGTACAGTATATCTATCTGTATTTCTAGTAAGATGTACTTGTATGACTGCTGAAAGGCTCAGGCTATAAAGAAAGAACATCTAACCTTGATCTTGCAGAAGCTTAGCACACTAACGAGCAGGAGAAAGATGTACTAACGAGGAGCACATGAGATGCACAGGGAAGGAAAAACAGGGGTGTGTAATTGAGAGGAAAGAATGCGCTTCACTGCGTTCCTTAGATATGACAATGAATATTAAATACATCTGTCGGAATGAACAACCTTTTGCAAAATGAACTTTATAATGCAGATCAGTTGTACACAAGCAGCTGCGTCTGCTTTTGATTTTTGAGAATTGATGGTGTGATGGTGCACTCTGATTCTGTTGATCTCCCTTTCAATGTCTCCGTTTCCTGGTTTGGAGTCCAACAACAGACAATTTAGATATCATTTCTTTTTATTCACAGAGTTTACTCTTATCCTTGCCTGGAAGTATTTTTGGATAAACATGAGGTTAGTTATTCTACTGTTTATGTGTCACACTACAAAATGTATTATAGGAATATGAAAGTAGAGAATATGTGCAACCTTTAATCCCTATATCAATGAATCTATTTAGTATATAATCCGAGGTTATTCTTGAGGTTCCTTTCTAGATGTGCTTTTTCATTGGTGTGTGTAAGATTATTTCTTGACTAGTACAATGTTAAGTCTGTGCTGTACCTGTACTGTGTTTTCTAGTTGTTCATGCCAGCAGATGACAAACTTGAAGAGTTCTGGATAGATTTCAACTTGGGTAGCCAGAGCATAACATTTTATATTTCCACTGCTGATGGGGAGGAGGTGAATTTTAATTTTACATTTTTTAGATTGTTCATTAATTGAAAAACATATACTTTTTTTTATTTTAAATGATTTTTTTTAAACTAAGTTTTGAGTCCATGTCATTTAATTATTTGTATAATCATATAACGTTTTAATAAAGCACATATGTTTTTAGAAATTTAATTCTCTAGCTTTTATTTTGTGTATGCAGTATGTGTGTACTGAAAACAAAAAAACCCTTGTTGTTGCATATGGAGTATGGCTTACACAGATAAAATGATTTCTCTTCTCAGGAAAACCAATGGGACACTGTGTGTATACCCAAGGATGAAGTTGAATATTATACAGTGAAAGGTAAGAATATGAAAGTCTTTCATAAACATATTTTGGATGTTATTTTACAACAGTGAATATTGTGCTCCCATAGGGTACACCTCTTTAAATGCAAAAAACACTGATGGTGTTCAAACTCCGAAAGAAATATTAACAGCAATAACTTCAAGGTATATTTCAAATTTGAATATTTTTCAGGCTTATTAAAATGTGTTGATTTCAATGAGAACAATTTTGCCCTGCTTATATTCAAAGCCATTTCTATTTTGTTGAAGAATCTGGGTTGATTACTGTGTGGTCAGTGTGTGGGGCTGGAGCCCCACACACTTTCCTACAACAAAATGGTTGTCCAGTATATCTGTGTTAAAAAATGTTAAATACAAATTCACTGTACTGTATATGACTGGATCATTTCAATAGGAATGATGTAACACATTAAAACACAATGATGTTTTAAATACTTACATTTTTTCCATGTTACTTTTCAGCAAAGTAAATGTACTTGCTGTTTATTCTAAATGTTGCGTTCTGTGAAAGAGTTAGTGTCTCTGTGTTATTACGGTACTTAACAATCCTATTTTTTTAAAGGGGGGATGGGGTTTCCATGGGGAATTCTGATTATTAATATAATACAAGTAACATTTTTAATACTACTCTTACAGAACTAGTTTATATATTAAATCAATGGCCAACTTTTCATGTTTGATTGAACAGTTTGTATGAGCCTGCCAGTGTGCAAGGGCCTGGATCCCACTGGACGTTATTACTGCTCAAAGGAAAATAAAAAAAACAGTGTGTAGAATGTAGAATGCACTGTGCTGTTTTTACCTGTTTTTTTTAATTCATTTAGAGGAGAAAGGACAAAAAGTATTAACAGTGATTCTGAAGCAATTATTAAATAGTGGTGGAAGGGAGGGGAACAGGATCCAGATGTATTTCAGTGCAGCTCTGGACATCGGGGAAGCAGTCAGGCATGTGTACGGAGAGCCAGAAAACAAAGTAAGTCTTACTCCAAAGAGCCTTTCAATACAATTGTATACTGGATTCCAATCCACCATAAAATGTGAAATCTAAGAAAATCCTCTGAATGTAGTACTTTTATATTTGTTTTTTTGTCAAGGGTTTGGTGTTCTTTTTAGTTTTTTAGTTATTTCAGAAAGAAATGTAACATGATATTTCGAGTAGAAAATAAACATCTACTGGTTTTACAAAGAGCTGAGGGACAGGTGCCTTTAAATAAGTCCCTGCCTGCACAACTGCACAAATACAGAAGCTTAACCATGTATTTGTATGCTACAGTATACATAATGGAAAACAGCTTGACAAAACTGTGGTCACTTTAGATTTTGCCCACAGAAAACGTAATGTCTTCTGTTGTGCCCATGCCACAAATATAACAAATCACACATCCTCAGTTATTGTGAATTATTTCTCTTTTTTCTACTCAATCAAATGTTGCATTTGTAGAGAGTATGGTAAAAGTTAATTTACCTCCTTGTAGTTTTAATGTCCAATAATTATGACACAGGCAATAGTATGATTGTGAGTTAGCTGATCTTTTTCACTTTTGATCCTTTATTTCTTAAACTGAGTAAGCCAATACTGCTTTAACTCCTCACATATAAATGAATAATAGTCATTAGCCCTGAATAACATCATAATATTGTGGCAATTCACCAAACCTGCTTTACATATCCCTGTATATGGGGGAGTGTTGATAAATGCAAAGTATTTTGTTTCCACCACAAGAATAAGTGTTATCTGAATGATAGGGTTAGTACCCTTTTTTCAATTATATTATTAAATGTTAAGAGCCATTATATATTTTTCTAATTAATGTACTGTTAAAACTTATAGTTGTGCTTCTGTGGACCAAATCAAATGCACTTTTCCTTTAACTTTAAATTATCTTGCAGAGAACTGTTGGAAAGTGTTCTGTAGTGAAAACGATTGTGCACTACATTGAGACTGAAGATGGTTCTCAGGTCTGTAAAGCTTTTACCAGTTCAGAAATAAAATGCCCTCGGAAAAAATGTTCTATATGTGTGATTAAAAATAACTATTGTTTGAATGTGTTGGCTGGATTAAAATGTGGGTGATTCATAAGCATTTATTTGTGCTTTATCAGCTTTTTAGTAGTTTTCTAGACAACACTGTAAAGAAAACAATTGAATTATAAAAGTTGTCACATACAAGACAGTTATGTAGAAAGGGGGTCCTGTATGTTACTCAAAAGTATAGTAAATGTTCTTAGTCAAATATTTATGTCAGCCCTGACTCAATTGCTTCAGCACTAGCAATTTCTTAAACCACAACTGGTCAGGGATTTAGAAGTGTACATGTTCTCTTTGTTGTTTAGTGAACAATGAGGTAATCAAATAATAGTATTTAAATTATTGAAAGTGATGAGTTCTTTGAACCCAACACCTTACATTTGTTCTTCCCCAGAATAAGTCTACCAGATGTGGGACAGTAAAATAACTAGCCTACACATTCATATAAGAATAAGTACCCAGTATTGTGCTTTATACAGTATGTATCATTTTCATCACATACATCTTAAAAGAGGATTCCTTTCAGTTTATATTTAAATTTCAGGTTTTAGTTCCTGAAAGTCAAGTCTCACAAACTCTTAGTACAGTGCAAAGGCCAATGGAGAATGAGAATAAAATCACACAGCTGCCTCCACATTCAGTAGCATCGGAAGAGAGGTCTCGAAGTACGAAATCGCCACAACACACAGTCCAGGTGAGTGTTAATCAACACTAAAGACATTTCTCACCTGTTTTGAATTGAACGTACATGTCACTGAGGACAATGTAGTCTCAGTAAAAATGCAGCTTTGCCTTGAAGTCTGAGAGAAAAGACGGAATTTTCTTTCAGTCCAGCACTCCTATGAGGTGGAAGGTGTCTGAGGCCAGCTCTATTATATCATATGCTGGTGACCAGCGAGCAACCAGAAGTCCAGCATCAACAGTTATGGCAACCCGTAGGTTTTTCACAAGCTTTTGCTGTTCTTTAAAAGCTATTTAAAAAAAAATTGCATTACATTACCAACATTTATAATGCCAGTTGCTTCTTGTTTAAAGAGTCTTTATTTTTAATTGCACCATACATTATAGCAATTAGTTCTACATGTATTTATTATTCTTACTCTTTATTTGGATTTATATAATTTTTATTAATGTACAAGGCCTGGCATATAAATTATTAAACTTATTTAAGGTACTATTCTGAGGTACTGTACTGTGTGCATCAGACAATTCATTTGCGCTCATAATGGCATATTTGAATTCCACTGTTCCTGGTAAATGAACATTGTGGATACTCTGAAAATTATACTTTGTTGATTTTCAAAATTAATCCTAAATTATATATTCTAAAAATGTATGATAAAAGCTTCATCAAACTTTGCTTAATGTACTTTTCTGTAGTTTATCTGTCTGTAGCAAGTGTGATTTTATTATTTATTTCCCCGCAGCTACAGCATCGAAGGACAAGGTTAAACCAGCACTGCAGCTGATTGGTTCCTCAAAAATAAACAAAGGATACAACATCAATGAGCTGATCACCACAACCCCTTCCAGACAGCCTTCAGTGAGCAAACCTTCTAGTACAGGAAAAGATGTACAAGATCTTGACAAGGTCAGTTATGTTCCTTCTGCAAACAGATCAGTCTTAACACCTTGAAGGTCATTATTAGAGCTGAGCTTCTTTTTCTCTTCAGAGCACCACCACAGCTTTGGAGAACAGCAAACGTGGCTCAGAGAGAGCAAGCTCGACTCAGAAATTCCTCAAGGCATGGGTATACGTCATGTGAACTGCATATGTTTTAGATCTTCTTCAAATGTTCATATTAATGTTGCTCTATTTTCCTTTCAGCATATACCTGTAACCAAAGTTGTTGAAATGGTGCAAGAAGACAAAGATGATGTCAAGGTTACAGAGGAAGAATATATTGGTACAAAAGTGTTTTTCTTGCTTAAACATTCTTGTTGTACACTTTTGTATTTATCCGAGTAAGATTTTCTCTTTTTATCTTTCAGATGATATGATGAATGTTGTGCCTGACACTCAACCTTTTATTAAAAAAGACAAGCCTCTGTAAGTTATAGTCAAAAGTTCAAAAATATTTAAAGATTGAACGACTTAAAACTGAATTTATAAAAGCTACACCGTTGATCTGTGTTGTTTTTAATATGCAATGTTATATCTTGAGTATTTTATTTTTCACAATGATAGTGAGGATAGTCTGTTTTTTTAAGGTTGTCTGACCCTGTATTCAGTGTTTCAAGGGAGAGAAATACTATATCCAGAAAGATGTCCGAGGGTGTATCACCAGCTTTTAACGGAGTATCATCATCATTTAGGATAAAGGATCAAAATGATTCCTCATTGTGTGTCCTTAAACAAGGTACCGTTTTATTGTTCTTAAAGGCAGGCTTGTGTATTTTGTTTCACAGTTATTGATACAATTAATTAGATTTCATGTATATACTGTATACTGTAGGGTATACTTAGAAGTGTGAATAAGCCATTTTTATTCATAAAAAGCTTTAAAAATGTAAAATGAATGTTTATTTTCTAGCAAAGCCAAAGCATATATTTTAATTTGAAACCCACATCCAAAGTTTAGATACAACCTGAAAAGGAAGCCTTCCATCTCAGATCTTGTTTTCCACAGCACCAGGTCATAAAAAGGAAACTTCTTTTCTTGAACACCTTTAGATCAGGCTCAACAGCTGGAATTCTCAATGAAAAAACCACCTTCTTCAACAAAGCACAGCTCGACAGAGACAAACTACAAAGACCTACAGAAACAGGTGACCGAGAAGCTAGAGAGGTTACTCAAAGAGAAGAACCAGAGAGCTGGAGACAGATGTCTGGAAGTGAATGGCAGTCAGGTGCACAGAGAGCAGCCAGCAGAGAGGGGAGCCAGAGTGAAGGCAGCTCCAGCACAGGAGAAGGATCACAGCAGTGCAGAAGCATGTACCAAACCTTCCTTCCCAGCTCCAGCGAAGCAGGCTGAGAAAGCAGCACCTGTGCTGGACAGAAAGCCAAGCACATTTAGCAAGGACTCCTCATTCCGAAAACAGGGGAGTTCACAGTCGACGAAGGAAACTGAAATTTCTGAGAGGAGGACAGATCAGAGAGTGAGAGTTTTCACGATATCAGTTTACAATCTCTAAAATTATATCAAGGGTGGCATGGACGTGCAGTGGTTAGCATGGCTAGCCGGACCCTGGGTTTATTTCTGGACCTGGGGTGCTATTTGTATGTGTGCTCATTGGGGTTTCTAGTTTCCTTCCATAGTCCAAAAAATACATGTAGGTTAACTGACTTCTGGGAAAATTGATCCTAATGTGAGTGTGTGTGAGTTTGTCTGTCTGTGTCTTGCGATGGACTGGTGTCCCATTCAGGGTGTGCCCTGCCTTGCTCCAGTTGCTTGCCAGGATAGGCTCTGTTTACCCCACAGACCTGAATTGGATGAAGCTGTTAGAAAATGGATGGAGGACCCGTTATATTGGCCCGTTTATTTTAAAGGGTCTTCATTAAACTTAATCCTTAGGGATGCATTTGTTAAATTTTTAATGAATCAGCAAACCTTATGACTCAACCTAAGATTTCAGTTTTCTTTCAGACACCAGCCATCAAAGAAGCCTAGAAAACTTCTGTTCCAAGGTAATTGTTCAGACTTATTATTTTGTGCTTATAGAAGACCATCTCAGTGATGAAAAGATGCATTGATGTCACAGAAACAACAACGTCCATTTCAGGAAAGTGCAGAACTGTGACAGGACAAGGGCTAGATACTTCTCTTCAGAAAAGGTAATGCACATAAGATGAGCATTATTAAATCTGTACATAGTATATTAAGAAAACAATCTTTTTCCATCTTCTGAAAGAAGTCTTTGTTTAAATAGGACATATTATTGTATTTTTTAGATCTCACCTGGAAAAATCTTGGTCATTTTCATTCACAGTAAGTATTGTGAAGTGTGGTATTATTTGTGTATATAAGGGTTCACACATATATACTGTAGGAGTTCTTACCATATCAGCTCTTAAAAACCTTTAAAGCCTTTGCTTATATCATGTTAAATCAACCAACTGACATCCTAAAACTGAGTTGAGAATATACTGAGATATAATTCACAACATTCCTTGGTATACACTGTATGCTGGTAAGCTGAATACAACATCATATCATGTGAAAACATGATCCTCATTTTCATCCAGTACAGGTTATTGATTTAACTCATGTCATGTCAGCAGACCAAGTTCAGTGATATAAGTTCCTGCAGCAAAATTTTGACCTCTCCAAAAAATATTTAATTTTTTTCTTCCTCTCCCTAACAGCTTCCTCAATGCTCCTTTGATCATTTAAAGACCCAGAGTGCCGTTTCCTTAAATATCTGAGTAGGGTGTTTTCCAGTTTTTCACATTCCGTTGATTGCTTTCGGATCTCTGGAGAGCCAGGGTTCCCTGGGACTTGGAGTTATTTAACCTTAAGCAGGCTCTCCATAGATCCATTTCCTTTCAGCTGAGTCTTTCAGTTTTCTAATACCAGTTAGCATTATTAACAGTTTTCTTTTACCCTGCTTCTCAGTGTGTTACATGTTTATGTGTTTGTTGGGTAATTAATTAATGATAAACGAGACTGAAAATTAACTCATTAATGTTTTACACTTGTGGAATTGGAAAAAGACTGCAAAATAATTCAATATTCTCATCCCTTTGTGAGTAGGATTTTTCTTGATATCCAGTGTTTCAATAGGATTTACATACTGTATTTACTCACAGCAGCATTTATTTTAATCCAGATAACGATAGAGTATTTTTTAAGCTTTTAACTATATTGTTTATCTATGCTCTGTTCTTATTAATGTACTGTATCTAAGTTCATGTATTATTCACCATTCATCAGTTTATTTATCGAGCATATGCCATAACTCTTAATATATTTAATATGCCTTAGAATTTATGACAAAGGTCATGTCTGATTTACTGCTGGTAGTGTACCTATCCTGCCATTTATACTGAATACAGTTCTCCTGAACAGCACAGTTTCTAAAACATCTGTGAAACGATTCATATCTCTTAAGTATTTTTTGCAGTGTTCTCTTTGAATTGACCCTTATTTATTGTATTTTTATGAATTGTTTTTCTTATAGGAAAAGGGAATTTTGGAAAGCCCAGGATTAATGAAATCATCTTCTCATTCCAAGCAAACAAAGAAAACTGCAGTGCCCCCTGAGTAATATCTCATTGAAATATCTACCAATCATGTTTGTTTTGATTGCTTCTCATTGCTGACTGTCCCTGTGTTTAATTTTGAAAGATCTTACAACACATAAATGAAACTTAAATTGAGCTTTAATTTTCATGTGTTTTATTGTGACCATGTTTGGAAGTGTTTTTCCTTAAACAATTATGATGTTTTTTTCCAATGTTTTCATAGGGATGACATTTACAGCTTCAGGGATGACTCAATAGTAAAATGTGGGGTAGGAGGTGTCTATTGCTGTTGTTTCTTACTTACATCTAGTTATTGTATCACTAAATGTCATGAGTGGTGTTCATTGAACCTTATTTTAATATTTAGGAAGGAGAGAGAACGCTGCCAAAAAGATCAGAGACAAAGAAAAGGTAAGAGCACACTCCATTACGAAGGTCCTGTTTGACTACTGAGTATCAAGCAGCCCTTCTCTCCTTCATAAACGTCTTTGCATTGAGATCTTTTGATACATCTCAAGATACACCCAGTAGACTGTAAAGGAGCAAGGTTTTGAAAAGTTTAATTTGCTAAAATAATGATAGATTTCGAATGAGACATACAACAAAAGCTTTGTACTGTAAGAGCTTAGAAGATAGTTAAAACACCCTGTAGTGTGAATGTATATTGTTTACATTTGATTTTGAAGATGAATGTCAGTTTTATTTCTTAATTTGAAATGTTTCTATTTTTAACATAATTGCACATATTCACAGGTACGTTGTTTGTTATTGTATTTCAATTGCTATTTATTAACTTCTGAACCTGCTTGTTTTAATAAGATATTTTTTTCTGATAGGGAAACTGAAGACTCTAGGAACAAATTCAGCAGTCTGGAGAAAAGTAAAGAAAAAAAGGTATAAAAACAATCAAAAACTGATAGTCACAACCAAATGTTCTCAATTCCTGTTCTTAAAATACTAAGGTCTATTTATTTGAATCATGTATGTAGAGGACTCAGGTAATTAAGTCTTAAATAGACCACAGACTTTCCATTACATGCTTTGACCTCTACTTTTAGGAATCTGAAATGAAGTAAATGTACACTTTGAAGTGTTGCTTGAAGTGAACTCTCTCTTCATTTAATATCCTGGTAGCCCAGAGCCTGTCATGTGAAGAAGCACCTGTTCAGCGACACAGACACAGACCGCAGGACAGAAGACAGCCGGACAGACATCAGCTGGCTCAGGGAGTCCAGCAGACGGCCCAAGCCCAAAGTGAAGAACTACAGCAGGCATCCCTGTGTCAAGCCACCCTTAAACCCTCAGACCTGTACGACTCTGCTTCATATAGATCATTCAGATCATATACTGACTTTAGGACTGTCTCAGATCTAATACCTCGCCTTCCCCGTTTTTGGACAATTCATTAAAACCGCTTTCCTTTTTTAAATGCAGTTAATATTCAATATCAAATTTTGTTAAATTCACTCAGACTGAGCTATTTTTGTCTTTGATTACCCTTTATATTCATTTCTAAATCTTGGGAGACCCTGCTGAAATGGCAGTACCTGTAGGGTAGTACTTTAAGGATGTGGTGTGATCTGGTCTGTACATCATAGAAATGAAAAACCCAGAAGAGGAAATAAGATATAAACATAGATGGAATGAACATAATCTGTTCAGTGCTTATAAGGTTAAAAGGATATGAGATTGGCGTTTTAAACGCAGTAGGGTTGACCTTAGTATTTTTTCAGAATAAGTTTACAAGATAAACACAGGGACATATCTGGAAATGTGTCAGTTTTGCACTTTAATCATAAAAACATAATGTAGATATTATGTAATTATGTAATAATGTAGTAAAACAATGTAGAAATAAAATTATCCTAAATTTGATTAAAATAAAAATGTATTGTTGATACCTGTATTTCCTAAACAAAAAGACTACAAGTAAAATTAGATAATTTATAACAGACGATTGTTTTTTTGTAGATGAATCTCCTGATTTAACTCCATGTATTAAAAAGCCCTTGAAGGATAAACCCAGGAAGGTAAGAGAATACATTTTGAAATGTCTTAGAATAAACAGGCATCTTCACATTTCTAAGACAAGTTGAACATACAAATGGAAAAGAGTGTGAATCTCAAGTAAGGAATAGATTGATACAAACATATAGACCTACGTTCTTAGTATGCTAGTAGGTCATTTTATGTGAGTGTGAGTAACCTGATGTTTACTGGAGTGTGTTTGTATCTACAGAAGAAAAGTCTAAAGGAAACTGTGCAGAATGCACAGATGGTGCCAAACAGGCAGTCTGGAAGACCACAGAGAGCAGCTGCCCAGAATCAAAATTACAAGGATCCTTCTGAATCAGACACCATGAGTGAGTCTCAAGGAGAGGAAGAGGCTGTCAGAAAGGTATCCTGTTCAGTACATAGAATCCAGATGTGAAAGCTTTAACAGGACAATGTTTCTGGTAAATGAGGACAAAGCTTGTTGCAGTATTTACCAATAATGGAAACAGAATAGAGACTCATGGTCTCAATTTAAATGCATGTATCTTTAAATGTTTGGCTGTTGCTTTTATCCAACTTTTGCATACATTTATATAGCTAAGTGATTTTCTAGAACAATTCAGGTAATTGCCTTGTTCAAAGATACAACAGCAGCATCTCACATACTGTAGGATGTGAACCCACAACCTTTGCTGCAGGAGGCAAGAATCCTACCCACTACTCCACACTATCCTTTAGTAGTCCTTGCTCTAGATCTTAAGAATTCAAACAGTATTACTCACCAAATTTCCCCCCACTCCAACAGCTCTACAAACTTACTGTAAATTCAAGTACGTGGGATCTTAATCTATTTTCCCAATGTGGTTTCAGCCCATCCAGCAGCAAGTGAACAGAAATATGACAAAGAAAGTAAAGACTGTTCCCCCACTGGAGAAGAACATGGGACAGAAAGAGTCCCAGGACACATTGGCCCCTTCATTCTCTTCCCTGTCTTCCCCACCTCTGTCCATTGAGAAGATGCGATGTGAGTGTAACACCCTTCAGTGCAACAGGACTGTTTCTATACAGCTTTTACTCTCATTTCACAGTGCTGGAGCATGGGTCAGTCAGTTAATATCTACAGGCATGCCGCATTACTATGATCAACAAGTAACTGACTCTGCACAATGTTCTGATGATTATCACTTTAGCCATCTGTTACATAAGAACAGGATTAAAAAATGAAAGCCTACTGTACATAGATGATGCCTTAGGATAATATCTGAGAGGTCTGTGTTAACTAACTGGGTTTTAAAGTGTAGATGTTTGTGGTAAAGGCCATGTATTGACAAAAGAACAGAATGTCTATCAAATGGCCATCTTGGTTAGTACATAATCTATACTGTTGTTGTATTGTCTCACAAGTATTGTATTGTGTATTGTGATCAACAAGTAACTGACTCTGCTCCTGATGGTTACAGACATGGCAATACATTGTAGTATAAATATAATTAATTGTCTCTCATTTCGTATTGGTTTTGATGGCAGGCTCATGTGTTGAAAATATTGGATTTATGAAAACCTTGTTTACCCTCACATAATTTAATGATTGTTTTAGAATGGTCAAGGTTTGGATCTAGTGAAAGAAGTTAGAAGGTATGGTTACTGGGCTCTGCAAAGTCACTCCTGTTGTAAAGAGTGTAGTAGTGTTTGTGTGTGTTCTGCATACTGAACATGGGAGTTTTCTCCAGAAACAGGAAAGCTGGAACACACGTTTATGATTTGTCATGCTGGAGATTTCTTGTAGCTTAATTGTAATTATTTACAATTATGTATTTGTTTTACAGGTGTCGATAAGTCAGTGGACAAGTCAGTGGTATTTACAGGGTCCCCTATTCCCCCTCTTTCTACATGCACATTTACTACTTTATACTCATCGCCTGAGAAGATACCAGAGCCTCACAAAGGAATACACCCCAAACCATTTTATAGGGCAGATAAAAACAGGGAGAAGGCACCACCCCAGCCATTGGTCAAGTCTTTAAACTACACTTATCAGGAACCTGATAATGGCTGGCTGGAATTCAGCACAATCTCAGGGGTATGATTTTGCTTTATTTGGCAGTAAATCGGTAAATGATGTTTTTATTTAATAGAAGTTCAAGAAAAGTTCAAATTCTAATATATCTGCTACCATGTGTTGATATATTTCCTGGCTGCACACAACTCTGTGCACACCCCAACTTCACCATAGCGTCTGCCTCCCTGGTTCATTCCTCGTTAATGAGGGGGGTTGTGACAATGTTGATCTCCAGCTATTGCTATCATTTCCTCAGCCAGGGGAGCTAAAGCCTTTATATTTGTCGGCTTGTTTCATCATTTTTAGAATTTGACTGAACCACTGAATTAATAAGAGACAAAATACCACTATGAAACCTGGAGATTCAGGTGTCGTTATAATCCATTATTCATTTAGTTCACGCAGTCACCTACAGTACATTCTGTTCATTTAAATGCATTCACATATACTGTTTAAATAGGAACAAGTAAAGGTTTATTCCATGCTGAAAGAAAAGAAACACAGCATTTCAGCTGTGGAGCCTTCTTTGAGTGTGTGCTTGAGCTACTGTTTTATCCATATATATGGACTCTTTAAAAATACTGCAAGAATACAAAGGACATACTTGTGATTTAAAATAAACTTTCATTAAGGTTTAATATTACTTAACTAATGAATGATCTCTGAATATTTATATCTTTCTGTGTACATTTCTTAAACACTATAGCCAGTTTTAGCTACAGAAGATGATGGACAAAGTGAAGAGGAAGTCACTCAGCCTGCTAGGGAGTGCAGGGACAGTCAAGACCTGCCTATATCTTTTGAAAAGGAGTCCGTCCTCTCAATCAGAACAAATAGCAGATCCTCTGGGAAATCTCTCACTGACAAAGACGCACTGAGTACTGGAATAGATGTATGTATTCAAACAGATATTGCTGGGGAAGAAAAATAAAGTTGAATAATGTTTAGAATTTATATTTAAAATGTATTATCCATTGTTTATAACATTACATACGTTTATTAAAGATCATTGTTTTCAGCTTGCTAAACAGCTAAAACAGGAGTAATTTTTAGCCAAAGAAAACATAGCAAAATGTCATAGTTTGCAAAAATAATTTATGCTCACTCGTAATGGAAAATGGTGTTGCCTTCTAAGGTGTAATTTTCACCTTTTGCTTCTAGGTCTGTCTCCAGTCATTTTTAAGTAACGCAGGAGGAAGAATGATTTCATCTTTGTGTTTAATTTTAGCTTTAATGGACTTTATAATTTCATAAGAACTCAGATATTTTCCACCCAGATAAACATCAATCTCCTTTCATCTCTTATTAAAAACAGAATGAATTGCTAGCAGTAATGATGCCTTCCAGGCATGTTTCTTTTGTAATGTCATCTTAAAACAATGTGGCAATAAGATTCTTAGAAGTTTACACAATGTTCTGATGGATATCACTGTAGCCATCTGTTACATAACAACAGGATTAAAAAATGAAAGCCTACTGTACATAGATGATGCCTTAGGATAATATCTGAGAGGTCTGTGTTAACTAGCTGGGTTTTAAAGTGTAGATGTTTGTGGTAAAGGCCATGTATTGACAAAAGAACAGAATGTCTATCAAATGGCCATCTTGGTTAGTACGGAATCTATACTGTTGTTGTATTGTCTCACCCATTTCACCCTACTGTTATTAGATATTTGTTTCCCATTTCACCATACTGCCATGTAGCATCAGTTGGCATTACAGGTTGTGCTTTGTGTAACAGATGATGATCCAATGTAGGCATACAGAGCAACCTTTTGTAACTTGTTTGTTTTAAGTGTGAAGCAGCTTTAGGTGTTGACACATTTTACCAAGTTTAATTCAGTCAGTACAACAAATCCCAACACATAGCTTTTATTTTTAGAATAAATGGTGATCTGGCAGATTTGTGTTTTATATGCAAACCCTGTATCACCATATTTGGATTTTATTTTCACTAGAATGATACCTACACTATTTGCATCATGGACAGTATCACCAAGAAAACAAATACGTAATCAGATAGCCACGCTGGTTTATGTAAGGACCGTTTTTCACTATATTATTGTACTTATGCTAGAAAGAGACCTTCAAAAAGTAGTTTTTGAAGAAGTGCAGTTAGCTGGAAGAACTGCGTTTGTTACGCATATATTGCATGAGCTTAGTGGGAAACATTTTGCTGTTGCCAAAGACAGAATAATTCAGTGTTAAAATAGTTCATACAGTAGTGTTTCTAGGGTGTTCAACTATTTTTGACTTGTTAGAAGAAAAATAAGTGGTATGCCCATCCACTGATAAACTAATAAATAAAGATACAGCCCCTCCTCCCCCAGTATACACTTTTTGTTTTTTATCAAAAGTAAAAGCTCCAAGCTCCAAAAAGGTGTAGTACTGTCCGATACATATCTCATGTTTGATACTTAGTGCTCAGTGAAAAAAACTAAACAGACTACGTTAAACAGATATGTCTTATGTTTATTGATGCTCTGGTTTCCTCCAACAGCCCCTTCCAAAGTAAATATTAATAGATCCTGCCTTGCGTCCCTTGCCTGCCAGGATACACACCTGTGACTCTGCATTTGATTTGTAAGAGATTCGAAGACAGATGGATGTTTATCTATCACTGTAGCCAGATTTTTTGAACATCCATTCTTTCAGGTGTTATTGTTCATAGTGCCTTCTGCATTATGTTTAATTGTTTAATTTTACAGTACAGTAAGAAGCCAGTTTCTCAATGTTTCTTAGATTTATAGGCAAAAATACATATTGCATCTAAAATGTATAGTTTAGTAAATTCATAAATATACAGGTGTTAAAATGATTAATTTACTTGAATATTTTTTGTTTTGTTACAGAATAAATCTTGTTCACCAAGACTACAAAACAGTGCACAAGTGAAAGTTCTTATGTCAGGTAAAACCATCCAGTTCATTGCATGATTGAATCAACATATGTATAGCAAGAATTGAGCTTAACTGAATTTCAAGTCTGCTCTAGTGTTCACTTCTATGTGGTTAGTGTTTCTTCTGTGACTGCTTACCTAATGTGAAATGTATTTCTTCCTAAAGGGACATTAGTCCTTAATTTGTGCTCAGACCTGCCAGGTTGTGTTAATATCTTTGGCTACACACAAAACTGCTGGTGCCAAGTCCGACAGTTTTGTTTTCTTGTCCCATTCGCAGGCCCTTCAGTGACCCCCTGTGCTACCCTGAAGCGACTTCGTGCAAACCAGAGCACAAGCAGCTCTGAGGAGGAGGACGAAGAAGAAACCAGACGGAAGGAGCCGGAAATCAAGATAAGGCCCACAAAGCTCTTCAAATCAGCGGATGCAGACCACTGGGCTCAGAACGGTATGTTGCAGAAAAATGTTTTTAGATGGAAAAAGACAACAGAACCCTCCATCCTGTATCGCTGAAGAAACCTATTGCTGGGAAAGGGTTTTACATTTAACAGAATATTTCCCAAGAGGCCTGAAGAACAGTGACCATTTTTAACAAGAGTATTTTCCTGGAAAGAGGGAAAAAAATAGAAATGCAGATATGTCTTTTTTTTCCCCAGAAACCAAATACAGTTAGGTATATATGACAGCCAAACCTCTAGAGCCTGAATTACTATGGGCTTTCTGGTCAGAAACCTTTCTGCTCAGTTGATACAGTACACACCTGTTTAAAGTACTTTCTTACAAAAATCATAAGCACTGACAATAAGACAAATTACAAGAGACCTGGTATAAAAAAAGTTAATATCATGCTTTTATATCTGAGCTAGATACACTTTTTATATAGATTGCTGCAAACGTTAAAACAGTGTACTGTTTTACTGTACAAAAGATGTATACAGTATACTTTTATTTGAAGACTACTAGCAGGACCCCCTGCTATATTTCTTTCTTGTTTGAGTCATTCTTCAAAGAAAACCCCGTTACTCTCTCCTTTAAAACAGTGGTCTCTCTAAATGACCTAAATTCACCAGTAGAGGGTGTCTGTGAACAAGGATTAGTTGTGATAGCACACTTGTCTTAAGACATAGGCAGACACATAGTTCTGTATGCATAGCACAACGGCCCATGGGTCTAGAGCTTATCCTGCTTTCCATGGTGTTAAGCAAACAGAGAGCACATGACCCTATTCTCCCTCTGGACGGGATACCAGGCCAATGCAGAGCTACCCCAGCAAGCACTAGTCCACATCCATACAGCTGGGTGGATTGGTGCAATCAAAGTACTGTGCTCAAGATGCGACAGCAGAATTTACAACAGACACTTGAACCTTCATCCCACCAGTGAAGAGTGCAGACATTTACCCATGATGCTACACTGTCCCCCCTTAATGCAAGGCCAAAAATAATTACCATCTGAAGGGAAATGGTTGTAATCGGTAAAAATATAAAATACATTAGATTTCGGCTTCATTTAGCGTGGCCAGATAAAACAAGCTATGAAACAGCTGTAAATGATATGACATCACATAACTAAAATACAGTTTTTAAGAAGTGGAGAGATTTCTAAGGCCTCATTTGTTCATGTTTGTGTTTTGGAAACTAAATGCAAAACTATTATGAATGAAACATTTTTTATTATTTGTCCACTTATTTGTGAATTCAGTTCATTAGAATACAAAGTGAATTGTAATAATTACCGTTCTGGGGTTGCACACAGGTCAGACGTAGGGCTCAGCCAGCTAAAAGTAAAAGAACTGGAAGCTTAAAAATGTGTCGAGGCAACTCTTTATTTATGTCTATCACTGTAATAGTTTCTAAAGAAGAAGAAAAAGTTGTACATGGTCAAAATCCTGTAAGAAAATCGTAACATTCAATATGCTTTCCCTGTATCTCTCCCATATAACTATTCAAATAATATGCACACATTAAATAATATATGAAAATATTTGTTTTTCAATCAGCAGTGTGAAGATGTGAAGGCCAAAATCTTAAGATTATTAGTATGTCTTATGTGAAATGCTTGTTATTTTTGCACCAGTATGAAAAGAGCTTTCTATACTGGCATATGAGTGGGTGTGTATTCAAAAAGGCTTATAAAACAGGACAGTTTCGCCCTGGAGGTATTTTTTTTTAATCATAAGCAAGTATGACTCCAAGAACACCCAAAAATTAGCATCCTTCATGGACTGTATAAGTGGTTAATTTGTCACTAAACAATCTTTACAAAGGGACAAATACAAACTGTATTTAGGATTATGAATTTCAAGGAGCTTTGTAAAAATGTACTTTAATACGTCATGGAATTACATGAAACTGCTTTTGTGCCACAGATTATTCAACACATCTAAGGAATAATTTGTTACTTGGAACTTTAAAAGATGAGATTTTCTAGAGACCCTTTCAAAATTCTACCCAAACCTTCAGTAATATTATTAGTGATGTGTCAATTTTGCTAGTCCTGGGTTGTGTTTCAACTTGGAACACCTTTTATGCAGAGTTTACATGTTCTATGTGTCCAAGTTGTGTTTTCTCCTGGTGCATGGGCATCCTCCCTGGCTAGATTAACAGATGTTTCCAAGTTGCATTTGTGTGTGATCTGTGATAGACTAGTGTCCCATGCACACTGTAGTCCCATCTTCACCTCTACGCCTCCAGGCTAGACTCTTGGTTGCCATGACTTCACCGGGATACTTTTATTAATATAAGAACAGTTACTTACAAAGAGGACACCATCCATCCAATCTTGACCATTTGTCAGTTTGTAGCCAACCGATGCAAGGGTCTCATCCAGACATTTCTAGAAAGAAGCCAGGTTATATGCTTCAAAAACACAATAAGGTAGTTTAATCCAAATCTCTACACCCCTTTAAGTAAAGAAGAGCCCCCTGTTCTTGATTTTAATCTTGATGTGCTTGATCATGCACTTCCACTTCCATTTCCACTTGTTTCCACTTTACCCTTAATTTCAGATAATGGATGGACAGATGGGGTGGAAACCTGTTCATATTCAGCTCCATATTTAATCTGACATTAAAGTAATTTTTTCATTAAGTTTATTGATCTATTGTAAATATTGCTAAAATACCAGCCTATTAAGTCCTTATTTTTAAGTTGCTGACTTCATGTTGTACAACTAATTGTAATGGCATTAATACCAATTAAATTGTAATCTTCTATAACTTTTACCATTGATATACACTTTAAGATGTACATTCACAGACAAAAACCTTGTTACCAAATATACATTTTTTCTTAAGTTACTACAGAGGGACTTTGACAGCACTAGCCCTTCTTCTCTTATAGTGCTCACTGACAGCATGCCCTTCTTTCTCCATTTTAAGTGCCCTTCCATATTCTCAAGGTCCCTCTCTATTTCTCATCCTGTGCTACTCTTCACCCAACTGATCCTGTTTGACCAGGGAAGCCTCTCTTTAACAGAAACTGGCATCCCTGACACACAGCAGCTGTAGTTCACCCTTTCCTTCACTTTCTCCATCCCTTCTTTCATCCTTTCCCTCCTTATCTGCTACAGCTCTTAAGACTGAACCTCAGCCTGTGCTTTTAGACTCTTATAGAATGCATACTGTGCCTGTACTTACTTTAACACAGACTGAATTCTTTCTAACCCAACTGGTCTTATAAGCCTTCTAATTACATAGAGGTGTGAATAATTGCACAGAGAACCTATCCTGACAGCTATTTCCCTCCTGTGGAATTCCATTCCTACTGAATGCTCTAGACTCACTCTGTGCAGCTGTGTCTAATTGTGCTAATTTTCCAATTACTGGGTTATCACCTTGGCTCAAGGTCCTACCATTGGGTGTAGGTTTGAGCTAGTGGGTTCCTCAGAGAGAAACATCTCTCTACATCACAAGGCCCATGCCTTTTATATTATTAAAACTGCTTTTTTAATAATAAATAATAAAATATAAATCTTATAATGCTTGACATTATGACATGAAAATTAAATAAATATATTTTGATCTCATAATAACCTGAACATATGCACAGTGCTCTACCTTCACTGAGAGACCCTGCTGTGGTATCTTGAGCAAGGTCATTTAGCTGGATTGCTGTAAAATACCCAAGCTGTGTCAGTGGGAGCAAATAGAGGTCTCTTTGAATAAAAGTGTCATGCAAATAAAAAAAGTAATAATATTAGTTATAATTAATTAAGGAGAGGATGTAATGACTCTAAGAAGAGATCTCTATTTCATACTGGCAACCTCTTCTGCATTGCAGACATAGAGTTGCAGTCCACCACCTTCTCCCACACAGTCTCAACTCCAGACTTCTCCACCTGGAGCATGAGTCTGGACCAGGACATGATGTGTCAGAAGTTCACTACAAAGCAGAAGACAAAACTTCAGGTAAAACTGAAAGAGGGGGCAAATGTATCAGTACATTCTCTCCCTTTTTAAATATACAGAACATATTAAAGATATAAGACATATGGCAATAATCTTGAATAACATGCTCAACATTACTGCCCTGCCTGCAGTACTGGAAATGTTAGAGGTATTTTTGTATTCTCACTTTGAAAACCAGTTTCCTCAAACCCAAGTAAAGTTCCTCAGCTGTGCTTTAGCAAGCCAAGCAGTTGAGCGTGATGTGGGAAGTATGTGAGGATCTTTTAACTAGAGCATGCATTAAAAAACATTATACAATTGAATGCATTTATTAAATATTAGATAGACAATAGTGGCTTCTTAACGTTTTTCACTAAAGCAGAAGCCATTAAATTATTTACAGAATATAAAGAAATATTGAAATCCCATCCATTAATCCACGATAAAGTGTGAAAATCCAAAATGGATACTTCAAAGAGAAAGCCAGCTTTTAGCATCAGATCTGTAATCAGTCACAGACAGGAATAACCCCTGGCCTAATTTCTATGCTGATACACTAGAATAAGATTGTTTTTCTCAGTAAGGCTGTGTCTTTTTTCAGGATCGTTCCAAGAAGATGGATTATTTTGCTAGGCAGTCTCTGAAAACTGTCCAGCAGCATGTTTCCTCAGTCCATGTCCAGGTTAAGCAGCACAGGTCAGTGAGATTCTCTCCGATCACTGCTTTTCATTTAGGACATCAAGGCAGGAGACACCTTGTCACTCTGTGTTTCTATTCTCATGTTAAATTACAGGTTTCCAGGTACTGAATTATTAATAGATTTGGTTCAATAAAGAAACAGTTTTAGATCTGAACCAGAAACAGGTTCAAAGGTTCAAAGATGATCAGTCATCTTAACATGTTTCTTTAATTTAACCAAACATAGATATTAAATCCATAGACATCTCCCCAGTTGTGTAAATTATAGTCTTCTGAAAGTCTTAGTTGTACATAAATCCAGGTGTAAGAATTCAATAATCTATTAAAGTTCTTTACAAGTTGTGCACAGTTCAAGACCTTTTCTTTGAAAACACGGTCTGGAACATTAAAGTGTGGTTTGGAAATAATCTGTGACCTAACAGCACGCTATTCCATTCCCATACTGTCTCATTCTCATTTCTCAATCTCTTGATTTTACACAGGTTCCGCAATCTGGATAGATTCAGAGACACAATCTTAGAAGAACTCAATGACTTTGAAAAGGATGTCTCAACTTTAAAAAATATGGAGAAAGACCTAACAGTAAGCAATCCAGTATAATTAGTATGGTTTCCATTTGTCTCTTACAACAGTCCTTTTGAGGAAAACATTTCAGGAATAGGTAAAGCTAAAATTCATTCATCAGGCACTAATTGTAATAATAATTAATAATTGCTCACACTTATAAGGGGTTTTGGATGTCAGATTATTTTATAATGAAATGTTGTTTGTGTTTTTAGGTTTATAGACTGTATAAAGTCTGATAAAGAGGTGCTTTTTTCTTTTCTTCAGAATTTCTGGAAGAAACAGTCTCAGGTATTATGTACCTATCAGGAACAAGAACAAAAAAGGTACGTTTTATTTTAATCAAGCACAAACAATAAAATAGACCTTCCTTCTGAATTTGAACTGAGCAAGTAGGTGGTGTTTTTTAGAGACGGACTGAGCACTACAGCTCATTGTATTAGTACATACAGACAGGGTGATCTAAAGTAAAATTCCTGTCAAATACTAAAAGGGAAAAAAACTTGTAATAGATGTTGCAAAATCTTGTACTATTACCATCGAACACAAACATGTTGTAGACAAATAAATAATCTTTGTGTAATAAACATGGTAATCTAGACTCACCCTGTAAATATCCATAGTAGAAGCAGAGATGTACTGTATACAGTATATAAAGTGAGCACATTTCTGTTTTTAGCTATCCAAACCACTTTCTGTTTCCTGTGTACACAACAGTATATGCAGTGTCGTGCAAAAGATCACAGGTTTTTAGTCCTAGGATGTATTTATTAGGTCTTTGATGACAAGATATGTATACAGTATTATGGTATATGCATTATATTTGTGATCATTGTCATGATAGAATGTTTTTCTCCATGAGATCATTTCCAAATGGAAAGGCATGGCATCTTGGCATCTACTTGTATTTTCCTACTGTTCTTTCATCTTTTTCTGACTCCAAAAGCAGAAATAAATCTCTATATGATCACAATTTCACCATGGACTTCACTTTTGGCATTATTTTCTTTTTGTTTTATAATATTCGGTTAACTCTTTTGCAAAGGAATTGGCATAATCTAAAGGTGTTTTAATTCCAATGCTTGATCGTTATTTTAGAATTACCTCATACTCCCATGAGAGATTGAAAATCATTTTTAGAGTCCTTTCAAATGCAAATAATCCGACCTTTGCACAAGTCAGTGAAGTGTGAGGTGCTGGAGGGAGGCACGTTTGGCACAGAGGCAGCTTGACTTGGCCTTCCTGCCAGCCCCAGCGCTTTGTGAAGACTAGCTCAAGGTCAGGATTCCCTCTGTTCTGCCACCCTGCATCTGTGGGGGAGGACAATGTGAAAATAAGGCCAGAAGGGCACCTGTTCCTGTGGTCTAATTCACCTACTGATCAGCACACAAATTCCCTGTTTATATATAATACCAATCCTTAGTCACCTCTCTGTAGCAAAATGGGGAAATATTGCTGCAGTCAGGGTGATCATCATTACATCATTTTACATCATTGACATTTACTGTACATGTCTGCAGCATTTCACTTGCTCTGTGCTGTAGTAATGTACCTAAAATTGTGCTGTTGAAAGTATTTTTCTTCAGACACACGCTTGTTTCCTTTGTGACCGTTTCAGTTGCATTGACAAAAACAACAAGCTGCTAGATTTTAATATTTGATTGTGTGAATTCTTGTTTCCATCTAAAATGTGATTGAAATAATTGTATATTTTATGATTTATGATAATAGTTTACGATTATACAATTGAGGGTGTAGAGGTGTTATCACTCTGTTTAGTGGTGTTATCACTAAGTATAGGCTTTGCACCATGGCAAAGATATAGCTATATACATAATGTATTTAAATGAATGTGTAGACAAACAAGCAATATTATTTTATATATTTTCAAAGTAAATTTAAAATCATCTGCTGTTCTGATGTTGGGTAGCTTAAATGGCCTAGAAAAAAACCTTTCATAGAAGAAGGTAAAACTGACACTTACTGTAAGCCTCAGAAAAAAAGACCATTGTCTTTCTTGTTACTTTTAACCAAGACAATAAAAATTATAAGTAACATGAAATTACTGAAAATCAAATGTATTTTCCGTTGCTTTTGCAGAATTCATCTTCTGAAGAGTTCATTTAAAACAAATGTAGCTAACAGCCAGGAGTATGAGGAAAGAATTTTAACGACAGAGGTTTGTTGAAAGATTATTTCAGTGCAAAAAACAGAAACAAAATGCCCCAGCCTGTGTCTACATTTGACAAAAAACTGTTAAAAATAATTTCACTGCTCAAGAATGAAAGAAACTTATCATGTATTTAACATTTCTATGAGCATTACTAATAGGCTCCAGTTCCCTCATGACCCTGTATCTCATCAGATGCTTGTTACAGTTCTGTTTTCCTGCTCCATGCTGACTACATGAGTGTGATTGTTAGCTTTTCTGTCAGGTATTAGGAATAGGTTTGTAGCAGACAGCCCTCTATTAGTCACACTCATACTTAGCTCTCTAGCCACTTTCCAAAGTCAGGTCTTTAAATGCATATAAGAAAAGAAACTGCAAATTGTGCTGACAAGTGGGATCTTTGAAACCGTAAACACAAGAAATGAATTTATTATTAAGGACTGCACCAACTGCAAAATTTTAATTAGTTTGCTCTAGGCAGTGAAAGTCTTAAATCCCATAGCTGGTTTCAGAGCCCAGATTAAAAGATTAAAGGGGATTATTTTGATCAAAGATCATTTAGTTGGCATGAAAATGCACATCACATATACAGCTAATTACAGCAGCAGTCCATCACAGACATCAAGAGGGGAAAAGAGTAGAAGAATATCCTATTGTTTTTACTGACAGTGTTTATATAGACATGTTCTGGCAACAATGCCTACTTTAATTAAATCATTGGTATACAGTGTAATGAGAATAAAGGTGGTGGCTCTATTAGAAACATAACCTAACACAGATGTAACTGTTTTCCTCCATTTAACAGAGATCTGTGGATGCCTCTTATAGACACGGCATTTCAACAGTGCAGTTGATATTACTGATAAATGTCCAGAAATAATCACTTGTTCTTGTTTTGAGACCTATAAAAGGCTGTGAAAAGATAACTTTAATGTCACAAATTATTAGATTTTACAGATATCTGTGTTTTATTAGCCTTTTGAAGACAACATATTCCATTTGCGAAATAAATGTTATACTGCATCGTTACAGATAGTAAACCTTGTTAAAAATATAACAAAGTGGAGATCTGCATCAGTGTGCAAGACGCAAAAAACTAGCTGAGGTTAATTCCACACGGGAAAGTAGAAACGAAAAAAAAATGCAATACTTTTTTCTTTTCAGTGTGGAACCTCTACTTTATTCTTAAGAAAAGACGTTCTTTTTCAATTTAGAGAGATTTTTCCATTCAGTCTGCAGTTTTTCAATTTTAGTGCCAACTTCACACCTCAGCTTCCTGATGTTATTAACAAATATTGTTGAGTTCAGTATGATAAATCTCACTAGCTTCCACAATATCTAACCTTCTGTTGGAAAAGTAAAAATGTGAGAAAATATTGTTTTTTTGCAGATGCATTTGTTGAGGAAGGACATTAAATTAATCCAGGACCGACTTCTCAAGGAAATGGTAAATTGAACAGTATAACGTTCTGCAATTCTCTACTCCTGCATTTGCTGTTACACTATTTGGTGCATTATTGGATTTTTCCCATGATGAAATGGCATGTACAGGGGGTCCTCGCAGATGCTTAATAGTTTATAGTTGTGTATTTTACTGTGGAATTGCTTAGTTCTTATACACTGTGACTGTTTTCTGCTATTATCTATTTTGGTGGCTTTTGTAGCTTTTGCTGCCTCAAGCTGTGATTGTAGTCGTTAATGTATTTTGCTTCCTTTACTCACAGCACCAAGAGGAGCTCCTCAGTGTTCACAGGGGACTGCAAGCACTGTTTTTCCCAGAAACAAGTCAATTCTAAGACCAGAGTCAGATCATCCTGAGCCCTCTTTTTGTTTTCATGTTATTTTTTAACTTCAGTAGACATATATGTTCTATTGGCTAACAGCAATTTTTGATTATTTAAGTGGTGCATTTTATGTGGATTCCAGTGTTCAGCTTCACATAATTTTTAATATATCCTCGGTGATTAATTCAGGTTTAACTATTTGAACCAGAAATCAAACAAATCAATTTTTGTAGCATTTCTGAAAAATGTTTGTTCAAATGTTCTTATACTTTTAGCTAATTTTGACTACAGTTTTTTGTTTTTTATCTCCTTTAATAAATGTTTCCATAATAACAATAGATTATCTTTTTTCTAGAAAAGACAGAAACTTGAAATTGGTAGTACATTTCTTTTTTTCTAAATTCCTTAACATCAAACAGATGTGCATCTGATCCTACAGACAGCACTGCAAGGATGTACAGTTACCCTAGAAATGTTACACTCCCACACTGTCATGGGACTGAAAGATGCAACTAATGTTTGACAGTAAAATGCCCTTTTTATTTAGGCCTTCAAGGTCCACAGAAACGTTCTCTTCCAATTTACCACCTACGCTGTGTTTGAGGTGAAAGGAACTTGGTTTTGCATTTTCTAATTTTATTGTCCTGAGGGGACAATGACACTGCCACAGTGACAGCTTATGTAACGCTGCTGGCATTACAAATGAGGCAGTCAGGATCACCCTCCCACAAGGCCATGTATGAAACAGTATACCGCATTGCACAGAAAGGATTTACTTGGCCAAATTTCTACACAGTTACAGTTCTAGCACAAGAGTTCCTAAGTCCTTCACCCCAGCTTCTGCTTCTTGTATCGTCTTCTGGCATCCATCTTAAATGTGTTTTGCTTAACACGCAAAGAAAAACAAAATTCCATCTCCAGGCAGTCCCCAGTCTGTGTAATTCACACACATCCATCCACCCATTTTCTAACAGCTTGGTCCAGTACAATGTCTTTGGAGAGCCTGAGCCTATCCGAGCAAGCAAAGAGCGCAAGGCAGCATACACCCTAGACAAGTGCTGGTCCATCGCAGGGCACACACAGACACACATACAAAGAAGACAAAGCCTCCTTGGTTATGTCATGTCTTTAGACTGCAGAAAAATTCAGAGCACCCATAGGAAACCCACACGAACATGGAGAGAACATACTAACTCCAAAAAGAGAGCACCCCAGGAATTAAACCCACAGCCCTAGCAGTGCGAGGCAGCAATGTTAACCCCTGCGCCACCCTGCTGCTCTGTTCATACACTTGCTTTTCCCTAATACAACAGCTACACTGCATTACATGAATTCGCCACACTCTGCTTGGAGTTGGACTGAGTAACACTTGCGTTCGAAAACCCAAAGTAAAGAAAATGACGAAAGAGCAATTTCTTTTTAAAAAAAATTTGAAACTTGTATTGTGCAGACAATAAATAGTGCTTACAAAGGGATTTTTGTGATAAGACATGGATTCCTGCTCAGAAGGACATTTATACAGTTGAGATATGAAACTTGTAGATTTGTGAGCTCCCACAATCCATGAGTTGTGACTGGCATTATGCTGTAGGAAAAATGAAGCTGGTCACATGCACAACTCCCCACTGGTATTGATAGTCTGCCTTTCAAAAGCATTTAAAAAATGTCTTAGAAACGAACAAGAAAAAGGGCCCTCCATTCTCTCCTCTCCTCTTCAACAACATCAGAGATGTGTGGCCAGAGTTCAGAGTACCCAGCGTGGGCATCACCACTCCATGCCCACTGGTAGTGCCCACTGTAGAGACATGGCCTCCAGGGTTCAGAGCCCAAATATCAGGACACCTAGGTGCTGGGCAAAGGCATTTGAAGAATCCTCTCAAGGTCTTCATTGACAGAACCGGTTTCAGCAATTCTTCATAGAAGAAACCCTGCTATGGTCTGTGGAACCTGGAATATAAGGAAGGTAAGACAATAACCTATTATATCCTGCATTGAGAATTTCATGGGATATTATTTTAATAGTCAATTTCATCTTGACCTGAAATTTCTCTAGGAAAACTACTCTGCTGCTAAAGAACATGCCTCTAGATTTTATGTTAAGGTATTTTTTATAGTGCAAATTATTTAAAAAGCGATTCTGCACGACTACCACCTTACACAACTTTAAAAACAGTTTAGCATCCTTAGATATGTATGTATCGTTAGCATGCTTGCAACTCATTTGTCATTTCTTTCATTTCTACAGTAAAAAAACTTTTTTATAAAAAATATACATGCAGCTCCCTTAGTCATAAATCAATTCAAAACTGCCTGTAATATATTGATTTGGAAAGGCCTATTTAGCTGTATGTTCTTATTTTAGCAGGGATAATATACAGTAAGAGCATAAGAACAAACGCAGCACTGAATCATAATTGCGTATCTAGGATGATTTAAAACCGAAAAGAATTGTGTACACCTCACACTAGTACATAATGCAGTTTTTGGCAACTGAGTCATTGTGGTCATTAAATTTTGACAACTTTCAACTGATAAAGTGTAAAATGGGTAGACTGTGAAATCACAAGATTCTTACAAATGAAAATATGAAAAGTAGATAAGACCATCAGTTATCTCAAGATAAATCTGAGTACCACTTAGTTTCAGGAAGACATAGCGGATAAGAAACTAAAGACATGAAATGTAATGGAAACTACTCTGTTTCCAATTAAATAAAGAAAGTTGATGTTATGTTATGACCCTCAGAGTGACTTCATAAAGCCACTACTTTCATTCATTTTACTTGGAGACACAGTGAACATGTGTGAACCATGCACTGTTTTTTTGTGATCCTGCATGGTTACCACACCCATGTACAGTAAGACATCTCACACTACACCTTGTATTTAGCATATTATTCAGACTCTTAGATGTACACTACAGTCTCTCATGCCAAAACTGGTTTAAAGCGTTTTAGCCTGCTAGAGTTGTTGGCTATGTCTTTTGCCACTAGGACATTTGTAAAACTGCATATCACACAAATGTATCAGTGCAGATGCTGCATCTTGCTTGCAGTTGGTCATGTGAGCAGATACAACCCAGAAGCAGCGTAAGCAGAAAGGAGGCTAAATCAGGGACAGCATTTGTTATTTTTGTCAAGCTTTGCAACTGTGTGCAGTTTTAATCCCCCAGGAGGGCAGGATCCAAGCTAAGTTTGGCTCTGCACTCTATCTTTATCTCATAGGGTGCCCGGACCTCTAAAAATAGCAACTACCAGCTGAGCCACAAAAATGCACACTGACCTTGTCAAATGTTTGCTCGAGGCATGGACTTCCATCTCATTGCTTTTGTACTCGTTCAGCTCTTTCCGGATCGCCGCCTGCAAAATGAAAATAACATCGATAATCAAAAGGCCACAATGCAGGTTCCCATAAGCACTGGGTGTGTGTGAATAAAATGCTTATAAGGGAAAAGTGGAGGTGAAGAAAGGAGTAGTGTAAGAGGAGAGAATAACTTTTGGTCTCACTCATTAGTAGACAGTGCTGTTCAAGAATGAGGTAGTTTCTCGTTTATTCACTAAGAAACTTATACATAGTTAAGACACAACCAATGAGCAAATGCCAATACCCGTGCACATGAAACAACACATTTTACAGAAGGGAGCTGGAAAGTAACATGTTTAAATAACCAGAAGCTGGTATCAGCTCCCAGTGAGAAGGGGTGATTTTGAAACCTGTGTTTTTTCTGGTGTTTACAGGATTGCGGAACGCTCTGTGAAAAGGCCCAGAACACACATGCAGTGCTATTGATTTTTAGCTTCAACAAACAACCAGGACAACATAGTCAAAATGTTGACAAAAATGTAGGAAAAGGGATATTAGAGAGAAGGAAAAGTTTTAAACATTGTAGGCCCTAGTGGGGAGACACAAAAAAACCCTAGACTGGAATCTTAAAAAGTTGAAAACATTTCTTGCATGTTGTGGTGGTAAGGCACAATAGGAGTGGGTACGGATAAAGATGGAAAGTGACCAAACAATAGTCTGATAATAGTATTCCAGACGTGAGAGAATACAAACGCACCTATTTCTGGTTATCTGTATAAACAAAAATCCAGAGAACAAAGTAAACTAAATGATCTGAAAAATCTATGCTGAGAGATAGGAGTCTTAACTGTTATATTAGAAAATTACTCCCTATAACACACTGTGTTGAATTTGCTGGCCTTCTAAATGTACAGTATGGAGGTGTATTGTGTTATATTTGTTGACCAAAGAGCTATTAAGCTATTTTTATTTAAAATGTTTTGGTCTGCACTGAAATCAATAAAAAAACACAGTGGACTCAAGTTATAATAAATCTGCCTCAAAACAATTTGAGGGTCTCTGCCTGAATATGTTCTTAAGTGTTTGTGCATATGAATACAAAGCTCCCTGGCCTGTGTCTGCTATAAACAGGGGAGCAAGCTCAATACACTGATTACCACTCTGTGTATTGAGGCATGGACTCTGAGGCTCTGTGTGAGCCGAGTCTTCTGCCTGTGCTCGGTCCTATCTCAGAGCAGACCAACGCCACTCATTTTCCAAACAGGCCGCTCCGAACCGGAGGAACCCAGAGCACGAAGGGTGGCCATCGGAGACGACGGGGAGACCGAGAGAGCATGAGAGAGCTGGACAGGATAACAGGACGGGCCGCTCATCCGGCTGTGATACCTTATCGGCCGCCGAGAGCCTCGTCCATGGCTTGTCTGCCCGTCGGTCATAATCCTGAGCTTTGGCCACCTCAACGTAGTCGCTAAAGCGGATGAGGATCTTCCGGTCCCGCAGCTCGTCGACGGTGGGTCGCTGGTTGAGCTGACAAAAAGAAGAGACAGACCTCAGTTCACATAACAATAAGCTTCTTCCGAAGGAGTGTCATGCCAGTGCCATGACACATTAGTTCTGGTTCTTAGATGGCAGTTTGTTACACCTAGGTTTCATTTTCCATTTCTGCACTGAACCTCTCAACTGGAAGTGATGCTATTGGGTTCGTCCAGTCAGGTGCCTGCAGATGCCCTTGTAATCAATGCTAGTCTGATGGAAACAGTCTAATATCTACCCGAGACAGCGCTCGATCATGCTTGTGCACAGAAAGAGCAGATGTTTGAGGAGGACTGCTCCGGTTTATTAAATGTACTGTGGTTGATTAAGGTATCTGGACCTTAAAGCAATTGGTGTTTTCCCTGCAGCATGCAGACCTACTGTAGCCTGAGTTGAACTTGAGCGCCTTATAATAAAAACACATCATCCGAAACCTTTTTCATAGTAACTGTATTAAAAGATACATATATTTAAAAATCAGAAAACAGAACAAAGACATCTTACTACTCATACCTGTCATTGACATTAATAGCACATTTTTAATAGGATGTAGTAAAACAGGGCTCAGAAATAAGCCTGGCCACTTCCTCCAGAGATAGAGTGGACACTGAACAAAGTGGCATACAGTAAGTGCCCTCCGATTCCTTTGCCACACTGTTCATGTATGGATCCAGAAGTCAGAATGTGAAATGTTTCAATAACAACAGGATCAGAATCCCTGCACTCACAGGAAGGCACAAAGTTTAAGAAACTCGGAGCCAAGAAGTTCTTATTTTCAATCTGAACAGTTCTCTTGGAAAACCTCGACAAGCAGCGTGTCTCTTAATTACCAGGGTTGTTGTCTTCTATGTTATGCACGTATGTTTACGTATTTTAACTATATGATGATTTGACAATTGCAATGCATTTAATTTGTGCTACATGAAACACTAGAATGTTAAATACACTCCCTGAAATCAGACCTCAAATACAGCAGTCTCTGTCATAAATAGCATCAATAAGCTTATTGATGATACCACTAGATACCACAGCTTCTTTTGGTAAGTCATGAGAAAAGCACCATTAAATTTGTTGCTGATGAGGGAAACAGACACTCTCTTTGGGGTAATAGGTATTCAGAGCCTATACTGAAAGTACTTAAATCCCCATCAATTACCATACTGACAACCTGTTCATTTAGATCACAGGTTCTTTTCTCACACAAACCTACAACCCGCCAGCTGACCTTTAATTCTACAGAACAGCAGAGTATTAGACCAGGGCAGTGTTGCAGGCAGAGCTGTCTGTGTGTTTGGATAACCTTTTGTTTGAGGACGATTAAGGATTTAAAGAATTTGAAGCTTCACAATACCTTTCTGTTCAGCCGCTGTTTGATTTCCCTTCTCTCTTCCTGCTCCGTCTGATCGTTTCTCTCTGCAGCAGACAAAACCATAAAGTAAGACGTTAGCAGGGACACTTGCAATAAACAGTGAAAAAAGGCAGGAAGACCTGCAGTTAACAGCTGAACGGTGTAAATACAGTGTCTGCATGAGCAGGGTTCATGCAAAATGACTTTACAAAGGAGAAACGTGTGCAGGAGAAGTAGATTTAAATAGGAAACAAAGAACAAATATTTTACATCACCGCCACCAGCCTTGATATCACTATATTATCATGTACAGCTGGAGTGAGCATTGAAACTCATTTAAAAAATATCAGTGGTTGGTGATTTTTGTGTTTAGAATTCTGGTCATAAAAATAAACACAGTGGTAAGGGTTCATTTGTCACATTATTGAATCTTGCATATCAGATTGGGTAGCGTAAAAGTGTCTTAAATCACCTTGCCCAATTGTACTTTTAGTCCCTTTTAATGCCAAATAACCTACAGTTTAACCACAGAAATATCCAGGGGAAGTTGATATCATCTAAATAAGACTCAATTATTACAGCTCAGCCCATTCCATTTACGAATCATTCTATAGACACTCATAAAAAAATATTTTTCCGGAGTTTCCTGAACAGCAAGGATTGAACCCTGCTCTTTTCACCAGGAATGCTGTGATGTGTCTCTGCTATGACAAGCTGTGACCCAACAAGAAGTGCAAAGTGAACATTGAGTACTGTTTACACCCTGTCTTTGTATGAATTTCCATCCATTACTGCCTGGAAATTGTGGTTTTGAATGAGAGTAAAACAGTGGCACTAAGTTCTGCTTGGGACTATAACTGCTATACAGTGGCACTATAACTGCTTACACATCCAAATTATATTCTTGCAGCAGTTACTGACTGAACCAGTTAACGCATCAGAGTCTAATGAGCTGACTTGCAGAGTGTCTAGAACAGTGCAAGAATCGGCTCCTGTCCCAAAATTCAGGGTGAATCACGGTCTTCTGCATCTAACTGCACTCAGGAACACCATCAAACAATGTTGATTTAAGGTAACGGTATTTCTATTAATTAGGTTTATCAAATCATTTAACATTGCTCACCAGCAGGCATTTACCAGTCTCTTTTGATGCTTTCTCCTTTATCTTGAACATCTGCAGTATCTTAAAGGTGAATGTATCTTAAGTAGTTATGTATGCATAAAGATATTTATGCAATCCCATGCCCAGTTTTTTCTTTAAGGAAATGCTACTGATAAAATTATCTCATGGCATGGCAAATTTAAAAGACCCCGTTTTTCCTACTGGAATTTTGATTTTGTTTGGCAATATCTAGCATTTCTAAGAAAACATAAAGCACCACTGAAGATAATATCGTACCAATGTTTATTTTTTTAGTTAGATTTTTTTTTGTTTCCAAAATGTGCTTGCATAGCACATAAATTCCATATTCAGCTCTTGCAAGGATGCCCTTTCTCCCAAGTGAATCTGCGGGTACTGTGAAAGTTGGCGTGCCAAGCACTTTGATTGTGAAAGAGTTCTCCTGCCCTCTGGTTCAAAAAACGGCTCCTCCCACGACTTCTCTTCATTCCAGATTGTCTTAAATCAGGTGCAGGGAACTCCAGTCCTGCTACTGATCTACGTTTAGAAACACGGGTGATATGACTACTTACTGAAATAATTAGTTCAATTTAGCTCTTCATTTAAATTGTAGATTGAACACGGGCAGGACTGCAGACTCCGAAGACTGAAGTGCTTACACTTCGCTGCAGACCTCTGTACTTTCCGCCTTGAATACTGAATGCCGCTGAGGAACTAACGCCCGTACTGACTGATCCATCCAAATAGGGGATGACCCATCTCTTGTATAAAAGTCTAACTGGGTTTCATTTTCAGTAACACCGTATGCAGTAGATTACAAATCTTCGCAATTTAGCGTTTCTGTAGCAAAACCTAGGAAAGTTGAAGGTAGTGAACGTGTATGTTAATTGTATTTAAGATTACTAACCCACCGAGACAGGTCAGAGAGCTGTCACAGGAGTAGCAATATAACGAAAGCGTTCAACTTCCGCGTTTTCCCTCAGATTACCCTTGAAACTTGTTTTTGTCCCAAGGAGTTGAAACCAAATCAACAAAGTCTTCCGAGAAAATTGCAGAGTAAGAAATTCAGTAGCCATTACATAAACTGTCGTGTGTTCAGTTCACCTGTACATTTTCAGCATTCAGTGATGAGATACAGTATGTACTAAGGTCTGTGGTTGATTTGACGTCTTTGAAGAGAACAATAAGAATTGACAGAGCATAAACATATCGGAAAAGCAACATGCTTAGTGTTTACTCTGTCCCTAATAATATTCACCGCCCTCGGTGTTCTGTGACTTGAACATCAGTCAAACCTCGCTTTTAGCATATCTAAATCCACACCTAGAGGTGATTTTTACATAGAAATATTACTACTAGATAAATGTATTTACTTGGCAGGGTGTTAGGTAATTGAGGGTCTTAATTCAAGTCCAGGAAGGCTGCTACTGTAAATCTACAGATTTCCTAAGCACCTGGAGTACTGTGCAGAGGCTTGGCCACTTGGTCCAATTAAGCCAGTGTAGCTCTGATACAGGTAATTAAATCAATAGAAATATATATGTGTGTTTAACCTTAATTATTGATATGCATAACAATATTATACACTATGCCACCCCCAAATTACATAGGGATTAAAATATAATTATGCGTTTCATTTGGCAATATTCCCAGATTAACACATGCCAATTAACAACATCTGTAACTCCTTACAGTATCTGCGATATGCAATTTATAAATGCAATGAGTTTTGTCAGAGAAGGAAAGGGATCTTTTTTTTTTTCCCCCCAAGACGGAATATCACGATCTACTCGTAGTCAATAACGCATTCGTGTAAATATTTTCAGGTAAGAAAAATGTAGAAAAGGACAATAAAGAGGAGACACGGGGGATGACTTACGTTTTAGGATATTCCGGCTTTCCAGTTCTTCCACTGCCGGTCTTTGACTTAGTCTCCTGCGGAAAAACACCAAGATCACGTTTTGTACCATTTTAACGGCTTGCTAGATGCGTCCTTCGGAGTCCTCGCTCAACACCTCGCTCAAGTCCCTGGAAAAGACCGGAGAATCCCCCAAACTGCAGCTTCTAGTGACCGGACCCCGCTCTTCCCATCTCGACTCTGAATACTGACTACGACGTCTAGATCGGGACGAAAACCACATCGGGGGAAATAAGAAAGAACGCGCTCTGTATCTCGGCTCTTCTGTAAAGGGTTGTGATAATCCAACACGCCTCGTTTTTGCGCGGCACTCAGGTATTCATGGAAGAAACGAATTAAATGGATCATCCGCTAACGGAGCAATCCCCTATAAAACGCTTCCCTGACGCTGTGAATTACTTAGCAGTGGCAGTTGCTGGGGTTTCTGCAATCTGCCTCTGAACCTGCTCTGGCTGTTCTGAGTGAGACTCCCAGCCTCCCTCCCACTTTTTTTTCCCATGCATAATTTTATTATAGAGGCGTTGCGTGAGAAATTCCGACGCACACTCAGAAGGCGGATGAAAATAGTGCTGCAGTAAGGACCACAAAGGTTTCCCCCATTTTTTTTGTTGGACTGCGTTGTCTGCCCACACAACAATCGCATCTACTCAAAAGGCTTTTTTTTTTTTTACTGTTGCCGTTGGATTTTCTACTCGGTTCGCTGTGGCAGGTGAATATACTGTACAGTAGAAGCGGCACATGTAAAGGTTTAGTTTAAAAAAAAAACACCTCAATCCACAGTGGATGCTTTCACTAGTTCATACTGTATACTGCTTTGCTGCATGATCTCCAGCGTCAGATCGGCTGATCTGGACGATTTCCATTCCCTCTCCCTGCCCAATAAAACAGCCGCCGCTCGGGTGCGGTTTGGAGGGGTTAGGAGTGCATATCTACCGCACGCCCTGCTTCACATCTTGGCTTCATTTTATTTCACAATTCATTAATAAACGGCAAAACATCCATTTTCAGGGTTCTAGAGACGCTTCCAAACCCCCAAACTGGCGTTCACATTTCTTTCACGGACACTAAATTAATTCGTGCCACCTAACATGTCCGTTCATTTCAAGAAAATAAATGAAATTACAATTCCCGAGGTAGCTGGTGTTTCCCAGTGTGAAGGCCAAGAGATTCTATCTAAATGGTGCAATTTTAAACACAATTTGAAGCCAAACACACAGAAAAGGATCAATATGATTTTAACAAAAAGACAAATAAGGGATACATTGAAAAGAGTATGTGCTTTATAACACAAAAAGGCCCGCTTTATAGTTCTCAGTTGGAGGCAGAAATAGACTTTAAATGTTTCCAGTTACAAAGCTAATGGCTCTGATGTCACACTGTAAGATTCCTTAACTACGCAGAATTCCTTGAACATTCCAGGGTGCGAGTGGAATTCCTGGAGCGTGGACTGTAGGATTCCGTGCAGGACTGTACAAGTCGGGCTGACGGCTCCCTCAGCCACACTCCTCACCGGCCGCTCTGCTCAAAGAGCTGGGCAGCACGTGTGGCATGTCAGGGCTGTGGCGCGTGTGTTCCTGCCCTGCACCTTTATGGATGCTGGTGGGGCTTCGGTAGGGCAACAGGGGGCATCAGGACCCCTCTCGCTGTGCTGCAGGCAGCTCTCGGATCCGCCCCAGGAGAGGGGCAGATGGCGGAGACACAGCTGTGACTGTCATGCACTCACAGAGAGGGCAGATCGAGGGCCTGTCAAACAGCAGATTGGGCGGAAACCAAGAACAGCTGTTCTTCATTCCACCAATAAACTACTGTAACAGGGAATAACATTGTTGTTTTGTCTCTATTACAGTTTGGAGTAGCGCAGACAACCCACTTCAGCTGCTTGTAGTGTTGCCGTTTCATAGAGCTCCATTTCTCTAATCAAGGTCCCTCTGTCAGTGTTCCTTATCTAACAGAACATTCAAGCTAGATGCGCCGATTTCTATAAAGAATGTCTTCATGAGGCTGTTTTTGTCAACGAGAAAGTCCATTTAAAGCTCGGAACCTGTCATTTTAGAGGCCACTGCCACTGAATTTACAAACACTCAGCTACCGTATAATTAAATGAAAAATCGCCTCTCAAGAGGTTTTGAGACAGACATGGTTGACGAATAAACAAAAGCAGAGCCACAGGGAGCACGTGATTCTGTGTACAGCGAGGACAGAAGTTGTTTTTTGATTACTGGAAGCCATGATCAATTCTACTGCCAGGCGTGATAAATACTAATTGAAAGGCCACACGACCACAAGAACACCATGTACTGAACTGAAGCAGACTTTAATGGAAGGACACTGAATGAGTGAAGAGAATGCCATGGTAATGCTTAATCATAGCAGCAGGCATGCACGTTTTTCAAGTGCACGACTTCATAAGGAGAGCTCGATGTGTTCAAGCCTCTTTTATTAAAGCGGAGGTAAAAATAAAAGCAAAGCGTTTTTGTCTGCGATTGTCTGGCCATCTTCTTTGGGAATGCAGATATAAATCTGTAACCCAGAACCAAAAGGAAGATAGTTCTCAAATTACCTCATCTGTTTGCGGTCAGTAACTCTAAAACTGTTAGGTTTTAATCGTAAGACAGGATTCATTGTTGTGCTCTGCATACAAATTATTCAAAATGAACATTATACGTTTATCCTCCCACAGTCCACAGACATGCTGGTAGGTTAGGTGGCTTAAGGAAAAATGAGTCCTGGTGTGAGTGTGTTTGTGTCCGTGTGTGCCCTGTGATGGACTGGCGTCCCGTCCAGGGTGTGTCCTGCCTTGTGCCTGTTGCCTGCCGATACAGGTTCCAGCTCTCCCCCCGACCTGTATTGGTTAGAAAATGAAAGGATGGATTATACTGTACTTCTAGTCACCCAAGACTAAAAAGTTGACGCTTCATTCCGAGCGTGTATTCAGTTTAGATACATAACAACCGAGGACCCATTTTTCGAGGCAAGTCTACAGCATGTCAGAGAAATTAGCTGCCTGATTCTGCAGAGCTGACAGGACTGTGAAGTGGAGAGGACAGGACTGAGTCAGGTGGCCCCAGGGCTGTAGAGTGTGTGAGTGCCCAGCGAGGTGTGCTGTAATGCCTGGTCAGACCTGAAATGGGGCCAGAAGTTACAGATGCACACAGTGTGGCAAAGCAATATGCAACCTGAATTCACCTCAGTGATGGCTAAGTGCTGCTGTCTTAGAATCGAAGGCTACGCTGCTCACCCTCAGTAACCACTTGTCACAGTTTATTGAAAAAGCCAACATCTCATCTAGAATGATAGAAGTACAATTTATGTAACAGCTTATAAAGATGACATTCAAAACAACTGTGTCTTCTGCAGTGACTTGTTGTATAAGGACTTGTCTTTTCCTACAACTGTACTTTATGTCCTTCTTCTACCACAGATCTCTCTCCCATTTTCTGCTATCAGTGGGGTTGTGGGGTTGATTCTGGCATAAGGAGGCTGATTCTCTCATAATCAGTAAACAAATCCAATTTGTTAATAAACTGGTCAAACTTGCATTAATTCATCCAAGAACCCTTCATAACAGTTTAGACTTCTAACACCCACTGCCTGTTGTCTAAGCCGGTACCCTGAGTTCTTTCAAGAAACTGCAGGATGAGACCTTTGGATCAATCGCTTACTTTGAACCAAAGGTGCTAGATTAGCTGAAAGATTTCCTCTCATTTGTAACTTTACATTCCCATGTCACATAGCATAAGAAAGTACAGCAATTTACAAAGTGACATATTTAAAAAACAAAATAACGTGAAGTGTTCTTGAGACTTCACCATGTAAAAACTATTTAAGCATTTTGACCCTTTACTTAATTGTAAATGATGTACTCTTTTCTTAATCTTGCTTTGATATATTTACACACGTATAATTGGGTTAATAAGGTACTGAACAAGCTAATCTAATTAGTAACCATCCTGATATACTGTATAGACATTCAGCATCAAATAAACTCATCAATTACAAGTCCAACAAATTCACAAAGTTATCGAGAAAATGATAAGATCTTTTGTACAATAGGTGTACTGGCATTTGTTTTCCACTGGCATGACAAAGTTAAATTCGTTATGTTGAGTAACATTTGTCATCAGCAGGCTTGATCAAAGAGGACTCTACTAGGAAAATCACAGACTAGAAGTGTAGTCAATGTTGGAATCAATTGCATCTGTGATGCATGTTTTGCATCAGGGCTACTACTGTGTCATTAGATGATAGATGAATTCTATCCTATTCTTCCTTCTCAGCCTGGACAAACAGGCTTGTTGAGTGTCTCTGATCACATGCTACCCCATATTATCCCACAGATGTGCAGTGGATCTCAAGTCTGCCGTGTAGGGAATCCAACGGCAGAAGTGTTCTGGTCTAACAAGAAAGATGCTGTTAAATGTGGCAGCATGAGAATGCGTGTTGTTCTGCTCAGATAGTGTCACATCAGGATGACACTGCAGGAGAGGCAGCAAGTGAGATGCCAGGGTTTGTTCAATGTGGCGCTGTGCAGTGAGGTAACCATCAATCACAGTGGAGCTCCACAGCAACTAGAAACTCCTGCAAAAGTCTTTATCCATGGACCTCCACATTGATTGGTCTGTTGTACACACCCATCCATTTTAAAACCGCTTCACCCAGTACAGGGTCAGGGGGGAGCCAGGGCCTAAGCCTGCGAGGCAGGATATACCCTGGAAGGAACACCAGTCCATCGCCAGGCACACACAGAAACATACATACAACTGTGTCTTTGGACTGTGGGAGGAAACCGGAACACCCAGGGGAAACCATGCAAACATGGGGAGAACACACAACCTACACAAAGATAACACCAGCTCCTATAATTAGGATATCTTTCTCCAAGTATGAGCCACACTCACTGACTTCAATCAGCGTGTTCTACACAAATCTATGAGTCATTCCTGAAGAGGACATAACTGTTGCAGGCTATACCTGAGGTGTTACTCCAATTTAATGATGAATTAAGGTGTTGTTTTCTTGTGGCACATATTTGTTCATTTCTGTTTCTTTTTTTTCTTAATAATAATAATAATAATAATTGCTTACACTTATATAGCGCTTTTTCTGGACACTCCACTCAAAGCGCTTTACAGGTAATGGGGACTCCCCTCCACCACCACCAATGTGCAGCATCCACCTGGATGATGCGACGGCAGCCATAGTGCGCCAGAACGCTCACCACACATCAGCTATCAGTGGGGAGGAGAGCAGAGTAATGAAGCCAATTCACAGAGGGGGATTGTTAGGAGGCCATGATTGATAACAGCCGATGGGGAAATTTGGCCAGGATGCCGGGGTTACACCCCTACTCTTTTCGAGAAACACCCTGGGATTTTTAATGACCACAGAGAGTCAGGACCTCGGTTTTACGTCTCATCCGAAGGACGGCGCCTGTTTACAGTATAGTGTCCCCATCACTACACTGGGGCATTAGGACCCACATGAGCCGCAGGGTGAGCGCCCCCTGCTGGCCCCACTAACACCTCTTCCAGCAGCAACCTTAGTTTTTCTCAGGAGGTCTCCCATCCAGGTACTGACCAGGCTCACACCTGCTTAGCTTCTGTGGGTTGCCAGTTGTGAGTTGCAGGGTGATATGGCTGCTGGCTTCTTGATTTAGGTAATGGCAGGCTAAGTCATTACTTGTGCCCAACAGCTCTCTCAATAATGAGGTGAAGAAGTGCTTTTGCTACAGTCAAACTTATTAAGAGTATATTATGGATGGTCATGAATGATCAATTAATCAAAATGATAATAATAATAATGATCAAAATAAGAATCAAAAATATTTTATCTGTAGTCAAAATCCACATAAATATAAACATTCATCTATAAATAGATAAGGGGTTTTTGATGCTCAATATGCACACACATATTTATGTTTCTCTCAACATCAAAGGATCAAAAGGTCTCTGTTTTGGTCCTCTGAGTGTTCTGGGATACATCACTAAAGTCTGCTCTTTCCAAGTTAAGGGCAAAAATAAAACCTCTCTTTCAAGTGTTTGACATCAATGATTCATCAAAGTCTGCTTGACCTCATCCCTCACAGTCTCAGGTATTTAATGTTGGCCTGCCCTGTGCAAGATCAATTGATTATGGCTTGTGGAGATCACGTCTAGACTTGTGGGTCCAGCACCCTGGGGACACCCTGTGCCTCCAACCCTCTCACCCGCCCAGAGATAAGAACTTCAAAACAGACCGTGCATTGGACTCACATGCCTCTTTAAGCTGCATACATTGTTGGTAACGACACAGATTCTAACAAGTCCAGTGTTTTATAATTGGATGTAATTTGTGGGTTGTATATTTCTGATTTTTTTTTCTTTTGTTTCCTGCATTTGCTTGGATAAAACATCATTGACTCCAGTAATTAATAATAATTAATGTTGGTCATTGTAAGCTGAAAACAACTTTGACCACATATTTTTAATATCACACTCAATTCAGAACATAGTATGTTTAACAGCTGAACTGAAATAATTTGAAATATAATGTATATTACAGTAAATAATGAAGGTAATAGATTGCTGACTTCCAGTAACTACAGAAATACTTTATCACTACCTCATGTCTTCTCTTTTTAAGACTGAAGACTGTGCCAAAAAGTAGACAAAAAGTAGCCTTGTCACACTTCATTGGAATGAATTCAGAGCAGTGATGTCTCCTATGCAACATGGTGACCAGTACTCTGCACTGCATTCTTAAAGTGATCTAGTCAATGCATTGTGTAATTTCTAACATAGCTTTCCTTAACTTTACATTTCCTTAATTCTTCAATTTCACAAAGTAGAAACTTAACATTAGGTTAGCTGTATTTATTGCTTCACCTTATTTTCAGGATTAAAAGATATTATTGAGGAGTCAATAAAAACACCTCATATTTTTCAGTCCTATTCATTATGTATTTACTGTACATTTCCTCTACCTGCACATAGCACTCTCCTCTTGTGCACATTAAAAATAATTTAGCAGGTGTCTGCCCAGTCTTGGATAATGTCCATTTTTTGTAATGTCTTTACTGCTTCTAAAGCTTATGCTCCAAATATTGCTGTCTTCTAATTTATTACACACCAGATGGGTCTATCCCTGCCCGGATTGTTTTTTGTCATGCATTGGTATAACGTTTGTAAATGTTATTCATATTCATAATATTATAGAAAAAAATCTATTAACTCTATGAACCTACTGTAGCTCCTGTGACACATCTGCCCAGGCGACATTAAGATTATTTAAAGCCACAATACAAGACCTTGTAGTTTCTAAGCATGGTCAAAATGGTTCATTTTTCAGCTGTTCTTGGGGAAAATGGCAAACAAATCCACCTATAGATCCAACCGGTCTCGTCCCGCAGGGGAGCCAAACAAATCCAATTTGCGATAAACTATACAAACCATAGCCCATACCACATCACCTGATCATTAAATCTGACTGTTCAGTTAGCATTAACATACTCTCCTGCACAACAGAATATGTTAATAAAACAGTATAGTGTGGAGGGGAGTGTTATTTCCGGGAACAGACTGGTAGAAGCAGCACTGTTTTGCTGTTTTTCCTAGCCTCACACAGCGTGGGGGTTTGGGGGACTGTGTGAATAAAAACTGCTCACTGAACCAATGAGGGTGTTTTGCATATTTTCGTACTCTATGTGTGATATTTATGGTGCTTCCCAGCACACTCAGAGACGGAAGGGAAATCCCAGCAGTGCTGCCATGATTAATATTTTAAGAGACGAAATCGAGAAGCTCTCCTATAGAGGCATGGAAAATCACCAAGGATATTATTGACCTTATCTGTGTTGCTTAGCAACCGTTGTTGCTGTTGAAAATCTTAGGGAGAATGAAATTCTGCGGATCGCATTCTATCCAAAGAGCCTCTTTTGCTCTGTTGAAATCCCGCCTCTGAAATTGCTCTGCATGATGCAACGTACTGTATCTTTTTGGTGGAAAATGTAACACCTATCCATTCCACTCCATAAACCCATGATCTGATGTGCTGCAGTTAAATGTGAGTTAAAATCATTGGGACTTTTGTACTTTCAGGTTAAAAATTCAATCCTATGAAGAGATTTTTGCAAATGCAAAGGCAGCCTTTTCTTTCTAACTTCGTCGTTAATGGTTGTCTTTACATACTGTGGAGAAGCATGTGGCCAAGACACATTTCCATCAAAGCTCTTGAAATAACAGTTTGCAGTTTCATACTGAGGGAGATGCAGAGGGTTAGGTTCAGCTTATTTTTACACTAAACCTAAAGGAAAATGCATTATCTTCTCTTAATTATACATATGAGTTGAATAAAATATTGACTTCCTGCTGAAAATCTGCTGACTATCGATTTCTGTTGATGCATGTTCCCCTTTCTTACAGTTGATGTAGGATATAAAGATAATGACAAGAAGGAATAGAATACAATGGCCCATATATGCAGATGTCATATAACAAGAAATATAATCACCGAGACAGGTAAAAGCCTATTATTATACACCAGCCTCCTCTGCACTGTGCAGACCTTGGAATCTCTGATTAAGGGTTTTAAAAATACACTCACAATGTTATGCTCATTCCTAAAAAAGTTCGACCCTCAGCCTCAAGCGAATAAAAACGAAATATCCGTGAGTGGGCGTTGTTGCATTATCTCAGCTCTTCTCATACAGGCACTAAAGAACAATCTGTATTGCAGCTATTGCTTTAGAAAGCAATTACTGCACACCCACGACTCCGTCAGCCTTCGTGATTCCTCACGCTGCGCGGCTGGCTGTATAGCTTAGTTACTCCGTGCTCACGAGAGACCTGGGGAGTTCGGGGGGAGGGGGTCATCTGTGCTATCTATGCATTATTCACCAGTCTTGATTCTAAATATAGCAGCTCGCATTCTCCTGCTGTGTGGGCGTCAGGAATAGATTTTTCTGAGCAGCTATAGATAGCAAGGTCAGACTGCAGAGACCGGGAAAGGGCCAAACTGTCACTCAAAGAGAGGAAGTAGATGGCTGCCACACCAATGAAGCAATCCTTTCGGCGGATTTAGTCCGGATTGCAAAAATACATTTTCCAGAGCTGTTGAGCTGCGGCAGGTCAGGGCTGGGGGTGGCTCGTGCCATGAGGCAGGTTTACTCACTGTGGACTGAGCTAAAATTAGATGAGTGGGGTTCCCCATTTCTCTGACAACATCGTGTCTGATACACGTACCGCCAAACCCAAACACACACAGACAAAGAAGAGGAGGGCATTCACCTAGACTACACATTTGCTAGATTTTTTCAAACCAAACCCTAGGGCTAGGGCATCACAGCCTAATAAAAATTAAGAATGACACATGAACTGTCTTTAACAAGACTTTCTGCCATTTTGCTACCATGATTCTCTTTGTTTTGACATTAGAATCCAAATTCATTTCCCAACCACTTTATCCAATAGAGGATTGTGGGTAACTGGAATCTATCCCAGCAAGCAATGGGCTCAAAGCAGGATACACCCCTGTACAGGACACAAGTCCGTTACAGGGTGACATTGGAATCCCAAAACTCAAGTGAAATCAAATCTGTAAGTCTTGGCCTAATAGATTGTCAATTACTGTTTGTATGTGTAGAGAAAAATGAGTTATTTATGGTAAAATAAATAAATTGCTTGTGAGCTAGTCATGTAAAAAATCCAAATTAGGCTGCACATCGAATACAGAGATGAGAAAATTGGCTTTGTTTGATGAAAATGTTGTCCATAGTGGGAGACATACAGTATGAATGCTTCTGACCACCTCTGAGTACTTCCTGATTTGCGGTTACATACAACTTGAATACTGATAAGAAAGACTTGTCTAGAAAAGGGAAAGGAGCACAGAAACAGTTTTTTTCCTTTAGAATGCATCATATGTGATTTGACTAAATATGAAACTATGCTACTTTACTACTAATCTGCTATAAACATCACAGCTCCTCTGGGTTTGCCACAGAGCCTCCACTCTATGAAATTTGAAGCGGTTAAACTTTTTCACATTTAAACTTACAAACTTTCCAACATCTACCCTTCATTAAACCAAAACAAAGCATTTATTCAGGGTCTTGCACATAAGTAAGTCATGGATTGTTCAGCACTTGCACTAACCTGTATATTTTTCCCTTTTTACTTTTTTATTTTATCTGCAAATTCTGCATCTTTAATACACCACCACTGTCCTGTTCATCGGTCAACATTTCTTTTTCCTATGCAATATACAGTAGGTCTACAGTCATTAATCAATCTATTGTCTTTATTTCAATTCGCGTACCATTGATACAACCATGCATGTGTGGAAGGATACTGGTTATGCAATCGCAATCTGGAACATTCAGCAATGTGTTTCAATTGGTGGACATATTTCCAATAGCTCTACTCTTTTTTGGACCTTGAAACCTTTTCCCCAGGGTGCTCCAGTTTTCTTCCACAGTCCAAAGACAGGCTGGCAGGTTCATTGGGTTCTGGGAAAAACTGGCCCTGGTGTGAATGTGTGTGAGTCTGCTCTGCGATGGACTAGCTTGTACCCCGCCTTGTGCCCGTTGCTTGCTGAGACAGGCTCCAGCGTCCCTCACAACCCTGAATTGGATAAAGTGGTCAGATACCGGATGGCTGGACAGTCCTGGTTTATGGAGGGGCACGGATTGTCCCCGTGTACACTCGCAGAAAGCAGAGGAGGGACTCACTTGGACAGCTTCATCTCGATCTGCTGGCGGATCTCCTGCCGCTCCTCCTCGCTGCGCACAGGGAAGATGTTGCGCTCCTCCAGCTCCTGTTTACTGGGCCGGTTCCGCAACTTCACGGCCAGCAGCTCCTTCCTCATCCTGCGCGGCAGCGTGCCTGCAACACAGCGCACACAGGCCTGCTTGCACGTCTCTTGGAGCCTCCCTGCTTGCCCCCTGGCAGGTGGGGAGCCAATGTTTTCAGAGGGGCACCATCATTCAAACGTCATTTTGAAATTGAAAGAAAAGAGCAAAGACGGAGCTGCAAAACCTTGCCTCCCTCAGTTTGTTTTCCCCTGTCTGAGACGCAGTAAGCATGTTCGCGGCCTCTCACAGACTACCTGCCTTGGTCTTCCCTGCTTTCTTTGACTACTCAGTATTTATATCATAACTGTGTGGTTTCTTCCCCTTTCCTTTGCTCACCCGATTTATCCAACATCCAGCTCGATTTCTGTTGCACCCTTGGGAGCCACGTGCGTCATGAAATCCTGACTAAAGAGACCAGATTCCCTTTTCTGTACAAGCAGGGATCAGCAAATACTAGGAAGATGGAAAATCTCTTAGGATAACGAGTATGTCCAGTCGGTCACCATATATACTGTACATAGAGTTTACAGTATAGCCAAGTGGAACCAGCCAGTCCTGGGGTTGCTATGGTTTATGACAACTGCTCTCTGCACAGTTTTCACTGTTTTTGGAGAATCACTATGTGAAGAAGCAGTTTAAGAAATGCAAGAGATACAGTATTTCATTTCTAATGACAGAAGGGCTCGGCACAATATGTGATAAGAATGAGCAAGCAGCGAAACCGGCATGTGAACACAAATGCAAATGCCTTGGTTCTGTGAAATCACATTTTCAAGCATCTCTGGTGTTTATGCAAAAGTCAAACCAGTTTTCATCACGAAGCATGGCTGCAGGCGGGATCATGACACAGACATGTCCATCTGTGTTAAATTTCCCAGGACTTGCTTTATTTTTGGAGCATGTATATACAGTTAGGATCTGGAAGGTTACTTACTGAATACATATTGTCACAACCACAATGGTGCTGGTCCAGATTAGTGCAGATGTTGGGAGTTCAGCTGTACATACACTTCTCAGACAATTGGTTTGTTACTGTGGTCCTGGTGTGACTTTGTGTCTTCCGATTTTCATTCTGGCTGAGCTTTCAGTTTCTGAGGTTAACTGACCTCTAGCTGAATATTGAGACTCTCTTTAAGCTGTACGGATATCATGAACTGGTCACCTATCATGAGCTGCTGAAAGGCAGAAATCTGGCATTGGAGGAGAGAATGAACATATTTCTGCTTATGAAAACCCTTTTCAAAAACACCCCTGGGACAGAGTATTTTTAAAATCAAGGATGGGATGCAAGAACAGGTTGAAAACTGGAGCTCCTCCTGGTTTCTGAGGCACTAAGCCTCTTCGAAGGGATGCCAGTTCATCACAGGGATGACCCGCCCCAGCAGTGCTCGGTCAAGGTATCGCAGCATGTCTGCAGTGAGGACCTGAACCCACAACCCACCAGTTATGGGACCAGGGACTTACCCACTACGTTTGGAGTTCCCAACCCTGAATTAAACAAATGAAGGACTGGCTGGATGTCAGGATCAATGGAGTGTGTCCATACTTGTGGCCTAGTCTCTTACAGTCTTCTTTTCATATAAAGTGTGTGAAGCTTTTCTGGAACGTGAAAACGCAGTCTGGGCTCAGCCCGGGGACCCACCTGAGATCACAGACTCGTTCCAGCTGTCCTGGTCGTGTGGCAGCCCGGAGGCGTCCGTCCTGCAGTCCTCCAGGCGGACGTTTTCTTTGTTCTCATCGGAGTCCTTTTTGCTCTCTGTCTCGCCGGCTGGCTCCTTTTCCTGGCTGGAGGTGCGAGACAGCCGGCCCTCGGACCTTCTCTTGGGGGAGGAGCGGATCTCCTTGCTGTGGAAGCTGGGGGAGGAGTGAGGGAGAAGAGGCTGAGCTGCAGCCATGTCAACCCCCCTGTGAATCTGTAGACAGTCGGCACAGAGTCCTGCAGCGACACGCTGCTCCCTGCCAGCAACAGTCACCTTCCCCAAGGAAACAGAAACATGCTTCTCTAAAAAGCACCAGCCACTGAAAGCCGTGATGAGAGCATCTTTTCAGGAGCGCAGAAGGCCAGGTCCACCTGTCTTTGGGCTGCAGTCTGAGAAGGGACTCACCTGTCCTGCCGGTGCTTGGTGGCCAACGCGCGGTGCAGCTCCTCGATGACCCGGCTGGGGGGCAGGGGGGGATGAATGACCCCCAGGTGAGGCGACCCAGTTGGGGTGGACATCTGGCCCCGCAGGGGGGCGGCAGTCTGCGTCTCCAGAGCCTTCACAACATCCTTGGGCAGGATGGAGTTCCTCTGGAGAGGGGAGGAGGGGACCTTTCCACTGGGGTCTGGCAGAGATCCTGGAGACATTACAGCAGGAAAGGCACGGTGAAGTGCGTCGGGCCAGGACAGAGCTCTCTGCACAGGCATTTCAAAAAAGGGATCACAAACTTTAACATCCGGAACAACTCCCTGAATCCCCGATGGCAGTGTCCTGGAATACGCCAACCTCTGTCCATACATGTATGTATGAAAAGAAGAATTGTACAGTAAGTTGTGATAGGAACCCATAGCAATTTGTATTTTGTACTATCTGTATCCCATTAAAGGTAGAAAGAAATGTTTTTAACTGCTGCTGTCAAAGGGGTCTGTAAGGGGTATAATTGTACTTAGAATCACAGTCATGGCTCACTCAGTCACTCAGTGAGGACTGCCGCCAGTCATGCCAATTTCATAAGAGGAGAGACACAGACACAGGGGAGGGAGATCTTCTTTGTATAAGACTATGCCGATCAGAGGGTGATCTCTGTGGGTATTTTCCTCTGTGACAAGCTGCTTTTACTAAATTGATGTTGGTTGAGTAGTGCTGGGAGACCAAGAAAAAAAAACTCTTTTTGCTCCCTAGGTTGGCTGTGTGGGGTGTACCTAGATTGCTCTGTTACAGTTGTTTTGTTCACACTCTCTACTCCACAAAGCAATTTTATGCCTAGGAGTAAGTCTGTCTTCTTTTAATAATAATAATAATAATAATTGCTTACACTTATATAGCGCTTTTCTGGACACTCCACTCAAAGCGCTTTACAGGTAATGGGGATCCCCTCCACCACCACCAATGTGCAGCATCCACCTGGATGATGCAACGGCAGCCATAGTGCGCCAGAACGCTCCCCACACATCAGCGATCAGTGGGGAGGAGAGCAGAGTAATTAAGCCAATTTATAGAGGGGGATTGTTAGGATGCCATGATTGATAAAGGCCGATGGGAAATTTTGCCAGGATGCCGGGGTACACCCCTACTCTTTTCGAGAAACACCCTGGGATTTTTAATGACCACAGAGAGTCAGGACCTCGGTTTTACAATTTGGGTTACTCTGTCTGCATCTCTACTTTGTCCGTGTGTGGTTATTCTTGGCACTACTTCTATTTAAATCTAGTAAACTATGCTCCTCTAAGTCCCCTGGTACTACAGCGCATATTTTAATGAGTAGATAATGTTTTCACTGCATGTGAGGCCTCTACAAGCAGTCCCCAGTGTTTAAAACAGATTTTGATTGTTTTAAGGCTGTGTTCCTTCCTGTCATGAACACCATGCTGCTTGAAGTGTCCAGTGCTTTGGAGAACCATTTGTCTTCTACAGTACTACATGGTGTAGTTTAACTAATTTTTTCCCCCTTTTGATTTAAAGTTATAGTTTAAGTGCTACAAGGGCTACATGATTAGAAGGTAGACCCTGATAGACCCATCCTGGTCCCTGCACACTCACCTTCCAGGCTGCCCAGCTTGGACAGGAGTTTCGCAGGCAGGCCTGGAGCCCGGGGAGAAACGGTGTCTCCGTCAGAGGAACTGTCTCCTCTCTCCTCCTTCCCTTCCTGTCTGTCTGCCTCTCCCCCAGGAGTCTCGGCAGCAGGTGCTGTCTGGAGGTATTCCTCCTCCTCTGAATTTGGGCTGATGTCCCCCTCTGTTTCGCTCTCCCCCACGGAGTCCCGCACTGACACCGGGACGAGACAAGGTCAGCTGAACAACAAAGCCCACTACGCAAGTGCAGCCAGCTCTGCCTGCCCCTATATTCTAGTCCACCATTAAACATTCGAGAAGTGGCGTCCATGTAGTCATCACACCACAGGCCTGCCCAACCTGTCACAGTCAACCATTCAACTATTTGTCAGGATCAATATAATAATTTGCACTTGTTGGCACTTGTTGCACTAATGCACAATACTGAAGCATTGGAAGGGTCTCAAATTGAGCCCGGCATAGATCATATTCCCATCTATACTGAGCATCAGAAGAAAGAAATTGCTTATTGCTTCAACAAATTTACAAAGACAGCTGAAAAATGGCCAAATTGTTTTTTGTAGCAGGTGTGCTGGCTTCTTATTTTACATACAGTATGTGGCATGCTGTACTGTGGATGCTGTAGATTCAGCTTTTAACATTTGTCGTCAGCAGCACTGATCAAAGGGGGTGTACTGTTAAACTCACAGGTTAGTAACGTATGGCGACTGCTTGCAACCATACGGGTTGCACCAGTTATCGGGTGCTGTCATGTGGCATTCTGACCCATTCCTTTCATAGAGCCTGGACACACACGAGCCTGTTCACTGATCTCTGAGCCCTAGATGTCACACATTGTCCCTGCTCAACCCAACAGCGTTTGAGTTTGGCGAGCAGGGCATCCAAGACATAAGTGTCACATTCTTGTCTTCACAGAAAGCCGCTGTTATATGAGCACCATGGACATGAGATGACCCGCTGGAAGGGCATCACAGCAGGAATGGCAGCAAGTGAGGTTGTGGATCAATGTAGCATCATGCAATCAGCCTGCCATCAATCAATACAAGTGGAGTTCTGTAGCGACTAGACACTCCTGCCCAGACCTTCGCACATGGTTAGCATATTGTCCTGTGTGTCTGCACCACACTCCCAGTGTATCAGCGTGGCCTTCACGCAACCTTGATTCATTGCTGAAGAGGACTACTGTGACTTAGTCCAGCCTCCAGCATGCTGATGACACACAGGATTTTTCTCTTGATAAGGGGGGCATATTAGTTCATTTCTACTTATTTATTTCAGACTCGACATTCAGCATTTTCAATCACCTCACGATGGGTGTCCAATTAACCAGTGCTTATGCAACTGCCAAGTTCCCTCAAGCTCAAGTTTATTGTAGTCACAAATGCAACATTCCTGACTGTACATAACACATCATCAATATCCAAGATATATATACACTATTGTTATACAGTATATATACAAACAAGCGGGATGTTTTTTTTACTGCTGTGTATGTGTATATGGATCCTCTGTTAAAATACCCTTATATTTATTGATTGACATCAAATTTATAAACATGGAATGCAGAAATAAAAAATGAATAAAAGCCTATTTAGTACGTTATTGGTTTATCACTAGTATTTTTGTAGCTTTTATCCTTTTCTCTGATGTTACCAGCGTAGTTCGAGCCGACAAGAACACGTTAATCTTACTTTGTCTCCATCTAGTGGCGACCACACGCACATAATTCTAACACTTCATGGTGCCCGAGAGAAGTCAACTTTGATGGCCACAGGCAGCATCCACATTATTATCTATCAGCATAACGATTGTCCAGAATATGGTCAGACTTTCTTTAGTATTTCTTACAAGTTGGGATGCAGAGCTGATTTGTTGCTTCAATGCAGTGAGACAACTGGCCAGTTACATGGCAAGTGGACAGTGTTACAATTTCCATTGCGTAGACCTGCGAAACATTTCCACTGATCATGATGAGGCACAGAATGGCTGAACTGGAATTCCACGGGATAACAGCAGTGCCCCTCCGGATTGCTACCCCGATAACAGCCTGTGTATTACCTGTGGAGGGGGTGTCCTCATCACAGCCCAGGCCCTCCAAGGTGCTGAGGTTGAGCAGCTGGGTCAGAGACTCCTCCTCCCTCTCCTCCCCATCTGAGGAGCCCTGTGTCGGGGTGCCAGGCTCATCAGAGCTCCCCCCGCAGGCCAGCGCAGCCTCTGTGAAGGATGAAATTCCCTGTGAGCCCGGACACGCTGTGAAATCTATCAGCATCACTTCCCTCCTCCTACATCTTGACAGGCATGTGCTTTCACTATAGTCATTGGTGCACATTGCTATTGATCCTTCTTCCTGTAAAAATATTCCCAACACAATCTACAAATCCTCAGATTTCTGTGTAAGGTCTCTTGGCAAATGTCAGCAGTGCAGGTTATTTTATACTATGGCTATCTTAAGATATCGGGGTTTAGCAATGGAATAAGACATGCAAAGACTTTTTTAGGGTTCTTTATCTAACCATCACCATATTGCATAATTGATCTATGTGACCCTAGAAGTATTTTCTTGTTTTTATAATGTTTTATTATGCTAATTCAGTTCAGAAGCTAAAAAAAAAGGACAAAATCTTAAATAATTGGATTATCCCTTAAAAAGATGGATTTACAGATAGAGCTTGCTGGACTTCTTGAACAACATTCTCAGTGCTGTGCTGTCCTCTCTCGCTCACCTGTCTCCATCATGTCTGCCAGCCCTTTCCTCACCAGCTCATCTCGGCTCTGTCGTGCAGCTGCCTTCCTCTCCAGCGCTGCACAGAGGACAAAAACAGCCTCCGTTAAATCAAACCCCCCCCCAATTCATTCACACCCACATTTGCAGGCTTCCTCTATATACAGGTCACTGAAAACCATCTGGAAACAAATACTGCATTCTGACTTGCCTCACTAACAGCCAGCTCTTCGAAAGGCCGGCGGGGAATGACTTGGATAAGAAATTAAATCTATATGGTATTTTAAATACTTAAAAAAACGAGCATAGACAGCCCCATAGCCAAACTCTCCCATCCAATGGACAAACGCTCTGCCCTGGATTCTTGCAACAGAACAATGTCATATTATTCTGCTGCAGTACAACTGTCATTTGTTTCCTAGCTCTTGTGTCCTGAATCCATGTTGTCTTTGTTTAGGATCCCCACCAGCCTTCCTTACCTGTAGAGCTCTGCTTCAGTTTTTCATTTTTCTTTTTCCTCCATTTCCAGGGTTTGAAGATGCGGCCCAGAGTGGCCAGCTTGCTGTTTCTGCGGATTGGGGGAGTCCGCACCCCCGACACCAGGCAGCCGGAATGTAGCGCCCTCTGCTGGTCCATTACATCTTCAGCAGACGGGGTTGGGGGTGGGGGAGGAAAATACAGCACACTTAATAACGGAGAGTGAGGTTCACTGGGTCAAGGAGAGCATGAAAACTGAGTGAAGACGTTGGAGTAGAGAACTTTGTCAGCATGAGAACCAGGAGACAGCTGCACAGGAACAAGTCAGGTTGTCTTCCACGCTGTAAATGTAAATGTTCATTCTATGCTGAAAGGTAAAGAAAAGAAACACTATGTTTTGGCAACCTACACCCAAAGAATAATAATAATTATTATTATAATAATCGCTTACACTTCTATGGCGCTTTTCTGGACACTCCACTCAAAGCGCTTTACAGGTAATGGGGACTCCCCTCCACCACCAATGTGCAGCATCCACCTGGTTGATGCGACAGCAGCCATAGTGCACCAGAACGCTCACCACACACCTGCTATCAGTGGAGAGGAGAGCAGAATAATGAAGCCAATTCATAGATGGGGATTATTAGGAGGCCATGATTGGTAAGGGCCAATGGGAAATTTGGCCAGGGAAGGCATGGGATTAACTTTTAGCTGTTCCAAGAAAAATGGAGTCTAACTCTTTACACAGAAAATGAGCCAGCTTCTTTTGATTGTAATATTTCTGGACAATTATCCATGCAAATAATTTGTTATCTTCAGAGTGAAAACAGCAATGTAAAGCGGAGCTGTTTGTGACATTTGTAGAACGAATGAAGCACTGGTGATCCCTTTTTGCTGGCTTTGACTGAAGACTTTGGTTCCCTCTGGCGGGAAATAAAATATCGCATCCGCCCATGTAAGGGTATAAAACAAACGCACATGACAAACGTTCTCTTTTCCTCAGGCTGAACTTCATCGGAGTGAACAAGTACACAAGCTGCACTGTCATCACAACAGCCAACAGCAGTCATATATCATCTGACAGCAGTTTTGACAGGCTCAGCACAACAACCAGAAGATGTTAAATTAATCCCTTGCTGACAAGTATATACGTTCACCCCTGTTGGTCTGTCTGGAATGACAGCCACACTCCATCAGATAGATGAAGCCATCAGTGGTGAACTGTTACAGTGCTTCGTAACATCCACCCACCAAGCCCTTAAAATAGTCACTGTTTTCTTAGATACTTCCAGGAGTATTGAATGGTGACAGAACCCTGCATTGCATTGTGCCACATGACACTAACAGCTCCGCAGCGATGAAAAAGAATTACTTTTATTTGCAGATAGCATCGATTGTCAAACTAAACCAAGGTGCCTTTTTTTTATTTCTTCTGAGTACCAGAAAGCACATAGCCTGTTTTTAAAAGATGTCACAGATCCCTCTGTGATACAATGGCACAAACCCATTCTGAAGACATACTCTTCAGTATGATGCCTCACTCCCCTGAGGAGACGTTTTGGAAAAGCTATTATCGTGCCAATCCTCCTCCCACTGTTTCTAAGCCACAAATGGCACAGAATGTTGAACAAACAGTGCTCTTTGAAGTCGCTGCAGAACCTCTACATGTGAGTCATCCAAAACTGTGACTCTGGCTCAATGTTCCCGCTAATTTTGAATGGCCTGCGCGTGCAAACATTTAGAGTTCTGCACATTTTTTTCCCCAGTGACAAAAACTTGAGCGCACTAAATTGAGTGTAGGTCAAATTGGAAATCTGAGATTATTTTTTGTTAATATAGTCCTTCCCATAGAAGCATAGAGATCCCAAAAAAGCAATTCAACGAGCCCAGTCATGGAGACTGAGTGTCGAGTGAGCATGAGCAATGAGATACGAGACTACGAGAGTAGAGATATCGATTATCGAGTAGCAATAATAATGCACACAGCCAAGCTGGGCCTCTTGCAGCCAGCCTCATGGTCAATTTAGCATTTCTCAGTTGACGACCATGTTTGTTTTATTATCATATTTTGGGGGGGAATTACATTTTTTGTGTGCAGTTCAATTTTCTATGTGCGCTGATTTCATAACCTGTGCGCGCGCGCAAGATGCGAAGGAGCCAAAGCCTATCCCAGCACAAGGGGGTAATGGCAGGACACAGCCTGGATGGGACACTGGTCCATCACAGGCTAGACACACACTCACACCAGGACCAGGTATTTACAGAAGCCACTCAACCTATCGGTATGTTTTTGGACTGTGGAAGGACACCAGAGCCCCTGGAAGAAACACAGGGAGAACATGCAAACTCCACACAGACAACACCCCAGTTATGGAATTGAACCCAGGAACCCAGTGCTGCGAGATAGCAAAGCTAACCACTGCACAGCTTAGAGGGAACATTGCCCTGGGTCTGATTTTTTATAAATTTCAGAAACGGAGAAGCTGAGCATTGTTTAAGAATAAGGAAAGAAGGATGTTAAATACTACACTGAAAGAGAACAGTGTTTGGACCAATGATATTGAGAAAAAGGGGAACCTCTACATCTGCAGTGCACTTTCTACCTGTATGGCTTTTCTGTCCTATGTTATAATTCTCATTGGCATCTCAAATGCTTCTGGCACAACAGATCACCTTTCCTCTCCCTATAGTTGGAATTTCAGGCACAGATCAGGACTGGTTCTCTTGCTGCCTCTCTGACAGTTCTCTCATCTCCTTGCCCTCTCTCAGTAGTATGAGCCCTTTTTCCCCTCTCTCTATACCTGCTCGCTGGGTTTTCTTTTCCTCACATGGCTTCCCTTAATGCTTCTAGGCAGATGACATTCTGATCATGCAGAACTAACTGCTACAAGCTGTCTCTTCCTGGATACACTCCTCACCTCGGGCAGTCTTATTCCTGCTGGACGCCTCCCTCTGCCCCATCCCAGGCTCTCCGTTTCTCTCGGCTCTATGGCTCTCTTTGTGTCTGCAAACAGTTTGTAACTTTGATCTCTTCCTTTCCTCCCGTCAGCTGCTCTTTTTCCTCCAGCACAAACCCGTCGCCCTTTCCTCAACAAGATCTGTCTGTATAACAGCCAGCAGGCCTCTGGCCCAGGCTCTTGTTCTCTCTGGGCTGGACAACAGGTGCACGTCCCTGGACGTCTTCCCTGTATCAGCAGCCTCCACTCTCCAGTTCATCTAAAGCTGAGCAGCTATCTCAGTGTTTTGCTCTTCTTCGGGTCTCCATTGCTACTTTAATTCGAAAGCCATTTCCCGCTACCCACACGTTCAGCTTTTTGTCCTTAGAGCTTTTTTTTTTCCCACTTTGGCCCCAAATATACATCACCCCTCGTCTCTCTTCAGATCCCCTCTTTCGCTCTCTGCTCATGTTCCAATCGCTCAGTTGTCCCTCCTCTTCGCTCGCCAGTTCCTTCACACCACCTATGCTCAAAGCTCGAACCTTTAGATCCTGTAATCCTTTCCTGTGCAGCTGTATCTTGTTTCACATTACATTTCATGTCACAAGTTATTGTGTGTATAATATAAAATGTTTATCCTGAATTCTGCGCACGATGCCTACTTAAACAGTTAGGAAGTGTTCTGAAAATCCGTCTCAATGGAGAAAGATGTTACCAAAATAATAATAATAATAATAGTACTTTTTTTGTAAGAATTCTGAAGACATTTTCACTCTTCATGGAAATGGTAAGCCAGGAAAGAGGTGCAGACTCCCTTGTGAGGAAGAACCAAAATAAGATTTGTGTTCCGCAACAAGGAACAGCGCGCCCACACTGTCTGGCTCTGACAGGCTGCTGCTGAGCTCCCTGGGAAGAGTACAGCTGAGCCGTGGGTTGATAATGTGCTGGAGATGGATTTTTTTTAAACGTTATTCACAAACGAAAGATACACAAGCACTGAAAACAGAGGAAGATGAGAAAAGCCCACCTCATTCAGCTCAAAGGTGAAGCGAAAAAAATCAGACATGTCTGAAGAAAAACAAAGAGGTGGATAAAAGAGTGACCTCTTCAGCCATAAGCAGGCCTAGAAGCCTAAAGTCGTGGTCAAGCTGCTATTATCTTGACCTTTACCTTTAGTCCACACTGCAAAGGATCACACTGCTGCAAAGTCCTACATGTGCCAGGAAAAGTCAGACAGAGAAGTCGTGCCACAATATTCCCTCACTGTGCACTGACAGCATTGCAGAGTCATTTCATTGAACTCTCTCCAAACACATGGTCAGGACGACTGCAGTGAGCAGATCCCAGAATTCACATATTGTCTCAAGTCTAGGGGATGACCATACCACCATCTACAAACAGGGCCAACCATGAGATCCCCTCTACTAATTCAACCTGTTCTGTGAAAAAACAGTGGAGAAGGTATACATTCCGTTAACACATATAAAAATAATAATAATAATAATTGTTTACACTTATATAGCGCTTTTCTGGACACTCCACTCAAAGAGCTTTACAGGTAATGGGGACTCCCCTCCACCCCCACCAATGTGCAGCCTCACCTGGATGATGCGACGGCAGCCATAGTGCACCAGTACACTCACCACACATCAGCTATCAGTGGGGAGGAGAGCAGAGTAATGAAGCCAATTCATAGATGGGGATTATTAGGAGGCCATGATTGATAAAGGCCAATGGGAAATTTAGCCAGGATGCCAGGGTTACACTCCTGCTCTTTTCGAGAAATGCCCTGGGATTTTTAATGACCACAGAGGGTCAGGACCTCGGTTTTATGTCTCATCCAAAGGATGGCGCCTGTTTCCAGTATAGTGTCCTCATCACTATACTGGGGCATTAGGACCCACATGTACCGCAGGGTGAGTACCCCCTGCTGGCCTCACTAACACCTCTTCCAGCAGCAACCTTAGTTTTTCCCAGGAGGTCTCTTATCCAGGTACTGACCAGGCTCATACCTGCTTAGCTTCAGTGGGTTGCCAGATGTACAGATGATATCTGGAAATGTACTTAAACTACTAGACCCACATACCCAAGATATTAAGACAAGTAGATAGGCTGATATAGGAAAGAACCACTTTACAGCTTTGGGTGGGACTCAAGAGCAGAGGTTGCAATAAACTCTGAGAATGAATATTCATTAGCTTTTGTCCAATCTAAATTCTACTCAGATGGATAGGATAGCAGTCCTGTAACTACTCATCCTACCGTCCTGTGTTTATAGAGTCAAAGCTAGCAGCTCCGGACAGCAATTTCACAGTTAATTAGGGCTCATCAGCATGACGTGGCAAACTCTGACAAGTGACTAATGTAAATCGTCTATAGCACTGTGATTTCATGAAGACCTAATTAATATTCATAGGCATAATACTGTAGATAGAGTCCTAGTCTCACTTTCAATGAGCAGTCAGACTAGCTTTTTAAATATTTAACTAAAGAGGGATTATTGACAATTTAGTCTGTAGGCTGGATGTAATTGACTGCGCCCGTGGTTCGTAACTATGAAAAGACGCATGGGGAGCAAAGCTCACAGAACCCCTAGTGATGGTCCCCAGTGACTCACTCTCTCTCAGGGTGAGATTGGATTTCATGATGAACAGATGGAAGCAGGGCATCTGCCTCAGCTTTGTCCGCCCTGTTAAATGTCAGAAGACATCCAGGCCGGGCTTAGCAAAGCTCACACAAGTGTGAATAGTGATGGCTCTCATTGCCTATTTGAACGTTATTGAAAAACTAAGGTCGGAATGCTAAGGGTCACACAGGCTCCTGCTACAGGGCTTGGTGGAAAACTGAGGGGAGTGGAAGGTGTTTGTATGAGGGTGGAACCACACAGAGAGGTTTGAGCAGGAAAAGCAGACCTCTTGTTACATCAGTGTACAATGTAGCATGTACAAAAGCTTGAAAAATTAAGAACAGTAATATATGAAACAGGCTTAATAGAACTTTATGAAAGAGGTCCAAAAAACAATAGTCATTTCTTTTCTTGCTGGGTGATTTTGCAGTTCTTAAAGGAAATGCTGCTAATGCCCATGAATTCTGGATGATTTGCTGTCTGCTACCTTTGCTCACATACCTAACAAGAAGGTGGTGTTCATTATTTCAGCTCTCACTTTTGTCCTCTGAAACCCTACAACGGCTTTAAATTGATGACTTACTATCTGATTTGATAAAAATATAGTTAATATATAAAGCCAACAAAACTAAGAAAAAGACTAAGGAGAAATGTCCCCTTCCAATTATAATCTAGATTTCCTTTATCTTCGAAATTTAACTTTGCTGCAGCACCGTTTAAGTAGAAATTCAGTCAGTACTGCATTCATGCTGATAATATGCAATCTAAGACGGATATCCTTCGTTTACAAAGTGACAAAGCTTTTTCAGCTCTCTCTCTCTCTACCGTATTTGCCAGATATATAACTTGTGCCCGAAGAGCAGCAGTACATCCAAGGCAAACACCTCACAATTACAAGTCTATACAACAATATTTCATAACGTAAATCGTTTGCTAAAGTCTTAGCATAACCCACCAGTGCACACCGCGATCTGCTCTGCAGCGTGATTCCAGTAGCTTCTTATTCGGGGCGCACTAAACAGTCTTGACTCTAGACTAGTACACTGAATAGGGCAGCACACTGTAATGCATATACTGTATATTTTCAATACACTACAATTGGTACAGATACTAGCCCGGTTATTGTCTCTGCAGGTAAACCACACACACACAAAAAAAAAACAAGAAAATACTGCTTGAGCAGCACCTGCAACGAAAAGGCAGGTTAGAAAGCATTCACTGAGAGACATCAGATAACAGGCTCCTTCACATCTTCCAGCAGGTGAAACAAATACAGTACGTCACTCTCCTCCCCGACCACAGATCACAAACAGCTTTCTCGTCACAAGCAATGAAAAAGACACGTCTTCCGTTTTCACAATTTCCCAAATTTCAACTGCAGAACTAGCAGCAATAAATCACTCACTTTTTATTTGTTTGGTTTTTTTTTTTTAGTTGCCCTTTTTGCGGCGCCTCCTCAAGTATATATTTTTTTCTTCCAGAAACCTGTAGTTAATGACTCCCTTGCCCCGCAGTCAGTCGGACTCCCCGACAGAAGTAAAATAAGATGACGCCCTGCAGGGTGCAACGCCGACAAAAGATGAAAAGCTCCTGTTTCCAATATGAGACGTGGAGATGGAGAAATCTAACGGACGACAACAGTGGAGAAGCCTGAATGAAAATGAAATTGCTTTCTGCATCCCAGACACTGACCCCCCCCATCACCGCCGCTTAAAGCACAGTCAGCAGATCGAGGACCACAATAGCTCACTCAAGCAGATCCGTACATTCTTACCTCAACAAACAGTACTGCCATAACTCCTCCGCTCCCTTGCAGCTTCAGTCCAATCTCACGTGTGTTTCTCGGAACTAAAAAGCCGTGTAAAATGCGTGCGCCAGCAGAGATGCAATGAGGTTTTCACAGTGGCATCCAGGACGCAAGTGCTGGTCCCATCGTAAAGACAGGGAGAACGCGACATACAGTAAAAGTCTAATCACCCCGGGTTACCAAAGTCTGACGTTCCTTTTAATACTATACAGTACGTCTGTACTAATCTCAATATCACCGTGTCACAGGAAGCAAGAATAATAGAAAGCTTAACTGTGATGCAATGATTAGATTCCCCTTCTTTTAGAAGCTTCGCCTCTTCAAAAACATTTGAAATGAATCAATGAATATTAGAAGGATGACACTGGTGCGGTATCTGCAGTGTGATCTGTAATGGTATTCATATTCACTGTGAGTGTACACACTGTGGCTAAATTTATTGTCTGGCAGTGCAGGGTTACTGATATTGCCTCAGTGGAATCTCACTAGGTAACGTAAAAGCAGCTCTTGGTTGCAATGCTGTTGCTCTGCTTGCAAAGCCGACATGTCCATGTTGCAGTTGTTCATCTTTGATATACTGTATTCTGTGCGGCACCACAGTAACTTCTGAATAAACATGTCTCTATCCCTGATCAGCTCCTCAATGCAGTAAAGCACACTCAGACTCATATAACACCAGATGTTTAACTATTAAAATCTACAGTTTGAAGCCCAGAGAATATTCAGTACACATCTGGGTCAAAAACCCCTCAGTAGAATTGTAATTATTTGGCCATTAAAATGGTACATAACCTATACAGTACTGCTATTAGTTATCTGTCATTAGTCACTTTTATACACAAATAAATTACCTCTGCCTCTTGGGGCTATTCAAAAGGAGGCATAGACCTCAGTATTTTTGTTATCATGTTATTGAACTTCAACACAGTCTGAATCTGATTAAATATTTTATATGTTGGAAAGCTACTGTACATTACACTCTCTGGCATACCATCTTCGTTCTCTACCCTCAGTATACAACCCCCCATTAACCATGATAATAATGGCTTTGCACCAATAATTCACTCAGGGAGATTCTATTCAAATATAGCACAAATAATATCTTCAACATGGCGCCTCAACCCCCCCCCAACTCACCCCATGACAATCGACCCTTTCAATGACTCCGAGTAAAACTGCTGGTCTGTTTTTATCCAGAACAAGGACCACTGTCACTCCTCGTGTGTGTGGAGCTTGCTTGCTGCTGCTGTTAGTCACTAATAGCCATCAATGTGCCAGAAAAATAGCTTCTGGGGCCGATGGCTCCTGAGGAATAATCTGTGAAGGATTATGGTGAGAATGATAACTAGTGAAAGTCTGTGGCATTGGAAAGCTTAAGGATTCCCTTGTAACAGCATTAAGAGATACAGCTTCCAGCCTGCTTTCTCTCACACTGTTCTGAGCTATCAGTGTTAGCCCCTAACGTGACCGTGGAGAAAGAAATTGCCCGGATTAGTAACTGCTACCTGAGGCAAGAGACAAGGGGCATGATTGCTTTGCAGTTTTTAGCTTCTAATAAATGCCTTTGAGAAAAAAAACTATTATCAGGGCTCGGCAGGGAGGGTATTTTGATCTATAAAACTGTATCAAATAGCAATGAGAGAGGGCAAGGGAAAACCTTTCTTTTTTTAGTCTTTCAAAACTCATGTCTCACACAGCCTTACCAGATGAAGTTGCTGTAGACTCTTTTTTAAGATCTGTTTTTAGAGTAAAACGTAAAAAAAAGTTTATTCAGCGCTTCGAAGCTGACTGTCCACATGGCACCACTGAAAGAGGGTGACCTCTAGGGCTTCCTGTTCATTCTGTCATAGCAGGTTGAACGAGCCCTCTGACACACGTTAAGAATACATCTTGTCCTCCCCAAACTGACCCTGCACAAGAACACAAGGCTGGATGCAAACCACTGACAGTGCACCAGGCCGCGAAGACTGGGCATCACCGCCTCAAAGAATACTGTATCATGCAGGCTCCACCATGCTGGTGCTACGCCCAGAGCTGAAGAGCCTATGTCTGCCCCCTGCTGGCTTAAAAGGTTACTCCATAAGGACAAATGTCAGGGGGGCCCTGCGGGAGGGATATTAAGGTTGGGAAGTAGCTCTGTCTCTGCCAGTCTGGTGCAATGAGCAGCTCTGATCCTCGATGATCCCTCTCCATCTGATAAGATGGGTAGACCTGCCGGCAACTGGAGCTTTCACTCCCTGCTGCAGGGTGCCAGGACAGCAGGGCGGAGGTGATCCCTCAAGACTCCCACCACAGCCTGTCGCCTTCCATGAGCAGAAGGCGGACATCTGTCCTCAGGGCTCCCCGGCACTGTTGATGCTCAGAGAGGAAAAAAAAAAGACATTTGCGGGCTTGGGTTGTCAGGTGCTCCTGACAGAAGTTCTTACTAGCATCAGGAGGTGAGGCAAGGGGACCACTGGGCAGCGCCAACAGTGGGCCAAGGAGACAGGAGTGGAGAGCTGGGGAAATGATCAGTGCTGCCTGGATGGGACATGGCAATATTTTGTATTAAAGGGTCATTGTGCTTGAGAGGCTTTATTTCATTGCAGCAAGGCCACAGACAGCAGCTTGATTATTTATTATGATCTCTATATCAAAAGCTAGTGAGTCATCAAGCCTTGGTTAGTCACCGAGGCACCGATGATCACAGCCTTATCAGCATTCAGAACCCAGCTACCATGATCACTTCATAAATTAATAGGCTCATAATCCCTTGAAAAACAGTTGTTCCCTAATATTACCCTCACAGTAGAAGTGGAGGTGGGGTCAGCATAAACTAGAGGTAGAATGGTACTCAAGCAAATGTTGTAATTACTTTTTTTCCTGTGTCAGCACACTGAAAAAAAATACTCTTGAGTTTCAAGTGGATGAATTTATTTAATCCAGTTTCACAAAAACAGAGGTTGAATACCCTGTCTAGATATGTACTATTAACAACACAGCAGTACTTTTAAAAAATGGGAAAATAATGTTTTAAGTGCTTTAATATAATAATAGGAATATTTTTTATGATTCTAGTGTGGAGTACATTTTTTTATCATACTTCTATTAGCATGCGGTTATAGGACCTAGTGGGATCAGGTGGGTGCGTTCTCATGTGAAATTTCTGTTATTCCACTCTAAATTTATTTAGGTCAATGCATAAAAGATTTATAAAACATACATTATCATGGCTCACTCCCACCAAGGCCTGGAGGATAAGATGAGTCCACTGCAGAGTTACTGGGCAAGAGTCTTCCTCTGCCTCCAGTAAAGACTCATGCAAAGACCTGAACACAGACACAGACCCACAAACACACACGGAATGACAGAGCTACAGAAACACTTACAGTACACGGAGCCACAGACACTAACACAAACACAGACCCACAAATCAGTGCTAACACAGGCCCACAGACACGCACACTGGCACTGCCTCATAAGCACACACACACACACACACACACACACACACACGCACTGGCGCAGCCTCACAAACACACACACACTGGCACTGCACCTCAAACACACCCTGGCACGACCCCATAACCACACTGACACTAGCACTGTCTTACAAACACACTGGCACAGCCCCATAAATATGCTCATTGACACAGCCACACACACATGCTGACATACTCAGACTCTGATACATATATCCATATTAATTCAACACATAGGCCAACACATGCTAACACATATACATTAACCAATACAGACAAAACAAATGTACCGACACACATACATAAAAACACATACAGCATTTAGGTAGAGAAGCTTTGTGTCTCTGCCAGGCAGTTTAGCCAGATGGCAGACAGATTTCTCTTTATTTCACTCTCTCGCACATAAAAACCCTCACTATGTACAGTACCATGCACTTACACACACTGTTGGCTATTACAAATTAAGCTCACAAAATAAGAAGAACAGAGGGTTTCTCTCAAGCAGAAACAAACACAGGCTGACACAGCTAATAAACCGCCCGATGATACACACAAACAGTTAAGAAAATAAAAGCAGCTGGACTGGGTGACAGGGAACTCAACTGAATGTAGTAAGAAATGGCCATTAGAGTGAACAAGAGATGAAGTTCGCCTTAGGGAGTCCTGACTCTTATCAAGACACTGCCCATTCTTCTGAAGAAGATAATGCTCTTTAATGAATGCAAACTGGAATGTTATTTTTCTCCACAATAATGTATATGTTACACTCTGTTATGCATGGCAGGACTAGTTTAAAGTAATCCATGTCCCAGGTCAGAGCTAATACAGTTCTCTGAGGAGCTGTCCTTGGTGCTGAATGAGACTGGATTATTCACATCACATCAGGATCACTTTAGCAAATACAATAGCAATAATACATTTTGTCAGTCACTGTAAATGTCACCCATTAGTGATGCATTGTTGTTCAATACC